CCACTAGAGAAGAAAATAGCCGATGGCGTTTCCGTCTCCACGAATACACTAGTACACATGGTAATTCTGGAGCCAAGCTTCCGCGCAGCATGTCCAAAGAACCAATCCTCTGAAACGGAAAATCCGGGATGCTCGTTGAACGTGTCTATAAGGAACTTCCTGTCCCACAAGGCGATAGCGCCATGCGCAAATGTGCAAGAACCCATTTTCCCAGCAACAGCTCGTTGAAGACCGGAAAGTTTATACTCGAGATCCTGGGCCTGCTGGCAAAATGTCCCCTTGGACGATCCGGGCCCTACGGATTTGATCGTGTATCCGAGGCATTTGACTTTTCCTTTGATACGATCCGAAACGATAGGGAAATTTGGAGGTAGACCACAGTCGTCATCAATCAACAGTACGTACTTGAACCTCTCAGCCGCGTAGCAGCCCACAAACTGTGCCACAATCTTCGAGCCAACAGGGGACCAGACATGGTTCACACCGTACGGTGCAACAACGTCAGCAGTGTTGTCCAAAGGTTCGGGCGAATTGCCATTTGCGATGACAAAGATGTTTTGAGGCGGGAAGACTTTGAGCGCCATCTTGATTGTATTCTCAATGATACCGGCGCTCTTGTAACAAGGGATGATCAAGGCTGTCTGAGTGACCCGCGGATCATCCAGCGGCAGTGCTTTCTCTGGATACTTCTCAAAAAGGATGAGAAGCGGCAGGAACGCGTAAATGGTCGCGATACCGATGAAGATGACGTATCCGTACTTCAACACGAGCATCTTTGATAGCAGCTGGTACATGTACCATGTCGTACCTTTCCACAGCGGTACGCCGACGAAGACAAAGTAGACGACGGCAGTGAGGACGAGATAGAAGACAAGTTGGAAGATGACCTGGACGAATGTGTTTCGTTGCCATTGTGCGTTGTGTATTCTGGCATAGCCTTGCTTGTCGCGGAGGGCTTCGCGGCGAAGTCTCCATGTTGAGCTTCTTCGGACGGCTCCAGAGGCGGCGTTTGCTATGCTATTGAATGCTGCTTCTGCAACTTCGATGGGAGTTTGTAGAATTGAACTCCTTTTCCTCGGCTGTCTTCTATCGTTGTGCAATAGAACCGTATCGTCGTGCGACTCGTGTGTATTGTAGGGACTGTGTGAGCGGGTGGGTATTCCGATGTTGAGAGGTTGTTGTCCGTTGTCTGAAAGTTCAGCCCTACTGTTTGTGGCTGAGGGCTCGTCGTAAATGGTATGTAAACCTGTCCGAGTGAAAGTCGTAGGCTGATCCACGTGAATCTCACGTCTATCTGTGTCCTGGCTATGGTCCATTGCGTTCTGACGACAGACCGTCTCAGGGTCACCTTCTTGTGCTTGACTATACCGGAGATTGGGGTCTTGACCAAACCTGGAGTACTGTGTGATGTTCAATCCTCGATCTCTGGGTTCTATATCTGTAGGACTGTATACAGTTGGAGACGTGACGATATTGAGGGGCTGCTGGCGAGCTTCGGGTCCGTGACGGTCGCTCCATTGGTAAGCGAATAGGGGAGGAGGGATTTGGACGCATGGCTTTCGGGGTATAATTTTCTGGTTTTCCATCGTGAGCGACGATTGAGTGTGGGGATACTGAAGGGCGATTACCACATCCTTCTTCTATAAAGCTCGTAGCACAGTGTGGAAGCTACTGCTCCTTCAGAGATCATTCTACATCTCCTGATTCCATTATCGACGAGCTGAATGATCTGAATGCCGCTCTAAGACAACATTATACTTGATTTGTGGGCATGGGTTAGACGTATTACTCAGCCCGCTTCCAGGTTCGGTTAGATTATTGGCATATCTCAAAGTGCTGCGATTGGCATGCAGCAGTAGTAATACCATTGTGTCTGTGCGCGCGATGACTATTCTACCGAACCTTGGAATTGTTACGATCGCTCGGGGAACAGCTCACCGCTGGTAGCCAGCGCTTTAAAGAGTCCTACGGTGTAGTGGGAGGACGTGACTGTTCCTCGATGGGCGGCTTATGCCAAGCTCATTAGCTGACGTTTTACACCGGTTATTCAGCCACCCCACTAAACCCAACGCGACGCTTCTGTAAGATGATGTCTGTGCGCGAATGACGAGCTAGTACAGTCTGTGATGGGCTGGAAATCGGTTTGTGAATGGTCGGCGATATCCCGGTCACGTGCGCAGCCATTCGATCTGCGCAGTCTGTTCTCTATCGCACAGTAGACAAAAGCGGAAATTGGAGGTAGAAGAGAATCGCTTGAAAAACACATACAAAAGCATCCCAGATATCAGCACACGAACCTGGTGTCCCGAGAAAGCTCTTGTCGTGAGCATACATGTAAATTCTGTCTCTTGTGCTTCTTTTGGTTCTTCCTTTCCTATACCTTGGTTCCGCAGTGCTCTTCGCTTTGGGCTTGCGGACAGGTCGAATATAATCTTTGTATTCAATATCAAAAAAGATTCTGCCTCACTTGATGGGGAAATAATGTTCCGTCCCAAGAAGAATATCTTGATTGAGAAGCTTCAGGGCTTCATTATGTATACCAGGCCTGCATAAATCTATTGGTAAAGCTGTAGGGGCTGGTCGCTCATCGTCCATGGACGTTCAAGGGCAGTGAGACGTAGCAACAGCATGGAAATCTGATTGTTCACTAGTGACGCGAGTTGACCTTTTTGACTTGTTACCTACCTTTGTCAACCCAGCAAGGAAGGCGCGTCTCGATTGTTGTTGTTGCTGCCTTGGCAGGTGCTTGGAAAGTCTTTTACACTCACCTCTACGTTCACATCGCGCCCCTACTCTCCAACACGCACACATTTCTTCATCATGAAACATCGTCTGTCCGGGGACGTCGCGCAGCCAGGACCTGGTCGGTCCAAGAGGCACAAACTCGGCGATCAAGGTCAGTTGCGCGAAGCACTGCACAAGATGTAAGACTTTCGACTTGCAGTCGATGTATTTGCAGCTAACGATGATGATAGCACTCAGCAGAACGCCACCACCTCTCCGCTCCTTCGCCTTCCTGCCGAAATCCGAAATATGGTCTTCAATTACGTATTCTGCGGCGAGATTTACCACATTGGTACCAAAGGTCACTGGATGACTTTCGACAACCGTTTCCATCAGCCGAGCCTACTTTTCGTCTCTCGCCAGCTGTATCACGAAACAGCGTTATTGCCGTACAAACTTGCAGACTTTCACCTAGGCCATCATTACTACGGCTCTGGCTACCTCTGTAGCATTCGGGTATTTTTGCGGAGACGATCGAAGGATCAAATTAAAGTCATGGCTCGAGTAACGTGCCACGTTCACGACACGTTTCCAAATGGCGGTGGGATGACGGCAACTGGGGCATACTGGATCAAAACCTTACGGCTCGTATAGTTGCCAAGGCCTTCCGGTCGCCAGACAGCGAGTTTTGTAGTGATGGGGCTGCTAGCTGTACTTGGCCTTTATGTCTGGAATCAGAAGAACTGTGGCGCGCTCCTGAATGCTATAGAAATTCGAATACATGGTCATATGTTCCAACACTCACGTTCACCTTGAGCTACAGGCAGCAAGGGCCATAGTCTTGGCAAAGCCTCTCTCACTCGTTCGCTCTTCACCCACCCTCCTCTTCTGTTCCATCACCTACTCACTTCCTTTTCTTCCAATATCGCCCACGCTTCCGAAGCTACTACTTCTCCATCAACAAGTCACACGTCTTTCAGATATAGGATGCTTGACCAGGCCCGTCACGAAGTTGCAACTAGCGAGCAGCGTCTACGCGACCCCGCTCAGCGTGAGAAGATGTGAGTCTCCTATTTTCTGGCTCAACTGCTCCATTTCTAACGGTCCTTCTTTAGCACTAAGCGCAACGCCATCGAGTCACCACTTCTGCGTCTTCCCCCCGAAATCAGGAACGGTATCTACGCCCACATTTTCGGCAACACATGCTACTACTTTCGGCCCAGCAGATGGCCCGGAGGCCCTCACGTCGTCGTCAAACCTTACCAAACCGAGTATCGACATCTAGACCTGCCTCTCGTTTGTCGCCAGCTCTACCATGAAACGAGGTTGCTTCCTTACAAGCTCGGGACATTCAATTTCCACCAGCTGCCTCATCAATCAGTCTCCGATCCTCTCATCTTTGTCGCCATAAGGATATTCCTGTCAAAGAGATCAAAGGCGGAGGTCGAAGCGCTTCAGACATTGACCTTTAAGTTTGGCCACGAGGATATGAAAACAACTGGGAATGGCATGTACTGGGCCGAACGACTGGGTCTTGTGGTGCAGTTTCTCTCCTAGCTACACACCAAATGATAGTTTGCTAGCGATGCCGAGCAGATCGTTGCAAGGAGAGTCGTCATCGTAATGTTGGAGTTCTCCAGGCAACGTCCTCAAACGACGACTGGTTGAGGAAGACGAGGTCATTAGACAACTGGAGTATTTGGAATACAGTGGGCGTCACGTTCACCCAGGCAAACAACAACCAACAGGCTTCTCTTGTGTATATAACCAAATCAACATCCTCGTGTACTGCTCCGCTTGGCACCTAAATCGTCTTGATCTCTTTCTGTCCCAAGCTCCGCAATTGCTCCAACTATCCTCTTCCATAGGTAGCCCAATTTCAATACGATCATCGCTTCGGACACTCTCGATGGAAGCCGGTCAAAAGAGGATAACGAGGAGAACAGTTCGGCTCGCTAAGATGTGCGACTTCTGAATCTGTCATCGAACGATAAGTTAACAATAATTCAGTACCGAACTCAACGTCTTGCAATCACCTCTCCTTCGTCTTCCTGGAGAACTCAAAAACATCGTATACTCCTACGTATATTGTGAACAATATTTCTTCCTGGACAGGGCTGTATGGCGCCAATATCGTCGAGTTGAGATGGAGGACAGTCTTGATCGGGCTCTCGGTTTGCCTCTTACGTGTCGTAAGTTGAGAGAGGAAACTGAACTGCTTCCATACAAACTAGCGACGTTCTACTTCGAAGGCTTCTTTGCATGCAGGCTTAGGAGATATGGCAAGAATGTAGAGCATAATGTTTATCAACAGCAACGTGCAGCGCTACGAAGCTTTCTGGAGAACAGATCAGAGGAGCAGATTGAGGTTTTAAGTAGAGTGGGGTTTGGGGGATCCAATGGGGCGACGACGAGGTATGACAAGAAGATGAGGACTGGTCTGTATTGGGTCGAGGAGCTGGGTGGCATTGGGCTCCTTTCCTAGCTCTAGATTGAGGAGTTGATTCATGTTCCAGCCGCTAGATGTGTTGTTGCGCCAAGACAATCCACAATGATAACTGTATGTTCTAAAAGAGTAGCCTTGGACCCATGACCACTGCTATAGCTTGATATCTATATCCTAATTGCTTCACTTGCATACCACATTGGGGTCAAAGATGAAGGTGAAGGCAGGGATTTCCTATGACGTGTCGTTGACGCCGTAAGTCTCTTTGAGTGGTCTCCTTCACCTTGGCCACCTCTTCAGGAAGGGAAGAACGTCTGTGAATACCCGACCTTGGCAGGGTCTCTCCAGGCACTTGAATCTTCTCTCCGACTAGATCTCTTCCACCAACACGCTTTCCACCACCGTCGCCCTTCCTTGAGTCTTTGTGACCACTTCGCCATCGATGTCTTCCTCCTCTATCGGCAACGCGGCTGATCAGCATCTGGAGCAGTCTCGAAGTGAGATTGCTGCGCGCGACAAGATGTTAGACTCCCCGTTCCTTCCGTTTTCTCGCTTAGCAATAACTGATTTATGATAGCTCCAAGCTCAACGCTGCGAACTCCCCACTCCTTCGTCTCCCGCCTGAGATTAGGAACATGATCTACGAAAACGTCTTCCGCGATCAAGTCCTCGAACTTAAAGGTACGGAGTTTGATCTCGTCGAAGGAGAGTATGACGTCATCCAGACAACGGTGCACGTCACCAAATACTTAAGCCTACTTCGTGTCTCTCGCCAATTGTATCGAGAAACCGCCTTGTTACCATATCAGCTCACCACTTTCAAGTTCGGCTATTCTCATTATCCTTTGGGCAAACCATTCAGCGCTCTGAAAATTTTCTTGTTGAACAGATCGTGGGCGCAGGTCTCAAGCCTGCAGCGCATGGAGTGTCCTGTTAAGTTTGACAGGTACTATATGCCTGTCCACGAGGATAAGAAGAAGAGTGGAACTGGCCTGTACTGGTTCGCTTATTTGAATCTGGAACAGTCCAACTTGGCCGTTCACGGAACAGTTCTGTGAAAGCATTGGTTTCGAATCCGCGATCGCACACCTTGTGGTCTTGATGTTAGGATGCTACAAGGGTGGTCGAAAGCGGGGTTCGGGGTGGTTATGTACTCAGCCATGTCCCTAATGTGGTTAGTCTGCTTTAGAACCCACGGTTTCCTCAAATATCCATGATTTATAACGCACCTTTTCCATCTCGCTTCCTCTGTACCTGCTTGCTACCCTTATCTGAACACCCCATGCCCGAGGTCGACATGCCCACTCGCAAACAGACTGCGCCACCCTCGAGTGGTAGGTCTTTCGCAGAGGGAAGAGAGACGTTTCTGATCGTGACGCCGCAGTCCAGTCCTCAGGATCTACTCCTACATGAACGTGGTCGCCTGGACAAGATGTAAGTCCCTTGAGACTCAGCCATTAGCGCTCTGACTTACAACGTGTTTTAGCACCGAGATCAATGCTGTTCAGTCACCACTTTTACGTCTTCCAGCGGAGATAAAAAATATGATCTATACTTATGTTTTTGATAGGGTCGTTGGAATCAACACAAACGCATGGTTTCTCTTCCAACATGTCAGTCTAATGCCACATTATTTCAACGATGTATATCTCTATCACCATTCCGCCGACCGCAAACACAACTTTCTAAATCTGCTCTACGTCTCTTGCCAAATTCACGAGGAGACCGCTTTACTCCCGTACAAGCTTACAAAATTCAATTTTGGCATCTTGATCTCAGGAGAGCTCGACGATGATGACAATATGTTTGAGGCTATAAGAGTATTCCTAGAGAAAAGATCAAAGAGACAGATTGAAGCTCTTGCCAAGTTGGAGATTATGCTTCTCCAAGATGTTACGGATCTCGGAGAGTTAAAGTTGGGGACCGGTATGTACTGGGCTAACAGGTTGAGATGCAAGATTCCTCCTGCCTAGCTGTCGATCAGTCGTTTTTGCCGGGCATTCCTGTCAGTGGGCAGTGAGCGTTATGGTGAAACGGGTCCCAGGAGTACATGCTTTCGTCACGGAGGCAACATTGGTACAGCGGTGCTGGTGGGCAGCTTACTTGTTAGCACTCTACTATCGTCGTTTTTCAGAATCCAGGACATGCATGTATCCACAGATCCGAAACGGATGCTTCAAAATTCCACACTCAGCCTCATTCACTTGAGATCGACCTTCACTGCCTCTCTCGCACTTTGCGTATACATTCTGAGGTCAACATCCACCTCGTCTTTGGAAAGTTTCATCCCGGCCATCATGGCCTCCCGAGGCCACACCTCACTGTATGCTGGCAATAGACAGCTCACTGTTAAGAAGGTGTGGGATGATAGAGTCCAGCTAACGGACAGGGATAGGGCTCAAATTCCTACTGTCAAGGCCGCTGGCCACCGCGTTCTGCATGATCGACCCCGCCGTGATTAGGTGCAAGTAATTTAGTTTCTCATACATGAGTGGTGATCTGGAATTTCCCATATCTACAATTTAGACGCAAGAAATTGCCCCATACTCTGCCCGCCGACCAAGATTGGAAACATGATATAGGCTTGTCTTCTCGCTAAAGACTATGCAATCAGATACATGTGAATCATACATATCCGCATCGTAATCCCCGCCCTGACCCGCATAGATCATAATCTCTTACATCTACTCTATGTTTGCCGTTAGGTCCACGCTGACACAGCACTTCTCCATAAGAACTTGACACTTCTGCGAACGCTAACCTAAGTCAATGTTTTTCTTCAAATGCTTTCCTTACAGCAGTGAGCGAAGACGCTGATAGAAGCGATAACTACATGAATAGTCTGAACCTTCTGCAAATGTCGGGAAAAGGTACACACACGTGAAGGTGCAGGATAATCTTGGACCACCCATTGAGGATGGCTTTTGGAGAAGATAGCAATAGACCGGTCGTAAACGGAGATAGAACTTGGAAGTGGGTGGGGCTTCCAAAAGAGGTAATCAGTCTGGCTTGGCTTCACCTTCACTTTTGTCGGCAGCCTAAATACCCATCGAAGAGCTCGCCCTTGAGTCCCACAACCTTTTCTCCTTGCAAAATCACCCCGCTTACGACAGTTGTCCTACACTCCACGATGCCAGCCAAGAGGCGTGCAGCCATGGCTTCCGCCGACGCTACGTCTGCAAAGAAGTCGAAGTCGAAACCAACGAAGCGCAAGGGGAGATCAGAACGGAGGTCAGAGCGGAGAGCTGCCATGCGTGATCGAGTTCAGTCTCACCATAGCCAGGAACTTCGCGACCACAAGTAAGCTTCCGGATACCCGATCTCAGAGTGCGCGACTGACGTCCTTTACAGCGGCAAGCTCAAACACTTCCCCCTTCTGCGCCTACCTGCCGAAATTAGGAACGCTATCTACGAGCACGTTTTCAGCGACACACAGTACGACTTCGATGCTTCCTGCATGGTTGAAGACGACACTAGAGCCTCTCAATCATTCAATGAATGTAACCTCGGTCTCATAGCCGCCTCTCGCCAACTCCATGCTGAAACTCGATTGCTACCCTACAGTCTAGCCGTCTTTCGCTTTGACTTCGAGACCTCCAAGGATGGATGGCAAGGACCCGTAAAAAGATTCGTTGATCTGAGAACAGAAGAACAGAAGGGTGCTATTGGTGACAACATGAGGGTTATCGTGGAAGAGTTTTGGATCACCAGATATCTGAGCGCCAGATACGGCAGGCGTGAATATATCATCTCAAGATTTGATCGCCTCTTTCGTTGATGTCTAGCCGGCAGAAGTACTTAAATTAGTACTAAATCATAAGCCTTTCTGTAAAAGAAGCTATGTTCAGGGAGCCATTGCACAGTGATAGTGGAGTAGTATCCCATACTTAAGAAAGCTGTATACTGCTAGTTCGCTAAAAGTCAATTAATAGTAGCTGAGATTGATCTTAGGCTAAGGCTTAGGGCGTTGATCTAGATGTCGTTTATCTGGATACAGTTGCGAGCCGCACGCTTGCGCCTTGATCGGGTTATCATTGAGGATTCGCCGACTGGACTCCAGACCATTACAGGCATACTCTCTACCAGTACGACAGCTGCTCAAGATGGCCATAGAAGGTAACTCGTTCGTTCTCCCAGATGCCATCCCCTTGAGCATAAGCCTCACTGATGTTGTATCCTTTGGTACCTGGAAGTGGGCCGAGTTCGCCGTTCTTGATTACCTGGTGGATGTTGAAGGATGCGTTGCGCTGAGAAAGGTTCAACTCGACATCTTGGAAATAGTTGTTTCCGCTGTATTCGCTTGTCCATGGATTCATTCCCTTTGTCGTGTTGTCCACTTCAAGGACCTCGTGAATGCCATTGGGGTGCCAGATCGTCGCCCAGGCAGGAATGCCGAAAGGCTTCTCGATTGTTGGGCCTACAACCCAGCCATGGATCAGGATACCGTTGGAAAGGTAGAGCCAATATCCGTAGTGACCTCCAGCAATCCCGAACTCGCCCCACTGGCGCTCGAAATAGCCTCTGGACTGATCTGAGTCAATTACCAGTTTTTCTCCACCGACCGTGATAGTTCCTTCAAGCTTGAGAGTTGGATTGCCCTATAGGTAGAACGTGTTAGCAGGACGAACACTCTTATCCAACTCCACAGTGCGCACATACCCAATACCAAGAATATCCTGGGACAAGCGTGCGATAGTCATTTTGATTAGAGTTTCCACCATTCTTGGGTGAGATCGTTACGCCACCAGCGCCCCCAATGTACAAATTCTTGCCCGTCGGAGTCATTTGAACGTCCATCTTGACACCGGCATAATCCGCAGAAATATGCACATCGGTGAAGTTGTCACCTCCGCGTGGACTTGTGAGGTTTTGAATCTCCGATCGAAAATTGAGGAACTCGGTGCTCCCTGTCCCAGGTGCGAAGGCAGTTGCCCCAGTGGATGAGAAGTTCTGCAGATCTTCCACTCTAAAGATACCAGTTGTCTCGCCGCGGAAGAAGTTCGGGGCCAGCATCGTATGAAATTTCCGTCCACAGGTGGTGGTCAACCAATAGAAATAGCAGTAGCTGTTCAAGTTGTCTGGATTCTCTTCATCAAGCCAGACCATCGTTTTGCGAACATCGTAGCGGCCCGCGTGCGTCTTCGCTGATAGTGAGTTCTTGTTCCATCTTGATATACGGGGAAACATACACCATCATTATCAATAGTACTGATAGGGAAGCTTGGTCTGACAAATGGAGGGATTTCAGAGATGTTGACGGCGCTTACGAGACCAACGAGAAACAAAGAAAGGGACCGCATCATGACTTTGATGTATCAGCTGTGCGAGGTTGACGTGGAGGAAGCTTGAGGCAATTATCAGGAGGAGGATACCAAAGCACGATATACGTCTGAGTGACATGATGGAACGTATTATTTAATCCACTCTAGAGCTCTCAAGACTGTTCTAGGACCATGACTGTTTTGGTTGCTAGCGCTTCTCCGGAAGCGACATGATATCTTGTCGTTGCAATTCATTCCATCAGAACCTCGTACGTATGACTCGCGATGTCCTCAAATATCTTGCTGGCAAAGGCAACGAATTTCTATACGCGTACTCATAACGTGGGTCTGCTTATTGCAGGCATGACGTACTTGTACCTACATTGGGATAGCTTCGTGCACATGCATCTAATGCAGGAATTGGATCGATGCAAAAAATAGTGGAACAGAACCTCTGTTTCAACGTATGATGACTCAATAAGCCTTCCGGAACATAAAATTTCGCTCATATGTATACACAAAATAAAGCAAGACAATGAGTTTCTCAAGGGAATGTGAGCACACTTTGTTTGTATCTAGGTAATTTGTAATAGCTACACTGCTCCTGTTCGTAAAGAAACTATGGAGATAAATCGAAATGCATCAATTATACTGCGATGGTAGATTTCATGATTAATATAATGTTCCAATTGTATGCCCAGAGTGTTCAGCAGGTATTTATTGTAAGCCCTCCCACAAAGCGTACACACGAACGCTGTAGAGTTAGATTGATCTAGAAATATGCACAAAGACTGGTTTAATGTGTATGCGCAGACGGAATACAGGCTTTACCTACCTGTCTTTGAAGGCAGGATGACAACCTCCGTACCACCGCGGAGATACAGATTAAGCTTTCCTAGGCTCGTGATCTATACGAGTTACGCGTATTCTCAGTGCAAGCAGTTACGTAATTCTAAGCGCCATCGGACCGACCTTTGCAGGTATTCAACATCCACCCGTTACGAAGCTACCTGCTGTAAGTCGCAAATATCACCAAGAGACATCGTTGTTGATAATATCTTATACGTTTTTTTCATGCTGATATGACTTGAGGGCATGTGCAAAATTCTTTTTTGTCATTAAGCAAACCACATAATTTATCGATCGCTTGTGGAGCACTTTAATACATGTAAGGCTGACTTATGGTTTCGCTCAAGGATAACTTCCAATTCGCTTGCCATCACTCTATGACTCTGAACAATTTCCGCTGTAATAATCCTTTAACAGTTTTGTAACAGTACCGCTCGGCGCGTCAACTCATGACGATTTGCAAGGCGATACGGTTCTGCAGCGGCCAATGCGATTCAGATTCAATATCCGTCAAAAGCAACGGCGCGCCGGGTGTCCAAGCATCTACACATTGAGACATGTAGATTTCTACTAGGCTGATAGTTCATTCAACATTGTGGACTGATAGGCTCTCGTTTCTCGTTCAAGTCATGTGCCGGTTGAAAGATGACGACCTGTTCAAGATTTGACGCCCAAAGATTCGCCGACGGGCTTGCCGGGAAGCTTGCCGAAGTGCCTGGAGCGGCTTACGAGGCCATGCCGAAAGCTGCATGTTGGAATGCATCCAAACATCATCGTCGTCACTAAACCTTGCAGACCAGGAAGAACGGTCGGTTACCATCTTTGTACGATCCGCGACCATCCGCTCGGACACACCGGTACTCTTTTGGCCGAGAGAAGTCCTTGGAGAAGAGCAAAGTGAAGCGTAATTGCTGTAGACATATAAATGCAAGTAACAAACTATGGAATATGTAGCTTGTCCTACAGGAACATTCTAACAGATCTTCTCAAACCTATATTGAAACCTATCGTTTGCACAAATCGCCTTTAGAAAATGTCAGAAATCAAAGGGTACGAGATCGGCGAGATCAACGCGAAAGCTGCATTCACCTCAGATATCATCCTTGACGCCAGAATCGATCTTCCTGGTTGTGTCAATGCACAAGAGTTGGGTCGTCGTGACATGGACGTCCGTAAAGGCATGTACATCACGTACTTGCCTTACCAACCACATCCAATCACGGGCCAGATTATGGCGGGCGGACGATATCTATTCGAAACTTGGGAAGACGTACTTGACTACGATCATTGGACCACCAATGTTTACGAGACCGGGGATCCTCCAGAGAAGTTTTGGAGCCGATCAACGATGCAAAAGGTCGACCGATGGAACTGGCATGTCGCTGGAGCCTGTCACTTCTCCCATCCCGAAACCCATGGTCTAAGCCGTTTCCAACGTTGGAGCTACTCCGGTGACCATGTCGAAGAACATCTCCGCGAAATTTATCCCCGTATTCGTGATGCAGCCAAGGCCTATGAAGCCGCAGGAGTGTGGCTTTTGTACCAGCCGGAGGCAAATTTGATTGGTCTCTACTATAATGCGAAAGCCGAAGAATCTGGACACTTGGTCTCTCTACGAGGCGATCGAGAATTTGAAGGCTCAGCCATCTCTTGGGCCGCTTTTCCCCGAGTCCCTGAGTCTTCGACCGGTGTTTGACCGCTCAAGCCTCAACTTGTCAATGTGGCTTCCTAAGTCGCGCCTAGCCGGGGGCGTTCACCAAACTAATCCCCTAGTTCCTATTCTCCCTGCAGTCACTGTGTAGACTCATCTAGTCAGTACCAAGAGCAAGAAAAGATAACAAATTGGTGCAAGCACAGATGTGATGGTTTCAGACCGTTGGTGTTCCATCACGGGCCACTGCGTACATGAGAAGTCACATGTATACCCTTCCTGTGTGGGTAACACTGCGGAGCTCCTTCGCGACCTTCTTCTTGGAACTTTCTTGTCATAGCACTTGGATATATCATCTTGTCTTTTCCGACACTCTCACAATAGATTACAGACTCCCTGCTCACTATTGTTGGGACTAACGTAAGCCGACAATGGCCTGCCTGGTCGTGGCTAGGCCCTGTGCAGTGGGAACATTGTGACAACAGACTTCGCAGCAATATATATGATTAAGAGACTGAATTTCTAACAGTAATCACGCGGCGCATGTTCTTCGTTAAGTGTCACAAAGCTGTAAGCTGAATTACTGATAAAGCTTCTTAGTTGTATAACAATACATCAGCGCGAAACTCTGCCTTGCTATTCAGCAAACTGGGTGAAAGTTCTATAATTTCGTAGAGAGAGGTTAGAGCGATGATTCGCGTGCGAGTATGCTATGGAAGATACTTTTTGAAATGATGGGCGAATATCTCAGGCCTGTTGTAGTGACCTGCGAAATCAAAGGTGTGCTTATACCTCTTTACAGCGTCTAGATCGACATCGGCGAACAGAATTTCGTCTCCTATCTTCGCATCAATCGACCCGGCAACCTCGACACCTCCCGGTGCAAATATGGAAGCTCTTCTTTTTTTCTGCTCGCTTCGCATGAACTCCCTGGTCCTCTCGTCGATTCCGTATGCCTCGATCTCTGCATCAGAGACAACAGCAGCCGCGTTGATGACATAAGTCCCTACTGAGAATGCAACCGCCTTGCCGGCCGTATTAACGAAGTCGGCTACGTCCATTCCAAAGGTCAGAAACTGCGGCCAAGCAGCGACATGTACGACAGGGTGATCCAAGGCAGTCGAGTACTGCCCTAGGGGGTTGCCATTTTCACCACACAACAAACCACTCAGCCCACCAAATTCCGTTTGGATCGACGTCTTGCTACCTGTTGTGCCAGGCGCATGGATCATACGTTCTCCCACAGTCGGCACGTATTTCTGGTGTTTGTGCAGAAAAGTTCCATCTCGGCCGATAGTCAGTTGGGTATTGTATAGCGTTCCAGTGGTGTTCGGATGGCGCTCGTTGATGGCAACCACGGCGTAGATGTTTGCTTCCCTGCATGCATCCTGCAGCGATTCCACTTCAGGGCCAGGAACTTCCACTGCATTATTGAAAAGTTGAAGGTAAAGCGATTCCGTGAGAGGATCAGTAGTGCGGAGGAAGGGAAACCAGCCCGGAAATCCTGGGATGAACCCCTCCGGGAAACCAATGACATCTGCACCTCGGGATCCCGCTTTTCGGATAAGCTCACATGCCTTTTGTGTCGAGGCTGTCTTGTCTAGAAATACCGGGGCTGCCTGTACAGCTGCGAGTTTGATAGCCATGAAGAGTACAATAAACCTGGATTTGAAGATATCGAATAGACGTGGTAGGCTTGTTCGAAAAGCAGGCTTTGGTTTGCAGTGATGAAATACTTGATGCTTTCGGCGGTATTTATGCACAGTTGCCGACACGACAATGCCGATCGGCATCGAAGTTAAGGCTGTGCTGAGTGAACTGCCGCTTGATGCACGATGAAGGCCCGATAACTCCCAAAACCAAAAATTGGATAGAAAAACAAGATAGCTATGTACCGGTTGACGTGTTTTACCAAAGTGCTAGATACACTACTGTATGTCAAGCAATATGCTGTTAGGCGATGCTGGATACACCTCATTCTGCACTCATAGAGTTTATTGTTCTGTAGGCCTAGAAACAGATTACCGTCAAGCAATAATAACGGCCATAGATCTTGATTACCGCGGATCGAGTCGAATCGGTCTAGAATAGACAAAGCTCAGATATTCTGTACTTGCGCATGATAATCACAGTAGCTTAACAGAGACTTCCGAAACTTAAAATCACGAAACCGATGAAGTTCTGCAGCCACTACAGATTACAATAAGATTATACACAGCTAGAGTCAAGCTAGGACTAGGCTTATAGATGTAAGAGGTCACGCCTAAGTACTGCAACACGCCAATTTTCATATTGTCTACTGACTTGAAGTCGCTCAAGGTGATGTTTGGGATTTCTGAATGGACACAGAACGACCAGGCAACAACTGCGTCAAGGTTGATGTCGCAATGAGCTAAACCAATATATGACTGAGCGTTGAATACCGCTGGAGTGAATTGAAAAATTAAGATTGATTGCCACTTCCGCCACACGCCAGCCTGTAGGACTAAGTTACCAGCACTATATCGAAAGCCTTTCTTCGGTCTTTCTTCCTGCTTTCCTTTTCCAGATCACTCCACCCGTCAGAGCTTGCGCATAAGTCAACATGGTTTCCCGAAAGCGACCTCTCACGCATCCGACTGATGCACCCACGGCGAAGAGACTGCGCGATGTGAGAGCTCTTCGGCGAGCTGCTCAACGAGATCCGAGTCAACTCGATCGGATGTAAGTACCAGACTAGAACCACACAAACATCAATCTAATCTTCGCTATAGCACCGAGTACAACGCTATCGAGTCCCCTCTCCTCTGCTTGCCAACCGAGCTACGCGACATGATTTACGCCTGTGTCTTCGAAAACGAGCAGTGGGTATTCCATGAAGACGATTCATCCGATGAAAAGGGCTTCTTGAGCTCAAGATCATTCCGTGAGAGTAACCTCGGATTGCTATCCACTTCTCGCCAACTACGTGCAGAAACCAAATTGCTTCCGTATCAGCTTGCAACGTTCCACTTCAGATTCTATGATTGGGACGACTGGAGCGAAGTGGAGTGGTTGATGCGTCTTCAGATGAGGTTCTTCGAGACTAGAACAGTAGAACAGCTTCAAGCTATGACTACGGTAACAGTCTCCGGACATGTCGACGTGTTGAACACCTACATACATTATCGAGGGAACGTGGCTTCCTGGTTTGATTTCTTGCCCCCCATGTCAGGCAAGGCACCTACTCAGAAATGGAAATCATTGCAGAAACAGCTAGGCGCCAAGTGCACAGGTCTCGATTTTTAGCTATAGACAATTCAAACAAGTCATAACTATTCACTACATGTGCAATGCCCGTACGGGAGCCTAGTTCCATCTACGTCACTAGCTCGCTTATTTCAGGCGACGCCTCCAATCCTCAAGTAGCTTACCTTTAATTGCACAACCTCTCTCTTCCTACGTCTCTCTGAAAGTCTCAACGAAACTTCAGCATGGCATCCAAACGCCTCGTTAGGACGCCTCATGTCAGCAAGTCATTGGCAAAGGAACAAACCGGTAGTGAGGCTCAGCGCAAGGCTTATGCTCAACAGCTTCGCGAGCAAGGCCATTATGATAAAATGTAAGTCTTCATATAGACTTTAGCAAGCCCCGTAGCTAAAACGTCTAGCACCGAGCTCAACGCAGCCAACTCACCTCTTCTCCGCCTCCCTGCCGAGATTAGAAACATGATTTTTGAGCAAGTCTTCGTCAACCGCGATATCCACTTGCAAGCATACAGCGAAGACCCCATATCCATTCCAGACATCTATACCTTTTACGATATGGGCGATTTTGGGTTGAGTCTACTTTTTGTATCTCGCCAGCTTCGTACAGAAACAGCCTTGCTTCCGTACAAGCTATGCACGATGCGACTTATTGATGGTTGGTGGACAGAAGGAGAAGATAACTCGCGGCCCATTGTCAGATGTTTCTTGAAAAGGCGATTGAGGGAACAAGTGGAAGTCATTAGTGATTTGGCACTTCCAGTATTTGATGAGCAAGATGGTGAGCACAAACTTCTCCGTGGGACAGGATCATACTGGGTTGAGTGGCTGAATAGCGAAGAGGATGGACAGTGGCTGGACGAAGTTCTCGGTTTCAAGAAATAGAGGAGTGGATAGTCACTTAGTTTGAAGGTCGATCCTGTTGGTCTTCGGATGGCGGATACGCAGGAGAGGATATCCTCATCTGGATTCTACCATTGATGAAAATATTGACTTGACGTTCACCTATCCCTCTCCTAGAGTTAAGCTTGAAAGTTGCTTTAGATGTCAAAATTCGATACACTGGCCACTGTACATATGTGCAGCTCAATAAGTCGAAACTTGGGTGACTAGCACGGTAGCAACGTTGTCTCTCGAGGTATCCTGTGAGCCTCGACGTCGGTCAGTGTGACACGTCAGCCCTCGATCACGCGTATAAATCACAAACCCCGTCCCCCAGTGCCATAAACATGCACGCGCATATCGCACATTCTGCAAACGCCCGGTGGGCGGTGAGTCGAATGGCCCCCTTCACAGCAGCACGGTGACCCTTGTCATTGGCCAGGGCTCCGCTCTCCTCTTGCTCTTATCCGCGCACACAGAGTCTTCACCGTGAAGAACGTTGCACGGGATGAGGCGCGTGAACGTCGCGCATTGACCCGCCTTGTTGTTGTTATCTTCTCCTTCGCGTTCTGAGTTTATGATTCGCACTCACCACCAACACTGCGGCTACCAGCATCTGCATCACAACACGACTTTGTACGCGGTTGTTGTACCAGTGAATAGGTTGTTGTAACATCTATACCCCTTATACTACCTACCCTCGCTCACTCGCGCTGCAAACATGGCGCCGCCTGTCGTCCCATGGCCGCAAAAGCGTAAGGCTTCGACCTCGAACGATTCAACCTCGAACAAGCGCACACGATCCGTCTCGATCTCCGTCAAAGTCTCCCACGAATCCGTACTTGAAGGCCTACTTGGCAGTCGGGAAGTTCCTGTTGGGACCAAGAATTCACAAGCGTGTCTCGGTGGCATGCCAGAAGAGCTCCTCCTGCACATCGCTGGATATCTAGACATGAGCCCTGGTACACTTGCGAAGTTGTGCCTTACAAATCACCGCTGCAAACGCGTTGCAGAAGAGGTGCTCTACAAGAACATAGGCAGTCGGTCTCACGATTGGGCGAAAGCGCAATCGGTTGCTAGCAACACTACACTGGCTAGCCATGTCCGCCACTTGTGTTCAGTGTTCGATTGGAACGACAAAATCCTGGTCCCTTGGGACGTGAAAGATGAAGTGTTAGCCACTAGTGATACATACGACAAGATCATTGCCAATGCCCACAAGATTCAGACATTCGCATTGGAAGAAATCGCTCCACAGCGCTTGCGCAGCTGGACCAACAAGTATGATTTCCTTGCGGGTGAAATGAGTTGGTTGGACTTGTTCAATCTTGCTGTCGCACAGCCGATCGAGGGACAGACCAACCGTTTCACTCATCTCAACAAACTCACGATTGTCACCGACGGTTTGTCGCTCGAGAAGATCTCATGCGTGTTCCGCCTTCCGTCTCTTAACTCGCTCTTTCTCCAGGGTGTTCACCAGACGACGCCGTTCAAGGACTGGCCGATCCCCACCTCGAGCAGCCCTGTCCGAGAGATCGCTCTCAGGAATGCGATGATGGACATCTCCGCCGTGGTGCAAATGATCTCTTCAGTGAAGTCTCTCAGAAACTTCATGTACGAACACAATACCATGGCTTGGGAGCCGTTTGGTGATGACGACAATCCAATGTCAGTGTGGCCTGAGCACTCCTGGAAGCTCCTGGGCGACGCGTTGAGGAAACATCAAGATACCCTGGTGGAACTCTATGCTTTCAGCTACTCCGACAAGGCGATCTTAGACATTGTTTATCCTGACGGTCGAGATCTTGAAACACTAGGATCTTTCCGAGACTTCTCAAAGCTTCAGCACTGCGGTATCCCAATAGAAGCTGTCCTCGATGCTGCGACTGCCGAGGATGACTTGTCGGTGTACTTTCCCTCACACTTGAAGCGGTGGTACACCCACATCACACCAGGAACCCCAAAGCTCTTGGAAAGGTGCGTTCCCGCGTTAGCATCCTTGAGAGATATTGTCTGTCTGGGTCAAGAGAAGACCGTTCGCGTGGTCCTGTTGAACGGTCTACCATTCCAGGCACTCGGGCTCTCTCGTGCTTTTGCAGAGTTGGAGGAAGCTGGTATCAAGCTCGAGATCCGCTATGATTACGACATGATCACGTTGGAAGAGTTGAAACGATTAGAGGCACCTTCTGAAGAGGTAGAGTCGGATGAGGAGTCTGACGAAGAGTTGATCGACCAACCGGAAGCCGAGATCGATGAGGAGGAAGGTTATGAGTTATCGGACGTGACTGAACAGGAGATTGCGGACGTGTTGGACGGCAACAGCCAAGCCTCTTTTACTACGCAAGATGCAGTGGTAGGTGCACCGGTCGAAGATGTTGTGGGCTATGTCATACCTGCAGCTTCACACTGCCATGAACAATACTTAGACCATGTCGCCAGATCTGATTAGTCGACGGTACACGTAGGGTCCACCAACAGCTTCGCAATGGTGCGAACTTCGAAGGCAGTCGTGTTTGTTTGATACGATTAGATGGCTCTTGGGTAGATTGACTTTACTGTCGACACCTGATTCGTGTTTGTACGAAGGCGATAACTGTTATATGGACGAGATCCAGGTGTCTGTAGCTTTGAACATGTTGCTAGAACCGTGTCGCTGACCGGGCTTTGCGGGAAGTTTAGTCGCGGCATCGGCAATGGCAAGTTCTTGTACTTACTCAAACCATAGAGAACAACAATGTATCATAGCTATCCAATCGCGAGCTGCAAGCTCCGCCTGTGCATATCTCGGACTTGCGGCTCTGTTGAGAGCTGACAACAGCAAAGCGCGCTGCTACCAACAAATCAGTTAGCTTGAGTATCTCATCGTGTCGGGTGAAGTGGCAACTGATTTTGTCGTGATCGCTAGCACCGTGAAGATTGTTGAAGTTGTCAGCACTTGAGGCGCAGAGTGGAAGCGCCACGCGACACGCTTGTCCCTGATGACGTCAGCTCCTAGCATCGCTCCACCCGGTGTACCTCTTCCAATACAATCTCGCGTCGCTTTCTTAACATCGAGACCTTGCAATCATTCAGCCATCAATGCGGCAGTACATCCTGGACTTTTCGGATGATTGCTCCATCGACGAACAAGCTAATGTTGACTGTGCGCGTCAAGCGTTGGGAAGAAGAGCTCCTGACGCTCGAGGCACGCCACGGATGTGCAATATCCAGATACCGTTCTCGTGGAAATCGCGCGGATAACTCCATGTTGACACCCCCTGGAGCCCGCGCAATGCCGTGATACTTGGCGAAGTTGTTTTTCAACTACGGTCGAGAGCGCGGAGGCCTTCCGCTCTTGAACAGCATCTTCCCGAGATCCCATCGCCGAGCGAGACATTCATCGACGGCATGCGTAGACTAACTTCGCACATTCCGATTCTGTAACCTCCTTCCTCTTATCTATTCTCTAAAGTTTGGCTGCGAACGGCTCCCGTCCAAGTCTTGTATATTGGTCCGTACGCCCAGCCGCCTTGGAGGTTCTTGGTCTTTGTTAGCGGGCCGTGGCAGTGATCTCCGCTCCCATCCCGACCGCGGCTTCTTGTCAGTTCGGGAACCCCAAGCCGGCTATCTGTGGCGCACGACATGGACACGAATTTCGCTGCTTGGCGACAGCAGTCCACTTAGAATCTGTTTCATTACCTGCCTGAATAGGTTAGCCCATTGGTAGTCCTGACCTTCCCCAAGAAGAATAGATGCCAAATGGTGCCCAGAGTATACGACTGTACCAAGACGGTAACATGGTACTGAATGGTCGTGTGGCAACGCGATGGCCGAGAGCAAAAGATTACAGTATGAGGGTATCAGAGTCATATATATACCCTTGGAGCTTCAGGTTAATATGCTCATTCCAGCTCAATACTTCTCCTAGAACGCCAAGATGAAGTTCTCGCTCGCTGTGTTGGCACTCCCAATCGCCGTCCAGGCTGCGCAATTCTCCAAGTCGGAGTATGCCTCTGGTGCAATTCATCAGAAGTTGATGAAGTTGAAGGCTGTACGACATATCCTCCTCTTCTGTCTGCAAGATCCAGTACTAACGACTTTCAGGACCAATGGGATCATGATGCAGCCGAAGGCAAGCAAGACTCTCGTCAATGGAAGTCTTGGAAGAGCTGGAAGAAGGGTTCTTGGGGAAGTGGCAAGGATAAACGCATCAAGTGCAAGGATGGTCTCGCCGTCGTCGAGCAAGGCAATGCGAACCAGACGTTCAGGTGTGACAACATGGATCTCTACGACTTCGTCAACCATGCCGACATGGGCGGCCCTGAAGGCCAGGGCAGCTCTTCTTGGGGCTGGACAGCTCGCAACGGCCGCGAGTTCGGTATCGTCGGCCAATTTTCAGGTGCTGCGTTCGTTGAGATCCTCAAGGACGGCCAGATCCAGTACATGGGTCGTCTTCCTGCGCAAAGTGTAGGTTCGCGGTGGCGCGAGATCCGCGTGCTGAACGACTACGTTATCATCGGTTCTGAGGCTGTTGGTCACAACGTCCAGATCTTCGACATGAAGAAGCTTCTCGATGTTAGCCCCGACAGCCCGAAGACCTTTGACCCCAAGACAGACCTTGTTGGCTTGTGGGACGAGTTGCCCATCGGACGTACCCATAACGTGGTTGTTGACTGGGACAACGAGTACATCCTCGCCGTCGGTGCCCAGCCCCGAAACCAGACCTGCAAGGCCGGTCTCCAGTACATCGATCTCGCCAACCCTGGCAAGCCTACTTCTCCCGGCTGTGCCAGCCAGGACGGATACGTACACGATGCTCAGTGTGTCACCTACAACGGTCCTGACCGAAAGTTCCGCGGTCGCAACATTTGCATTGGCTACAACGAGGACACCGTCACCGTCTACGACTCCACCATGAAGAACGGCAACCCTGCATCTGAGGTCATCTCGACTCTCTCCTACCCCGGAGCTACCTACTGCCATCAAGGATGGTGGACTGAGCGCAACTGGCACCAATACGTCCTCTTGAACGATGAGCTCGATGAGCAAGAGGCCGTCGGTCCAGCTGCATCCGGCCGCCCTGTCACCCACATCATCGATTTCACCGACCTCCGCAACCCTAAGGCGACCGGTACTTTCTATGCCACCGACAGCAAGGGCATCGATCACAACCTCTACATCGTCGATGGACTTGCCTACCAGAGCAACTACGGTGCTGGTATCTGGGTACACGATGTCCGCAGCATCAGCAAGGACCCTACTGGAAAGAGCGTCAAGACTGAGGGTTTCTTCGACATCTACCCTGAGGACGACTCTGTTGGTGGTATTGTTCAGTTTGTTGGAACCTGGTCGCACTTCCTGTTCCCCTCTGGATACATCCTAGTCAACACCATTGAGCGTGGTGCTTTCACTGTCAAGCTCGCCAGTGGTCGCGGAGCTAAGCGCGGTCCAGGCTTTGGCGGTAAGTCCAAGGGAAAGGGCAGGTGAACATTCCGCGAGTAGTATAGCATAAGAACCCGCATTTTCAATAATACTCTGTTCAATGATAATCAAGCTCGATTGTTCGTATGTGAAACTGCTTGTATAAAACGACATTTCTATCTCCAATGGCTTGGTAAGCCTGATCCGCATACACAACACGTCTCGTCTCGTGGCCGTAAGCATCTCATTGACGTACGTCCTCAAATCCTTGTCTCATTTATCAGCCTTGCCATCCGTCAAGATACCTTGTTCCATCTTATTTTTCCAGAAGTATGTGATTCAGTTATGCTGAATTTGTTTCGCGACATTCGATATATGGTCCTCAGTTATGCACGGGGCGTACAAAAAAGCGCTACCTTTCAATGCGCATGTATCCGTGGATGGCGAACGTGATGCCGTTTGACATCATGATGTGGCCTCGTCGCGCCAAACCTGAGAAACGCCGCTACCACACCACCCCAACTCCCTGGATTCGCCGTCTGCGTAGCCGTCATAGTATCTTCACTTCCACCAACCGATATCAAGTTCTGCACGCCCTTTGTATTGACATTATAAAGCCTTACCGCACTTTCAGGCTTCAAGTCCTCCAAGTCTACGATATTGATCTGGCAGATGCCGTCAGGACCCGAACAGGGCGCATACTGGGGGCCATTGAAGAAGACCCAGAAGCCCATGCCGTATAGCGCAAGGGCATGCGACTCTGAGCCAATGACACGTACAGACCACGACATGTAGCACTGGCTGATGTTGCCTGAACAGCCCTCGAAGGTCGGATCGTGCCAGGTGGCATTGGGCGTCCAAGGATACGGCGCCTGGGGCACAGGCTGCCAGTATGGTGTTTCGACCTGCATCAAGGAGGTCATGACGTTCTGCGCGTTGTGCAATGTATAACCATACAGCGTATGATGCTCGCTGCCTGTGCCGACAAGCCAAGTAGCTGTAGTGGCTTCAACGAGCATGCCTCTTCCTGTGCCGACGGATGTGGGGTTCGTGCCGTCGAGGTCGTGGTCAGCGGTCCAGAGCCAGCTGTTTTCAATGTAAACCGAACTCGTCTCTCTGAGATGCATGACCAGGAAAGCAGCTTTGCACGGCTGCGTCTCGGATTGGCACGCGGTTTCGGTGCGAGAATCGGCCGCACCACCAATGCGGTAATGCGTGTTGTGGAAGGAAACGTCGCCTTGATTGCTTCCTTTCATATTCACTTCGACGAGGATGGCGCCGGGCAAGACGTCGGAAACAGTGAAGAGCATGTCGCTAAATTCCGCCAATCCTACCTCGCCTGGTTTGCCGACTTGTATCATAGGCTGGGGATTGGCTTCATCACTGAACTTGTTGCCCGCAGCGCTGATGATGGACCAGACTTCGCCAACGATTCGACTACCGGGCGGAACGTAGATGGTGTCCGTCACGCTGTAGACACCGTGTGGGAAATAGGTTATCTTGCAGTTTGCATTGTTCTTGAGTGCAGCGTTGATAGCGGCTGTGTCGTCTGTCTGTCCGTCACCTATTTCTGGTCAGTGAACTGGCAACATGACTTTGGGATGAACAAAAGTACCTCTAGCGCCAGCATCCTTCACGGAAGCAAAGGCGGACGCAGGGTAGTGCGTATACTGCGGTTGTGGCTTAGTGAAATAGCGTCCCGAAGCATCAGCCAGACTACCACGATCTGCATAGACGTGCTTAGTGCCGTTGGAAACTATGGCTGTACCATTACCATCCTCGTACACGTGTCCGGAGATGTACGTTTGTCCTACGAGGCTGCCTTGGGCCATCGTCGTTCCGTTGACAACTAATAGCGGGCCAGAACTCTTCACGTCGATGTTTTCCAGCACGACGGAACTGGAACCATTGACAACCACACCACAAGTATCACACCAGCTGTCAATAAGATTGAGCGACCCTGTCACTCCTTGAGCACCCATATCGACGCAGATGCCTACGTTGATGCAGTTGATCTGCTGCATCGAGATGACGAAACCGTGCGTGATCGCAATAGCTGTCGCGACGTTGGTGAACTTGAGGTTCTTCAGGCTATACTGTTGGTTGCTGAATTGCAGTCCGATGAGGCCGCCGGAGAACGTAAGGTCTCCCATGAAAAGGCCCGACCCACCGCCGCTGGTACCTCCATTCATTTCGATACCGATGTGATTGCTACTGGTAGGCATGATGAAATTGACATTGATCAGGTTGGTCGCTTGAGAGACCGCCCAGTTCAATGCATAGATCGTCTTGGCAGGATCCGCAGCTGTGGTGTCGATATTGAGGTTGCGTACGCCGATGTAGAAGTTATTCGTACTTTGAGTACCTTTGTCGTAGCCATCGACCACAACGGTATTGTTCAAAGCGCTCGAGGCAGCTTTGAGAGTGGGTAAATTGACGGCATCTCCGATAATCTGAGTATTGACGTAAAGCTGGATGGTGGAGTAGATGGCGTATGTTCCTGGCGGCACGTATATGAGGGCAGGTTTTCCAGTAGTGCCACCGTTACACTGGCCTCCAGCACATCGACTACCATCTGAAAACTATAAGCTGTGAATGTCCGAATTTGGCGAGGATACGTACAATCAATTGCAGCATTGAAAGCATCTGTGTCATCATGAACACCATCTCCTACCGCCCCGAAATCTCTTACGTTGCGGTAGATGTGATAGTTAGGCGCATTGAGTAAGAAAGGGCTCGTCCCATTGTGCGGCACATCCGGAAGCCAGAAGTCGGACTGAGCACCTGGACTCGATACGCCACATTGTTGATGAGGCGGATAGTGAGGAGGTTGATGTGGTTCAGGATGCCATGGAGCTACAGAGTTGTTCTTGTCGCCGAAGATACCATGCACGGGATTAGCCGGTGTCCAATTGAGAAGGTATGCAAATAGGTCCGGCCGGGTCGCATCTGGCGGTGCTGGTGTATTGTACGCGGTGGATAGTTGATGGAGTCCCGACAGGCACGCTAAAACTTGTAAAGACTTCATCGCAACAGCCTATATCTACTACTCAGCTAGATGTCAGAGAACGAAAGATATACTTGCAAAGTCGAGAGCTACATGCAGCACATGGAGCCGGCACCCGGCGAACTTATCCCGCAGCGAAACTCCGGAAGTTGCGCCGAAATGAGAAGAAGCAAAACCAATGACCGCTGCCCTACACACCTCGGTGTCCAGCAGACCCAAAGAAACATCTTCATTTTCGCGCCGAGATGAGATATTCTCGGAAATGAGATATGGCAATCTTCGACTGTGTACGACGCACAGAATCAAGGGGTATCAACGTTTGCGCTATACACGCTAGGCCGCCTGCAACTACACCAACGCTTGTAAGCAGTATTCAGTAGCTCGAGGGCTCCCATGTCGAAGTGGCTACAATCACAGTGTCGTAGGTGCAAAAGGGATGGAGCCTCAGAGGATCAGTATAGATCGGGCAGCATCTGTTGCGAAGAGCTTCGTATGATTAGATGAATGGGTGCTATGCTATAATTGGTTTTCAGCATAGCGCTTACAAGATACGAGTTCTGACGTACCCCATACCCCGCACATCCGCGTAAAGGCGTCGAGCAGAACCACAGGATTATTAGCGACTATACTGTAGTAGCGTTTCGCGCGCTCAGGCAAGCGATACTAGTCAACCCTTGTTGCGGGAGAGAGGACGTGCGTAGCGATCTCCCCTGAAATGAAAGCTTGAGAAAACGTTGTTGCCGCCTCCGAAGCTTACCACTTGACCCATACCAAAGTCGGTAGCCCGTGACATGGTCTTACAACGCTCTTCCCTCATCTCACTCGCCATCGCGTGATCCACCTTTGTATCTTTACATTACCATCGTGCGCATATCAGCTCTGAGTACAAGCGCATCCCAGCCATTATCTTCTTTTCCGGTCGCATGCGCCAGTCTAGGTCGCCTCACAGTACGCGCAAATCAACGAAGATCCATCACCTATGCGAACCACCAGCGCCTTCGCGCCTCTAAAGATTTGAGATGTCATGCGAGACACGGTGCTACCTGGTGCTCGCGTAACAGAAGATGCCATGTCGCCCTGCAATGCGCGCGGGCGTTGGATGTAGCCAGAATGGCGGTGACTGTGTGCGGTGAACGACTACCACAGCCTGCTGACTGAGTAGATAGCAATACCGCAACAAGCAGTGGATGATCGACCTGGAAAGAATGGAAACATCACTGAAAGCCGCTCGTGCATGCTTGATCGGACGTCTTCATATGTACAATCTTGAAGATCTCGCTCACAACAACAGAAATGGCTTTCTGGCTGAAGTCAGCGTGCGTTAGTAGCGGCATTCGTCGTACGCCTCGCAACATCGAGCTGAATCTCTGTGCCGCACACGTGTAGGTCTAGACTCTTCAACCTTGAGCCACCGTAGATATAGGTTGCAGTCTGTCCCGCGAAGAATCATTCAACATGTGTCCAACTCCCGACGGTCCACTTGTAGCTGCAACCATTTTTTCCTGTCATGATGCACAATCTCTTCAATAACGAAAATGCGCTTGGTATACCAAACCTTTTTTCAATAGATATGGCTTCTGTTCTCCCTTGCATCTACGTTAACCATGATCAGGTGCTCCACAACCCTATGAATACTTGCCTCTCGTGGAGTCAGGAGGTTTTCGACTCATGCAACTCCAGCCAGGTGTCGTATCTGCGCCACTGGTCTGTCGCTTGAAGCGCGTTGGCATGGAAAACCCACCCCCTTACGAAGCCCTTTCATATGCATGGGGCCAATCAACAGATGTTTTCACCATTTGCCAAGAACCTGAAATGTCCGATACTACTGGTACTTTGAGGAAGGTTTCCACAATCACCAGAGGACTCTATGAGGCTCTCATACAGCTCCGTCATAAGACCAAGTCAAGAATCCTGTGGGTTGATGCAATTTGTATCGACCAAGAAAACTTGAAGGAACGTGGAGAGCAGGTCAAGATCATGAGACAGATCTATGCCCATGCAGCACGAGTCCTAGTCTGGCTCGGTCCGGCAGATGATGAAACTGCTGTAGCTCTGCAAGAGATCGCCAGGCTGAAGAACCATGTTGCCTCTCGAGGCTTGTCACTCGAATTCCTCAAGGCGATGACGGACGAAGGACCTGAGTTCAGAATGCTTGGGCTCACGAAATACATACTTGACGAGAAGACTTTCGTTATTCTGCGGCGCATCTATTGTCGCCCATGGTTCCAACGCATTTGGGTAGTCCAAGAAGTCACAGCTGGCGGCTCGTCCAGTGAGGTTCATATAGGGCCTCACGTCATTCCTTGGGACGACTTAGGTATGGTGAGTCTGGGGCTTCAAGTCATGCTCTGGAGTTCGCCAGTACCCATGTACATCGAAGGCCCTGGACTGAGAAATGCGCTCGTCATGTGGCAGGGCCGGCTGTTCGCAAAGAAGACGCCACCGACGTTGTTAGACGAGGCGCGGAAATACCTCGCCACAGATCCTCGAGATATGGTTTACGCGTTGTATGGCTTCCCGGCATTTCAGGAGCTGTTCCGGAGATTTGGGTTCAAGCCAGATTATACCATCCAGGAGCGTGAGCTATATGAACGGGTGACACGATTGACGATCGAAAGTTCCCAGACGCTCGAAATTTTACACTACGTCGATAACCCAGAACTACCGGCAGAGGAATCAGAGTGGCCATTCTGGGTACCAAGATGGAACCGACCCACCCTCTATTGGAGTTTTCCTTTGCAAGATTACGCCGTCTATAGCAAAAAGACTCAGGGCCTGCTTTCGGTCTTGGAAGGACCGCAAGGAAATTTACTTCGATTGAAGGGCGTCATTGTAGGTCGCATAACCGAAGTCGCGCAATGTATCAATTGGAAGCCAGCCGACAAAGAACCAATGATACAGAATATCGAAGCTCTAACGCAATTCTGGGATGCGATATCAATGCACCCAGATTCACTGCCTGACTCCAAGGAGGACAAATTCGTTGGCCTAGCACAAGCACTAACGGCAGGCCTCGACTCCGACTCCAATTCTGCTGCCAAAAGCTCCGCCCGTCATGCAGCAGATGCTGTTGATTTCTTACTCCACAACTTCACCACAACTTTGGCTTCCAGTCAAGTTCGACTCTCAGCCCTGTTCGTTCACCTCCAAGTCCTTCGGGGTGCCTTTTCCCATGGAGATCGCCTTCGGTATGAACAAATTATAGTCTGGTTTGTGCAAACCGTCGCCTATACCATACCAATAGAGGACTTTTCGGACTTGGTCCGGTTCTGGTACAACCAGGTGACATCACAGTCATCCTGCATGGTGGCTATACTCCTTTTGTGCTGAGGCCAAGACGTAAGTATTATCAGTTGTTAGGCGAGTGTTATTTGCATGAAATGATGGGAGAGGACGCTCTAGAGTTAAGCAAGCGTGGCACTGGTGAAGACGTGCTAGAAGAGACAATCTTTGAACTGAGATAGAGCGAACTGATAGAAATGTGGCTAGTGTGAAACCGTAGTCTTGCGTTTGTCACAAATGACGCCTAACAGTGAGAGGGCAAGGCCATCTGTGGACACCATCCAATGATTCGGTGTTGAAAGCGCACCCACGTATACCAACCACGTCGCTGAGACCTGCAATAAGTCGCGCTAACCCATTGGGGTATCTGGTCGTTTCCCTATCCGTGTGGCACCCGCGTTGCTTTTGCCTAGAGGTAGCGATTGTCTTTCAACGAGAACTGTATCATGCAGCAGACAATTTAGGTGGGCTCTTGCCATGGGGTATGGCAAGTCTCTCACGCTGCAGCTGAACGAACAAGCTGATGATTTTCAAAATGATCCATCAGAAGAAGCACGACACAGAAGAGCAATATACCCTTATGTCGTGTGTGTATAGAAAATGTCGTTAGATCTTTCACTCAAACTGCTATAGCATCGCTGATAGGCTAGAGCCTCTGAAGCCTACCCGCTGAGACCACCCCTAATCGGGTAAGGCGCGTACAACAAAGAGTCGTTCCTCCCTCGCTCTTCTCAGACACATCATGCTCGTGTTCACTTCATGCGCCATCTCTATTTCCTTATATGACTTTCGCACACAAGATGCCTGAATGTGGATACCTTCCAGCACTCTCTGCTTCTTATATCAGCCTGCGGCACTCCTGGCATGCCTCAATCCACGCGGCAGTCACGGCAGGTCCAAATTCTCGAAAGACAAATGGCTATGTACACTGGATAGCGTGGGGTTCTACACAAGACACGGTTTTGCCTGGCGCGTATGAGATGGAGGACGTCAGGTTATCCGACCGTCACGGCGGGACGCTAGACGCTTGAGCGTGGGGTAAAGCCAGAGTAGCGGAGACTACGTGCGGCTGACGACGATTGCGGCTTGCTCACCGGAGGAGATTCTCCAATATTAGGGTTTCAGCAAGCTCTCATCTCAGCCTCTTGCTAGCCGTCAGCCTATCAGCTGCCGGGATAGCTGATCAATTGAGCATCAGCACCAGAACGCTGTGATCGTTGAACAGTACTCGCTACTTCCAGCCAGAGGTAACACGAAAGCCACACAGATATTACAGTGGCCATAAATTGCGACTGGCCTGTGCGGCTTACTGCAGGTCTTCAACATCCCGGCTGTCGTGAAGGTTTACGCCCTTGTCACCGAATATCGTCTTGTCAATATTGGGCAAAATCATGCTCAGGTGATGGCAAACTAGCCTGATCGACTGTCCATCCTGGAAGCTTCCCTGTCACTGGTCTCTCATACGTCTCGGTTTGTGCAATGTACTATCCAATGCTGCTTTGCGTTGGTGAGACATCGTTTGCCTACGGAAGTCGGCACTACAACCCTCTCACGATTGCAGGTCTTGGGATTCCCAGTACAGTGGAATGGAGACTACTGGACTGGTGAGCCAATAGCATGGAACGAGTCGTCCCAGCTCCCGGTTCTGGTGGAGAGGATACATCAAGACATACCGGAAGGTTCGTGCGCTGGCTTTTCGCACGGGGGTGTACCACCAGCAACTCTACGTGTTACACCGGTTCGTGGCTGGAGTGGTATGAAACCACAACAGTCCAATTACAGCAGCCACCCCAGCCGAGTTAGCAGGACTGCCGATAGCGTCACCATTGGATAGACAAGGTGGTCACCAGGTACCGCACAATTCAGATGAGCAATCTGACAAGCATCACATCATCACACACGATGTGCAGGTTATTAATCAATTTTCAACATTCGTCATTTCTATGACAACGACAAGTACCAACAGGCTAAAGATGCAACTCATACCAGGTATCCGCCCACTCATTGCTATGCGTAAACAGTCGTACGACTCAAGAAAAACAAGAAAACTATCATTGCAAATTTTGAAGATGTTGCGCAGACGCAATCAGTAGCGACAACGGCTGGAATAGAGATACCAGATTGCTTTTTCCAGGCCCGTGACCAAAGATAACGCTCACAAAACTAACAATCAAGGAAACGATGACCTAATCAGGAAAACGCCACTAAGAATATGCAAGAGTGCGCTCAACGCCGAGGGCAATGCGAAACGGTGTTTGGGAAGGAAAGCATGCACGCCACGGAGTCATGATATCCTTTTGTCGAAGCGGGGGAACTTGTGTTACTCAAAGAGAGTTCTCAGTCTTGACAAGCTCGTCAAAGGCATCTCGCCACTTGCGAACTTCGTCTTTTCCGGGCCTAGGGAGAGGCTTACGAGCATAGCCTCCATATCCGAAATGGGCCATGAGCCCAGCTTTGGTTCCAATAATGCCACCTTGGATAGCCGCCCAGTCTCCTCGGGCAACGATGGCCTGGAGTTTGCGGGCTTCCGCGAGCTTGCCAGCCTCGAACAGCTCCACAAGCTTGACGCATGTCTTGGGCGCGATGTTGGCCATGCCGCCAATAATACCGGATCCGCCTCCAATCAATGTCTGCAGTGTGAAGTCAACAGACCCGCCCATGCACATGAAGCCGGATCCAGGATCTGAGACAGTGGCAGCACGTGTTGCTGCGGCGATGCGGTTGAGCTTCCCGGTGTTGCCGCAGGTCAACTTGCAGCCAACGATGTTCGGGTGCTGAGCCAATTCGATGATAACATCGGAGTTGAGATCCAGTCCAGAGACTGCACCGGGGTAGTTGTAGATGAGAATTGGAATGGGCGAAGCGGTGGCTACGTCCTGGAAGAACTCTTTGATGGTATCCTTCGAGAACAAGCCTTGGTAGTACGCTGGTGGAAGTACCAGAGCGTAGTCTCCGCCAGCCGAAGCTGCCTCTTCGCAGAGTTCGATGGCTTCCCGAGTCGACTGAGCACCACATCCAACGATTATAGGCATGTAACCAAAGCCTGCATCATCAAGAGCCTTGCGGGTAGTGTTGGTGATGAGATCACGTTCCTTGTGTGATAGGTGGACAGCCTCGCCGTTGGATCCCTGGGTGGTAATTCCAGCAACACCAGCTTTGGCTAGGCGGACGGCGTGGCTAGCAGTGGTCTCGACGTCAACGTTATCCGATGATGGTTCGAAGAACGCTACAGTGGGAACATAGATGCCAGGAACCAAGGATCGTCGAATACCCATATCGGTAGACTCCATTGAGCTGGTGTCGAAGTTGTTGTATTGGCTCATAGTGTAGACGGACTGAACAGAATGGTGGAAGTCGGTATCTTGACTGTAGCTGTTTGCAGGAGAAGGTGCGTCGTGGTGCGGTGACATGATAAGAAGAGTATCGAATGCGGAGGTCTAGTAGACTTTTATACTAACAAAAGCTTGCAGAGGGAAGCGATACTTTTGACAAAGAATAAGTGGAACACAGCAACGACGAACGGAACGAATACGTCAATGGTTGATCGATGTTTGGTAACACCCCGGGGATAGTACAGGTACTTAAATATCTTCAAACGCCGGACACTTGACCTTGCGATGCGGAGTGTGGGGGTCCAGCTGACGGCGTCGTCAGGAGTGCTAGTGACGGCAGGCAAAGCAAGGTGCGTGAAATGCATCAGAGAGGGAGGGACAGGCATCCTTGGTGACGACCAAAGGGGCGGTGACTCCCGCAGCCTGCTCGAGGTGCTGCTCTGCACGTAGCCGATACCAGGCACAGCTGTTTGCGCTTAGCTGGAGGGCTTGCGTGTGGCCAATAAACGAGGCGAGGATTGCTGATTGAAGCGGCGGTTGCTTTTTTGCTCACGTTGCAGCAAGCGAACAGGGGGCGAGAGGCTGTGAACATCGGATCTTGGCCGGAGGTGAAGTGCAAGGGGGGCACGCCTTGTGACGATCTTTTGGAATCCTAGTTGGAAGCTGATAGGGCAATTCTCGCCACAGCTGGCACCATGCGCAGGGTTGGCGGGCTCAAAAGAGCGTTGATGGATACCGTTCGGGGGTGCTAGTGTGGGGGTGGGGGAATCGTGGCCGGCCTATTCGCATCATCTGATCCCGTTCAGCGACCCCGGCTACTCCGTCTTGCCCTTCCTGAGGTCGTGGTCCCAGTCGGTCCAGGAGTTAGAGTTCGGCGACCACTTACGACGTGCAGTAGAGCAATGCAAAGGGTAAGAGAAACGGTGGATTCCAGCGGCGATGCAAGACGTGGCAGACAGCAAGATGCGGAAGCTCATCACAAGGCCATGCAATATCCGGGCAGAGGCAGTCATCGATATCCGACAGCCGCAGGGCCACCAAGACGGACCAAAATAGCGAACTTATCAGAGGCATCTCATGTCTCATCATTACAGAGCCTGGCCAGGATGACGACGCCGATCCCTCGCGATATTTTCCCCCACGCCCATTACTCTTGGTGGCGGGGTCTGGCCATAGCTCAAACCTTGAGGCTCTTCACAATCTTCATACGACATTGTTCCCGCAAAGGCGATTGTGTACGAGTCGTGCAATGGACACGACATCATTCTGCTCGTATATCCACCAATCCGCACATGGAAGGTGTCTGCATTGCTGCAGGTGCAAACCAACGGCGAGTGCCACGCGAAAAGCATCAAGCCGATGGATTCTCGAACAAAAGCGTTGCAACAATGTGCCGAGCGCCGTTCCGGCAATTGCGGTGCGCAGGAAAGTCACCAGCATGTTCGCCCGTTGCTTTTGTTTCCACAGCTTAGGTTCAAACGCGAGAAGGGGAATACCTGGTGCGCCGCAATCGTCGTACCTGATCCTCGGTGGATCTTTGTCGAGCGCCCCCACGCGATGCCGTGGCAGCTCGCTTCGGCATTCAGAACACCGCGGAATTTCGCATCGAATACTGGGACAGATCTCCTTCAATCGGCACACCTTGTCGCATCCAATCACGTCTATTCGTCTTCACGCGTAAGCGCAATCCTCTTTGTTCAACCTTTTGGGAATCCACAGTCTGGCGGCACGAGGACGAAAAGTTTTATTGGCGTTGCCGTAAGCCGTATGCAGTCACTGCGTAGTGGCATATACATATGGATCCCTCGACGCCATTTCCTACTGCAGAACAGGTGTAATGTTTGCGAGGATGCACACAGCCTCGTCGCAAAGACGAGAGCCGAGCGTGAACCGACCATGCAGCCATCAACGACGACGCTATTACCCCACAAATTGGCGATCCTAGAGTCTCGTTTCCCCGCTTTCTTACCACGTTGGAACACCAGGCCACACACTTTCGACCTGCCGCTGCACCAGGCCTCTGACTTGCATGACGCCCAGTCTCGTCTACGGTCAAGTCTTGTGTGTCGTTTATTGCCTCTTTCTGCGCTGAGGCCCTGAAATCATGCACGTAATACTGGGTACTGCCGGCTTGGATGATGCCCAAAAACTGCGAAACCTCAAGCCATCCGCTCATCTTGCAGGGTATACGTCAGTAACGCCCAGTTTCAGTAGCCTCGGTGGTCTTGCAATGTTGACCCTAGAGGTACCTCATGTACCGACCAGGGTAACGTTGCAGTCGTAAGCATAAGGAGACGGTTCTCATCGGCAGTTCCTTGGCCATGGTTACTTTTCTTCTCCACATGTGGATTTTAGTCCCACAAAGACAGCAGAAGAGCAGGGAAAATCTAGAAGATCCACTCCAACATCTGAAAAGTCCACCTTCAGCGACTTCGTCCGACAACTCGGCAACAACGCCGCACCAGACTTAGTGCTGATGAGGGGTGAGGGGTCAGCCCACATGTGCGGGTCATATGGGCAATGGGATTAACTGGGACCAGGATCTTGTCCCTCCCGAGAGCGATAGAGTGATCAATGGAGTTTTTGGTCTGATCGAAGGCCAGCTTCGTCAGCAGACGGCCTTCCAGGGATGATTCTGATGAACGTCACTTCAGCACGCTTCGCTTAGACGACTGTTCTCTTTCACCACACATTTGAGCTACAGAAGTAAAACTTAGCTCACTAGAACCTTGCACACCGCAAGAAAGATGTGTGTGGCAGTGGGCATGTCCGAATCGTCACCATATGCATCGTTCAACTCCGCTCTAGCCTCGGTCACTTGCAACGATTCAAAAATAATGGGGACAGGGTACGCTTACCGCGCGGTCCACTTAGCTGTAGTTCGTCGATCTTTTGTCGACCGTGGGGGTCGGCTGCTATCCACAGTTCACATCAAAGCGAGCTCACTGCACGGCGGCAGTTACAAGCAGAACTTGTTTGCCACAACGTGCCGTGCCACCCTGGTTCGTTCTCAAGAGCCTCAACCGATCAGTTAGAGGCGATCGTGTGGGATGTTGGGCTGGTTTCAAGCACGCCTACCTGATGTAGCCATCGACGTGGGATGCCAAGTATATCCAGACGCTTCCAACTCAACCTCAGTTCCGTAGTCGATTTCTTCTCGGACACTCTTGCCCCCATAACGATCTACCGCGGAAATTGATCGGAGTGCTTGAACGGTGAAGACGGTAACTGATCTTAACATTATCCCACGCTTGACGGTCTTCGACGTTCCACGAATTGCGCAGCCCGATCCTTCCCGTCTGACGAGGTGCCGATACATGTTAAGTGTCATGGCAAAAGAGCTGGCATTGTCTTGCCTTCACAAATGTCTTGGCTGTTAGCTTCGAGGCACAGAAATCCACGTCGTGTGCGCGATTTGCGAAACCCGCCCAGAGTCGTGCGCAGTATGAACGAGGTGTCACGATGCTCCTCGCCGAGATTTATGATATCAAGTTTAACATGAGTTTCACGTCCTACGGTCATGATAGGAGGACCAGGGCGTGTTAAGTCTCCATGCCCAGACGAGGCTTGAAAGCTCTCGATGACTTGCATGACTGCAAAGAGGCAGTGCACGATAAACATAGGGGTGACGATGGTCGCTCGCGGCAAGGATCTGCACCATCCTCGAAACGAAAATGGAATCTTACGTCTGACTACGAGCTAATTGAGGATAGGCCATATGGAAGTCATTAGCTGCACCGCGTGTGCGGCGTGTGTACGCATAGAGCGCTAACGTCCGATGTTCGCGATGCTTCCCAACAACATACGCATTCTCACTTGATTGCGAGAGTGCTTAGCTGGTTCCGCGGCCACGGAGGCATACTCTCACTGACATCAGGGATATCTTCCATAATGAGAAGAAAGTCCCGTTCAAGGACGATATAGCCCTACGAATATTATTGGAAGTAGCCGAGCGGCAGACGTTCTGGTAACAAAAAAGCGATCTCGTAGCGACGTAAACGGACACACACTTCGCTATTCAAGGCCAACCTGCTCACCACTGCAGCTTGCCTTGTCCGAAAGCTCGTTCTGATAGGTTGGCAATCCGCGTCTGGCAATTCGTTACGGCGCCCAACCTTACCAAGGAGACCTACACCATATGCTTGCACCCAGGCCCAACAAGTTCCCCTGACCCTCCTGCTTAGCCCAAGACTTCTATAGACAAGGTGCACATTTTGCAGTTGCGTGCCGCTTTTCTCAACACCTCTTCTTGCTTCCATACTATGACATATTCACCCTAGTCGGTCCGACAACTCTAGATGTTCCACCAATCTTCAATAAGCCACCAATCCACTCGCATCGGAATCGTAACCGAAACGCATAGTTCCGCAATTCGCTCGCTTGTCCATGTTGAATCCTTTAGCCAACAACCCCAGTTCTCTTTACGCAAATCGTGGGGTAGCACACCACTGTGTCGCGTGTTTGTTGGGATGCGAAACGCGAGCTGAATCCTGACGTTCCGACGCTGCAGGCGGGCGTTCGTGTTCCTGCGGTGTTCGAGGCAATTGGGCAAGGTGCACTCTATTGGGATCGAGGATCTGAGGAGTGGTGAGGCTGTTTCTCCGATGTTCTCCGGTCGCGAGTATGGTTGAGGGTATAGGTTTGTGTTCTTGCCGAGGTCAACGTGCTCTATGAAGAGATGCACACATGTTTGGATCAACGCTCCAGGTTTCTGAGAACACCCTTTCTCTACTCCCAAACGACACTTTCTGTACTGGATGTCGTTTGTCCTCGGGCTCAACTATGACAAAGCGCGTGGTCCACTTCGATGTAACCATACAAACATCGAGAGCTCGTACACATACCACTTCCATGTGAAAGTGTTCGCGTACATATCGTTTAAAGATATGAGTACAGCCATCACACTTTCCCAAGGACGAGTATGCACCAGTCCCATGCCCCACCAATGCACTGGCTCGAATCACTGGGACTACAAATTAATAGCATCCTCGATCTCTATCTCCCAACGCTGTGCTGGCTGTTCTTGTTTAGGGGAAATCAATCAATGAAATTACAGAGAGGAGCTCTTGTCTCTGCTTATCGTTGCTCAATATACCGTGTTGGGGTGTGCGCTGCGATCCTTCTGATCGAGCCCTGACGAGCTCTGAATCACGTACTCGCCCGTCAAGCAATCCTCCTTTTCTTAAAAAGAGACAGCGAATAGTTGCTCGCAGGGCAAGTCACCTTTGATCTGTCACAGATCAACATATGCTCAGACTCACTACGACAATCGCGTCGGAGCAGGAGTAAGATCCTAAGAAGTCATACCTACATCGCTCGCATTCCGACCCTCGCCTAACTCTAATCCTCATCATCACAGCGCAACCTTCCGTATCTTATGCCCAGAGAAACCTCTTCCCAACCATGCCGTCATTTACGCAGGTACAAGGGGGGAAGGAAAGATAAACACGGGTACCATGCTCGGGGAAGCGGCTTGCGCTCGTTCTTCAAGAAAGTTTAGCGGCCGCACAAATTTCTCTCTCTTCTCCCCACGCTGTTGTTGGAAAGTCGCGCGACAACATACAATACATCCGGACGCTCCATCACACATCGTAAAATCGCTTGCGATGAGCAGTCTGCCCAACGTGCACAGCCTCGCGACAAGCTGATGTCGCCGACTGGAACGTGCGGTCCAGGACCACGCGTAAACGTTTTGTCAGTAGCGCGGATGACGACAGGTGATGATGGAAGTTGCGGATGCGTAGTCGTCATGCTGTGATGCAATATGTGGGTGATGCCGAGATGAGACCGCAAGATGTGCAGATCGTGGTTTGCAGGGAATCTTGACAGGGGACATGGGGGTGAAGAGATCTTCTTGTGTAGTGGGGCGAAGGATGTGGGAACGGTTGGTAATGTTTAGTAGTAACAAGCAAATTGATGGGTATCGTGAGGAGATAATCACGTAGCTTTACTTCAGTTGCCATACGGTTGTACTGCGATAAGGTATGGACGATGGCCCGGTATTTCCATGATATACAGCATGCTCATAGAGAAAAGCACTCTGGAATGAAAACTGTGGGAAGCCGAAGCAAACACAATGGAGCGACGCGTTTGGGAAGATCTTATATACATGTCATAGGGTGCTGGGTTGTAATGGAGAGAGATAGCGCAGATACATGCCAAAGTCTATATATATACAACAGCTCCCAAGTATGCGACTCGTCATCTCCGCCCGCTCGCGCTTCACTTCTAGCACGTCGTGTTCCCCGTCTGCGTCACCAATCCCAAATGCCACGGCAGCGCATTATAACTCCCGCTCGCATTGGGCGCAATTCCCTGATACAAGAATCTCATGCCACATGGCTTAATCGTCAGTGTCTGATCAACCTGGCTTCTCACAATCTCCCCATGACTAATACTGTCCGACCACCTTCCACCAGGGAAAGCCACATTAGCCTCACCCATGAAGGGGTTCTGCTGCGTAGCTGCGAGCGGCGTCCAACTGCCGCTCAGCGAGCTCGACGTCCAAGAGCGGAAGTAACGCAAACCACCTGGTGAATCACCCGCACCGATGCATTCAACGAGTAAGAGATAAGTGTTGTTGTCTACGCGGTATACGTTTGATGCTTCGAAGAGGTCGTTCTTGTTGGGTTCGGAGAGTGCGATAACGGGTTCGCTCATGCCGGCGGGAAATTGGGAGAGCGGTGTTTGGCTGCGGTAAAGCCGGCCGTTGTCGTCGTGGGAGAAGAGATGGCAGTTGGCGTCGTCGCATACGACCCACATGTCGACCCAGTAGCCTTGTTGCGGGTTCAAGAGACCTTCGGCAATGAGTGCGGGGGTACCGTTGGGATAAAAGACTTCGGGGGCGGTCCATCCTGCAGGGTTGGAAATGTCGGGGTTGGTGCTGTATGCGGCATTGCCATTCTGGTAGATGAGGTACCAGAGCTTCTGAGGAGCGAAGTAAACTGTGAGGGTGTCAGAAGAGCGCTCTGCATCTTCACTGCTTGCGATGTTGCAAGGACAAAGAGAAGGCTTCACGTACAAACTTCTGGTGCAGCTCTGTAGCCTGTGCCTATAGCACTCTGGTCGAGATAGTAAAATGGCGCTTGCTGAGCCTGGTCAAAGTCGGTGAAGTTGAAGTACACAAGGTTGTAGCCTTCTTCTTTCGCTGTGCTGGCAAAGACGTGGTATACACCCTCGTACTCTATGATAGAAGGGTCTTTGATACCGGCAATGTTTCTGCCATCGTTCTTTGGTGAGACTAGAATACCGCTGGACGTCCAGCTGAAAGAGCTAGGAAGGCCTCCATTCTGCCTGGTAGCCAGGGAGGAGAAAGAACGGTGGGGGAGGTTGCGAGCCAATGCTGTGGCTACGAGAGCCGCGCCGGCGAGGAGAAATGAACGCATTGCGATAGTTGGTGCTTGACAACGGTATCTACCATGTTGAAGCTGGATCTATCCGTTCTTTATACCCGTTCCTTTGACCAGGTCCCACCAAGGCCGAGGTTTGGAGGCGAAAGCTGGGGAAAATGTTCGTTGACCAGGGTCCATAGTGAGGTCAATCTATCTGGGGTAACGCCCACCTTGGTTTTTCCGTCTACTTTTCCTCTTCGATACGTTCTTGCGTGCATGTGATGGACACTAGCATCTGTATTAGGCTGTTTGCCTAGGGTATGTATGTGAACGAGTTCAACGACACGTTTCCATATCCATCTCGTCAATGTCCGTGGTTCGTCATTACTCTTCGGGGCATGCTCCGGTGGCAGAAGCGCGTGGCGGCGATGCTTTTGCTGTTTGCAATGGTTGACAGGAAAGCCGTGATCACCGCATCTCCTAAGGTAGATTGCGAAACCTTGGGCCACCGGGTCGATCATAGCAACCGGCGACCAGGTAAGTTTTGGGCCAACGTCCGATCACGTGGCGAAAGAGCCGCTGTTCATCCGGTGGTTAACAGTAGCTTGTCGTATTCATACTGGGCGTTGGTGAACACACCCAACATGATGCGACCCTAATAATGAGCGCGAAATATCTAGGCGATATTTTCCATTATGTGTGCTGAACGTTCGTTCGTGGGCGGAGTTGGCAAACGAAATCTCGTCGTAACTCCATGTGACTTGGAGGCACGGGCTAACGCGATGCCTAGTCCGCTTCAAAGACATCACTGCTTACTCCCCAGCTGTCTTTTCCTCTGCATCTCTCTTTCGCAATAACACCCTCATGTCAAAACTTTTGCGACGCAGATTCTCTTGATTTCGTGGTCTCGAACGAAGATTGGAAAACATGCAACAATATTCATTGTTAGCGGAATCCAGCAGCAAAGCAGGATCAACATTAGAAAAAGGCACAGCAAGAGACGACTTGTCTACCGTAGCTACTTTGGCAACCACCTCCATAGAACGAACATACAGAACGACACCATACCTATCCCAATCGTTACCACATCCGCCGTTGAGGCTCCCACACCACCGAACCAGGACCGCAGTGCCATCATAACTAGCACCACAGGATATTACGAGCTTCTTTCCAAAACGGTATCGATCAAACTAACTGACATTGCATACCCTCCGCCCTGATACGACGATCAATGTCCAAATTTCAAAGACTCTTATAGAAAAGCTACGTCGACTGGGCTTCTTCAAACGGACGATTGGCTCTATTCGACAGGTATTATCCGCATGCAACAACATCAGACCAGTATGTCCCTACACGCACGCAGGTCCATACTATCATTCTGAATTTGATGAGTTTTGCTGACGAGAACTACCAGCTCGAAGATCCCTGTCGGACTTTTGTCGGTCGGTGGATGGTGAGAAGATTCCAGAGGCCATTCTTCCGCTGTGCACGTCCTGGAAGAGACACACCTTCACTAGCAGCGCGAGGAATGCTCGATACAAGAATTTGCTAATAGTATGTTGAGTTGAGTGACGGGAGGATAGAAACCACGCCTCATCTATGTGGATTCTATCTCCTCATTATGCTTTCCCACCATCCGGGTATATATATATTCCTCCAACGCCGAATCATCCTTTCCCAAATATGCTACCAAAAAGGATTGAACAAAGTCGCTCCCGAAACCAATACATCTCTTCGCCTTTCGTATCTCCAACCACGCCTTTGCTCACTCACTCCCTCCATCATTCCACCCTCCCCCCAAGCCTAACTTTCAGCCTTCATAGTCCCACACAAACTACAAGTCCACCACTGCTTCTCCATAAACGTCCCACACTCCAAGCAATTCCAGCCCAGCCTCCCCCTCGCAGGTTCAAACGGGGTAGCCGTCTGACCCCTCAGACCAAACTGTGGTGGCGGCTTGGGCAAACTAGGCACCGATCCACCCATGTGCGAGGAAGCGAAACGCCGGTTCTCAGGTATGGGCTGTGGCGGTTGTTCCAGGCTGCAAGCTTCGCAGGCGAGGTAGTCGAGCGGATTGTGCAGTGTGCATTGTGGACAGGCCCATGTATCTGGCGGCAAGCTTGTACTCGTGGGCTGGGAGGCTTGGGGAGAGGTTGGCTGGGGGTGGAAGGAAGAGTGAGGGGGCGACTGGGGGTAAGAAGAGGAGCGTGTAGGGGGAGAAGAACGGGGTGGAGTTGGAGGCAGGCGTTTATTGCGTGTCTGTTGTTCGTGTTGAGAGATGAGGCGGGAGGAGGAGGAAAGAGATGTCCGTGATACTGGTGGTGGTTGTGTAATAGGTCTTGACAAGGGTCGGCCCGGCGAAGGATGCGACATACTTTGCGGGGAAAGATTTTGCGTCGCGAGAATGGACATTGAAGAAGGGTTGTCATATGTTAATCCATTTTCGCTCGACCACGCCAAACCCCCTCTTGATAAACTTGAACTCTGCGAGCTAGGCGGCGTATCCCGATCGAAACCCAACCCATTCTCGGGATCCCAAGTCAATCCGCCATTGCCCGTTGGTGCACCTAACCTCTGCATCTCCTCATCGTACATGAGATCCTGCAGCGCTTGGGCAATGGCCCAATCGTTAGCATCGTCTTGTTCTGCTGTGGTGCGGAAGCCGTCTTGCTCTTGCTGGTTGACCAATCTTCCTGCATTTGCACTCCCACTTGCACATCCGTCCGTGATGCTATTCCGACGCGACGCCGCATCGGCAATGACCTTGCGCATGTCGATGCCACGCTGTACAGGTCGTGCGCCGCCCAGACGATGCCCTCCATCCTTGGCATTGACGTTGGAACTAGTCGTGCGGTTGCGCTTCTCGGCAGCGATCCTAGCCTGACGCCGCATTTCATCCAGAGGAACGCGGCGACCGCCCAGCTTCTGGCCTTGGGACAAGAAACCCTCGCCTGTATAGCCTTTGAAGAGCAGTGACTGGTGTTCATCGCGGAGTTCGTTCCAGAGGTTGTTAAAGGCAGCGTCGTGGGGTCCAAAGACAATGTGCGAGAGTTCATGCAGCAGTGTATCTGTTATCTGCTCCATGGATAAGAATTGCCGCGAATCGTGGTGGTATCTTAGACGAATCAAAATGCGCTCTGTGCGGTTGATGTTGAGGCCTAGGAGTTGAGGCTCGTCGGGGAGGAATTCAGCCAATGTTTTTACTTTCCAGCCGCGCTTTCGCATCATCGGTTTTACCATGGATGCGGCTTTGCGGAGCATGTGCAATGCTTCGCCATCTCTAGGGAGATGCTTCAAATGCTCGTACGCGTCGAAGTGAGCGTCAATCTCCCTCATGGTTTAGGAGGATTCTGAGGTTGAGGGGCCAGCCGTGGACTAGGGGGCAACTGTGGACTAGGGGGCCGGCTGGCTCTTCTTGGTTGTGTAGAGAGTGGCTCTGTTGGTCGATTGTAAACAGCCCGAGAGGAGGCTGAATAAATGCTGCGACCAACGAAGGAGAGCACCGGTGAGAGTAGTGATCCAGCCAGCGTCGCAGATGGAAGCAGAAACGTTCGCAATCGAAAATCAAGAGAAAGAGGCAAACGACGAAGCCAGCCACGTAAGCAGTTCACGCGGCTTTTGGTGGTTGACGATAGCAAGGCCGGATTGATGGGAAACTGTTCTATCATGGAAAAGGTAGATCACCCGCTGTTATCGTTTAGACGAGATGAAGGGCGATCCCCCTGCAGGGTGAGCAAGCGCGCATATTTGGTGCGAGATGTATGCTAATGTTAGATACGTTCGCCGAAAGGGTGGCGCAAAAGGCAACCTTGCGGAGGCGAGTCTGGTGCCTCTTGCGCAGATCGTTGCGCGAGTCAGTGCTTGACGTAGTGCACTTGCGGACTGGCGATGACCTCCGCAGGCAACCTTTGAAGACTCTGAGCATCACGAAAACTGGTACATCTTTCAGCATATACTCTCTCGCTCTCTTTCGCAAGATGTCGAGTGATGATCAGCAGATTTTGGGCGTGGTAAGTACAGTGTGGGTATTCTACTTGCGACTCGCTGACGTACGTGTAGATTTCCGAGTACACCAAAGACGTCCGCAACTTTACAGGATCGATATGGGATGCCACGGATGCGCATTTTGCGCATGTCGCCGGATACATCAAGAAAAGTCTGCCTGAAGGATGGCTCCCAGAACGCGCAAGACCACGACCGCCCCCTCCGCCCCCGCATCCCATTACCGGTGCCTACCTACATCGCCTACAGGACTGGGTGTCCAGAAACCGAGCCTTGACCGCAGCTATAGTCGCGTTCGTTAGCACGGGAGGTTTCCTGGTATGGAGAGAACAGAAGAGATATAACCGCAAACGGCGAGCACCACGCGCAAGCAACGGAGCGAGGAGGGAAGTTGTTGGTGAGTATTGCGGTAGTTGAGGAAGGCGCGGCAGACTTTGGCTGACGACGACAGTCCTTGCTGGACCACCCAACTCCCCTATTGTGCGGTCGCTGTCCCTAGACCTCGAACGACGGGGCTTCATCGTGTACATAGTGTGCTCCAACATGGACGAGGAGCAGCAAGTCATCAGCGAGTCAAGAGCAGATGTGCGGCCGCTGCACCTGGACGTCGTAGACACCATGGGCACAAAAGAAGCTATTCGCAACTTCAACGAGCTTCTCGTAAAACCGCACGTTGCTTTCTCTGGAGCGAGCCCGCACAACCTCAATCTTAGCGGTGTCATACTGGTGCCGGACCTCATTTACCCTACAGGCCCTGTGGAGACGGTGACGCCTGAGCTCTGGTCCGACGCGCTGAATGCCAAAGTGCTCAACACCATCGCAGTCACGCAAGCGCTGCTCCCGACAGTCTGTGAGTTCAAATCTCGGGTGCTGATGCTCACTCCCAGCATCATTGCATCATTACGACCGCCATTCCATAGCGTAGAAACGACCATTGTGAGCGCACTCGAGGGGTTCCTGGCGTCCCTCAGGGCGGAACTGGGGACCCTTGGCATTGAAGTTTTGCAATTTCATCTCGGAACATTTGATCTCACAAACGTGGGGCCAAAACATCACCTTCAGACCAGAGGACTGGGGAGCCCACATGCTTGGCCTGCAACCACGAGAGCGCTGTACGCCAACAACTTCGAGGCCCAGACGCGCGTTGCGCAGAACCGGGGACTGCTCAACCACAACGGCTCTAGTCTTCGGGAATTGCACAACGGCGTCTTTGACGCACTTACGCAGCGGCGGCCAAGAAAAGTATGGCGCGTTGGGCGCGGCAGCGTGACCTACGATCTGGTGGGCAACTGGGTACCAGCTGGACTGGTGGGGTGGATGATGGGGTTAAAACGGGTGTCCCTTGACGATTCTTCTGAGCCCAAGCTAGAGGATAGCGTGCAACTACAATCGTGGGAGAAGATCGATGCGACGGCCTAGGCTGATCCCAGGAGAGTAGTTGACGATGTGGATTCAATCACGACACGCAACGTCATAGCCGGACTGTGCCTGCGGGGACGAGTGCATGGCGTCGGCGTGACTACGAAGCGACTACGAGCAGACTACAGAGGCGGCGCCAACTTGCGAGTATTGGTGGGTAGTTGTATTGACACAGGGCGAGCAGCAGATGGGCATCACGTAAAAGCCCCTTGCGCCGTTTCTTGGCAATGGGCCTTAGCTAGTTGTTCCCTGCATGAGTTAGATTTGCAGGCAGGCCGGCGGTCCAGTCGACAAGTGATGTATATTCACACAATTATAGGCAGAATTCTCAGCTCTTGACACAGAAGCGTTGCAGGAACAGTGGTTCGCAGGACGGGCAGCAGTTTAATGAGCAATAGTCTGGAACATGTTCCGCTCCACAATGTGCCAACAGCAAATGAAGTGACGCGAAGCGAGTGCCACCCTATCGACGGGCAGCGCCCAAAACGGAAGCAATCCGAGAGGGGGGATACGGGTGGTGTAGGGACGGAACTAGTGAAACGAGGCAGTCGGAGCCGTGGCTGGTGTGCAGGTGACGCGTGAATGACATTGGAAGTTTGGTACGGCAATGTTGAAAAGCAATGGCAAAGTCAGCAGAGCGAGATTTGGTCATGTATAGGGCCGCCAATTGCTGCCATATGTGCATCGGTGTGGCTTTGTGTCAGGGCGACGGCGTGGTGGGTCAACGTCGTGGACGCAGGACAAGATGCAGGGCCGACTGATGGTAGGGGATCCTATTGGCGTGCAGGGAGCATCCCCGGTCCACGTCTGGTTTCAGGAGGTGTAGTTTAGCTATTATTGCACGCGACGACGAGCTAGAGGGCACCATAGAACATATCGCCGTCGCCCCCGTCTATCTGCTTTCAGGCCTTGCAGACCATCACTCGACGCTTGTTGTCGTATCCGCTCCTTCGCGCTGCATTAATTCATTCTTCTTCCATGTTGCCGTCGACTGCATCGATCTGCACCCCGATACACAACCAGCACACCACTTCCACCTCCGCCATTGCCTGCTTTTCCCGCCAAACCCAGCCGACACAGCCCCAGGCGGCTTCTTTTGCCCGATCGCGCGCATGACGGCCCAGCGTCATCAATCTTCCGTTGCAGAGAGTCCATGAACTAGTCCGTCTTCACCATGGCAAACAGACAGCAACGCCCGGGCGGCCTCGACTTCCGCTCGCAGTCCTTTGACCCTCCTTCCTCCACCAACAAGACACTCAACAACATCAACCACAACAACCACCACCTCGGCCTCGGAAACCTCGCCAGCGCCAGCATGAGCAATCTGACCCTCGGCTCAGACCTGCCCAGCCCGCGCACCGGCGAAGCACCGCCCGCCCTCTCTCCTCTGGACGCCCTCGCCCTCCAGGGCCGCCTGCTCGCAAAGCGATTCGAGCAGCAGGACAAGAATGGACGCCGCATGAGCCGGATTGCACCTCTCACCATCCAGAATGAGTTTGGCAACCGTCCCGGCTACTTCTCGAGCATGTCCAACTCGACCGTCAACTCGCCCAACGAAGACGCAGGCCCCGTCAAGTCCCCACGACCCGATGCCTCTCCCCGCCAGGAGGTGTCTTCGGACAAACGACACCAGTCCTACTACCCTCAGTTCGGCATGGACGAGCCCGAGATGCAGTATGCCATTGGGCCTCTGCAGAGTCCCATGGCCACCATTGCTGAGGCCAGTCCTGCCACTCCGCCACAGGGCTACTTCGACATCCCCAGGTCGCACTCGCCCGATTCCGTAGAGCCTCACATTGGCCTGCGCGAGGCCACACCCGTCAGCCCCCACGTCCCCGTTGCCGCGCCCTCGCACATGTTCCTCAGCCCGCAGAGGAAGCCGTCTGGTGGCTCCGAGCACTCGCAACAGTCGCAGCCGCGGTCGCAACCACGCTCTAACCTGCTTCCCCCGCGCTCGTCTAGCTCTCTCCACTCGACCCGCTCTCCGCGACAGTCGCCAAGCATCCGCTCTGTTGCCGTCGGATACGATGAAGTCGACGACATGTCCCTCAGCGGATCCTATGATTCTCTGCACCAGAACCGCAACTTGTCTCCCAGCTCTAGCCTGTCTCGGGCTCAGTCCCCCTTCACGCCTGCTACAGGCCCCACAATGATACCACGCTCGCCGTCAGCTGCATCTGACTACTCGGTCAACGGCTCCAGCCTGCCGCGCCCCGCCTACAACTTCTCGAGACCCAACTTCTCACGACCCACCAGCCGACAGAGCGTCCGTCCGTCATTAGACGTCCGGTCTGACGTCGGGCCCTCACGACAAGCGTCAGACGAGAGCGTAAACATGCGACCCTCGTTTGACAATCAGCTCCTACGACAGGACTCTGGTGACAGCCCCACGGCGCACTACGCGAATGAGCAGGTTCACACACCTGTCAGCATGGTAAGCGAGGACTTCCGTCGGTCAGGCGACTTTTCCAGCAACCCAGCCCCCTCCTACACATACACCAGATTCAACCTGCCTCGCGGCCGAGCCGTCGACCGCAAGTCTATCGGCATCGAGGACTTTTTCAAAAGCCAGATTACATGGGATCAACCAGGCCAGCAAAACCCTAACCAGACTCAGGCGCGTCCCCCTTCACCCGAATCTCCACCGAGGTCCTTTGACCAAGCACGCCAGCAGCAGCAGCAGCAGCAACACGGAGCCCCGTCCCTTACCTCCAGCAACAGCACCATCCGTGCGCGAACTGCTGGCTCAGTTGGCGAAGTCACGGCCCAGCAACACTGCGACATGGGTCTTGAACTTCACGAAGCTGGCGAACTACTGAAGTCAACTTACCACCTTCGTCTCGCAGCTCGCGCTGGTCTTCCCGAAGCGATGTTTTGGTACGGCCTCGCCTGCCGCCACGGCTGGGGCATGCGCGTAAACCAATCTGAAGCTTTACAATGGCTTCGCCGCGCTGTTGATAGTGGACAACTTGAAGTCGCAGACGATGAAGCACAACCCGGCACTACTGATCTTACCAAGAAGAAGCAGCATCGTGCTCAGTACGCCGTCGCCATCTACGAACTAGGCAAGTGCTACGGCAATGGCTGGGGCGCCCCGCAAGACAAGTCGCTCGCTCTTCGCTGCTACGAAATTGCGGGTAACTGGGGCGACGCCGATGCGCTTGTTGAAGCTGGATACTGCTACGCCGAAGGCGTCGGCTGCAAGAAGAATATGAAGAAGGCGGCCAAGTTTTACCGTGCTGCCGAGGCAAAAGGTGTGAGCATGGTCGGCAACAGTTGGATCTACAAGGAGAAATACATGGATGATGGTTCGGATGAGAGGTCGGGAAGATCGGCCAAGCAAGATCATTCAACTGCGGAGAAGAAGGCGAGGGATAAGAGTCGGACGAGGACTATGTTTGGGAGGAAGAAGAGTGCGGTCTAGTTGGGCTGCACGAGGTTGGGCTTGAGAGAGAGAGCCTTGTATATGCGTTCACGACCCTTGTTTTTTTTCCTCTACTTTGGCGACGGCGTCTGGGTTGGCAGCAGCGAACAGTTACTGTTACTGTTACTGTTTCTGCTGGGGGGTCTATTACTCCCCCTTTCGCCTTTTGGTTCGCGCAAAAACATCTTTTGTCCTTCGAATACCCCCCATATTTACGACACCTGCCTGGCGCATGGCTTGGCCTCCCCGCAAGCTCTTTCTTGCTCATACCTTTTTTTGAGACATCTTGAACATGTCGACATACTAGCTAGCTAGCTACTCTTTTTTTTCTTGTTTCCTTTCCGTCCTTTTCTTTTCCTTTTCTTCATTGTTTGGTTGCTGCGTTGGGGTTCTAGAGCCCTCCATTTCCTTTGTCTCTCTTTTTTTTTGTTGTCTTTCCTTATACCACCTGTTCGTTTGAGTTTTTGTCTACGGACACTTTTTCCTTTCTCTCTCTCTTGTACGTAAAGTCTAATACCGATACTGGTGTACTCGGTCTGGAGGATGGATGGATGGATGGGGGACTCTGTTTTCTCTCTCTTTCCACAAAAAATGGGGGTTGGGATTACATGGTCGTTTCGTGAATAAGGCGAGCACTGGGTTTCCTTTTTGGTTGTCCTGGGTCTTTTCGCATTATACCATGCTAGCTTAGTGAAGTAGTGTCTTACCTGGTAAAAGGGTAGGATGGAAGAATTGGAGTTGAAGATATTGAACTTTGTGTTCTTTTTCGTGATTGTGGTGTCGTTATCTCTCTGTATATGTATGAGGCCCTCTCCCTCTCCCTTGATGATGATGATGATGATGATGACCAGGTTTGTTGCATGACCAAGTCGCGTCGGCCAACCTCTGCCTGCCTAATTCGCCTCAAAAATGCCTTCCAGAAGCGAAGCTCGATCTCGCATGCTCAACCCAGTCTCCGTGTACTCGATTGAGATCAGCAGATATCCAAGATCTCAATTTTCATCTCTTTATTGTTACAAACCGCCCGAAGCCGATCAATTGTTTTCTTCTTTTCATGAGCACTCATAGCACTCATATCCCTCAGGACCAGTCGCTTCAGATTTGGTACCAAGGTAAAAATGTGATCATAGTAGGAAATTTTGTTTTCGATGGGATAAGCATGGTTTGACGTAAGTACTTCAATCCTATGCCTCTGAGCAGAGGTAAGTTGTTGCAGTAGTGGCCCGGTGTCTACATCCGTCATCGCGCCGAACGAATTGAAGGTGAAAGCGTAGTACTCTCCGAGCTCACGACGGATCTGGGTACATGCGAGTGGCAAGTTGATGGCCATGATCTGTTTGATGGGTTTGAGACTCCAGATCTTTTGCTCTAAAGAGCGACCCCATAGCGGTGACTTTTGGTCACCATTGGAAATGATATAGATCTCATTGCCTCCGAGCGCAAAGTAGTAAATCTGATTGCGTATCTCGCTTGGTAACCGTAGAAAAGATGAATCGGAATGATTCCGCGCAGTGATGGCTTGGTTTACACCAGCGTCACGTACTTTGTTTTCTGATCCTAGCATGGCTATATCCAGATGTACTACAGTTGATGAAATTTCGACAGGATGTGGCTGCAAGTTTTTGTCGTCTGTAGTTTTATGCTCCAGTTTTGGCCGCTTGCGTCGATCACGCGTCACTCGATTGGTTGATGACATACTGATCGCTGGACAAGCAATCGAGAATGTTTGGGCGTCGAAACTTCGATATGCGAAATGGTGTTCTGGCGTGCGTCTTGTGTCCGATCGCTGTCAATGACGATTGATCCGGTGCAGTTGTGTGTGCTATCGTAATGACTGATCTTCGACTGGCTTACTATCATACTTAAACAAGAGACAAGAGACCCACTGAAGAGCTGATTCTCCAAAGAGGAATTGAGATGAGCGAGATATATAACACCCGATCCATGGTTCGGGTGCCTAGTGCAAGCGTGGCGCAAGCGGCGCTGTTGCCTGATTGACCCCATTCTTGAACTTTGGAGCCCGCGCCGTTGAGGTTCAAGTACGGCTTGGATCTGACACTTATCGGCCAAAGCTGTATTCCAAAGAGTTTTGAGGACCTGATGACCTATCTAGCAAGACCAGCCAGGGCATGCTAGCAACAGAAGGACTGTGCCAAAAGAAGCTAGCAGATTCGACTGGCCAGTGCAGCCTCCGTCATCTCATCTTCATTCAATGTCACTCTTCCCCACACCCCACCATCACCGAACACGTGAATAATTACGCTTGTCTCCCTCTATCTAGGATACATCTGGATCGTGCTAGATATTTTGGGATCCTTTCAATGCACGCTGCGAGCCATCGTTTATAACAACCCCACCTAGGGCACAATGTCTGCAGCCAACGAGATCGCGCGCGTTTCGAATAACTCTGTTTGCAGCTATAGTCGAGCGGAGTTTCGTTTTCTTTTCCTATATGCGGTAGACTGAGAAACGTGAAGTAGGGTGCTCGTGAAGCAGACAGCTGCCGATATCGCATGATAGCACTATCGACTGGTAAATATATTTTCGTATCGTTCACTCACAGTAAGTCGTACATCGATTTTCGTCTTCTGCTCCAAATTTCGTACCTGGAGGTGATACGCGAATTCTCATGCTCCACGTCTTTTGGCTGAATTGTTGATTGATCTTTCTTCATCTTTCACTATCACTCGACACTGATTGGTCGCTGTGACAACAAGTACTTACTTTGACACAACACACATACGGAACAAAATTCCATTGAGATATCATCACCAGGATCGCTTCTTTCCTCATTCATAGCACAGCAGTCCTTTTGAAAGACCATCAGTCCGATAATGCCCTCACTGAAGGACCTCAACTGCGCGATCGAGGTGTCGGAAAGTCAACAGGCATTGCAGGAGTTTGGTACTACGTACGGCGATGGTTGCGTCGAAACCTTCATTCCCGTACCCAGCAAGCCACAGACCTTCTCGATTCACCTTACATCCAACAAGTTCATCGCTCCTGGCGTTGCAATCTTTGTCTACGTCGACGGAGTTTACCAGTGCAACCGCAACAGGCAAGACTTGAAGCTTCGGAAGCATTCGGATAGCCGTTCTCTTGTCGACTTTCGCGTACGTCAGAAGGAAGAGAGGCAAGATGATGGCTCGATGTTTGCGCGCGAGTGGGCTTTTGACAAGCTCAACATTGGTAAGTCTTGCGAAGACTCCAAAAGATCGCGGCCTGTTAACTAGTCACAGCTTCAGCAGATGATGCGCCAAATCTATGTTCACCAGACGTCCTCCAAAACATAGGATGTATCGAAGTCGTCGTCCTACGTTGTGCTGGAATACGAAATGCCAAGTCTGCCTCGACGATGAACTTTGACGGAGCAGGAGATTACCCTAAACATCTCTACGACTTCGATGACACCTCTTCTCCACCCAATGAGAGGTCCATGTATGATGACCGGGGCCCCTTTTTCACTCCTTTTGACAATGGCTACGGCCCACCACCTCCAATTTCGTCTCACCACCCACCTTACGTGGAAACCTCCAGGAGCCAGGAAGGCTCAACATCGAGAAGCCGTCGCACCGCGCATAGCCCTCACGATATCTTCCCTCCAGCACCTATGAGTCGTCGTTCTGGACCACGCTCTAGATATTCTGAGGCTGTTAGTCCCGGGGCAAGGACCATCAACGATCTTTCTTTGTCCGGTGTTCAATATGGCAGCGGTCCTATCCCACGCGACAGAGAGATATGCAACAATCAATCTTCAGGTGTCAGGGCTACACAACCTCCGGCTATGGACCCAATGTGGCTGAACAATCTTCTCGCTACAGCAGTAAAGCAGGGAGTGGAAGAATCGCGACGGATGGATACACAGTCAGAGCATCAGACTAAATACAAGATACAAAAGGTTGATGCAGAGACTCCAGGTCAGCCACCTGGAGCATGGCCTGAGTCTCCTTTGAATATCGGTCCGTCATCACATCGCCCATCTGAGCCTGCAGCTTCGTCCTCACGCAACCACGAAAGTGCCCATGGGTCGCAGTGGGATCAGTCTCAGGCTGGTTGGAGCGAGCGAAAAGCACGGAGTAGAGCAGGCACTCGCGTGACCTGGATCGAGACGCCGGTAGACGAGACTACGTCTTCCAGTGCCGACAGGTGGACCTTGCGCGACAAAGCGGCGTCCGATTCCTGGGACACTGGAGACACTTGGCCGACTGACAGAGTAGCTGAGTGGGAAACTTCCAGCCAAAATTGTAAAGCTTGGGCACCAAGCCAGCCAAGTCATCGTAGCTCAGTACGCTGCTCCTCTATTTCTCCCCGCTCACAAGAGCGGCGAAGCTCGAAGCACGATTCGCAGCGGAGAGCACGTTCCAAATCGCGGACGAGTCATCGGCGGCGAAAGTACGAGACTACTACAGAAGATGAAGAGCAGATTGGAGTTTGGGACCATATCAAAAGGCCTTTAGACTCCGTGGTCTCGTTGAGTAGCTCAGATGCCACTATGCAGCCGTCGCTTTCTCGAAGCCGGACACACACGCCACGGCGGAGATCTAAGAGCCTCTCTCGACGTTCCAAGTCAACACAGCGCGAAAAACAACGAAAATCATCACGACATTCTCATCGTACACCGACCGAGGAAACAGTAAACGGGAGGCCAGCGCCTGTGCCTTCAGTGGATGCAAGGTTGGCACCGGTTGTCATGAATGCACCCATTCCTGCTACTTCGCATCATGCACAATCAGAGCCGCCTAGCATTTATGCAGATCCGTCAATCCCGGTCATGCAACTACCAGAATGGGCTTCTCAGGTACATGATGCAACGCGCAAGTCTAGTATTGCCGCCAGTACTTTAGCACCTGCACCATACGCACCTTCGCTGAAGGATTTCGTACAGAGCACGAAGGGCAAGATACAAGGAGGATATCGATCGTCTTCTTCATCTTCCTGGGGTAACGATAAGAATGATAGCGCTGTGAATATGTCGTGGGGCAAGGCAACCAAGAAGGATGCTGGTTGGGGCAAGAAGAGTGATACAGGTTGGCATGACAAGGGTTATAAAGACAATGATAAGAAAGGCTGGTTCTCAACCGATGGTGACTCTTCCAGTGGTTGGGCGAAGGGTGATGATGACGAGACTATCAAAGTTGCTAATGGCTGGAACACGAAAGAGACCGGTTGGGGTACAACAGCAATTCCTCCAATCGAGAAGAAACACGGCAAGAACGACCTAGCCGATCTGAAATCCACTATAAAATCCGCCTTTGAGAATCCATCAGCTCCAGAAGCAGCTTGGAAGAATCAGTCACGGGGCATTCCACGCAACACTGCAAAGCCTGCTACACAACAGGCGACGCCTACGCCCTTTACCACCGTCGCAGCACAGGCACCGCCACCATCAAAGCAGCCCCAGCGTATGAGTAATAAAACCCTAGCCCAATACCGGCCAAACCACCCTTTCTCCGGGCCTGCACCGTCACCAACCCAACAATCTGAACGCCTGAGCAATAAATCGCTCGCAAACTACCGCCCCAACCACCCCTCTCTCTCCTCACCAACTCCAATCTCAGCTCCACAGCCACATTGGCAGTTCCCACCTCCCCCATCGACTTCCCTCCCTGCCAACCCAGTCTCCTCAAACAGCACTTACATCGCCCCTGAACTCCCCCGCCTGACAATCTCACAACGCACGGCCACAGCAAAGGGTGTCGAACATGCCGTTCGAGCAGGCAGAGCAACGCACTATGGTCATGCTGTGGGCAGACCGCAGTATCTAGATGGACTGGACAAACCGTATGCGGTGTTTAGGTTCAAGTATCGTAGCGTGAGTGTACTGAGAGGAATGTTCGGGCGGGCGGTGGACGATGAGAGGATTGCCTCGTCAAATCAGATGGACAAAGGAGAAAAGGAAGAAGAAGAAGACGGGGATAAGGGAAAGGTCAAAGCTGGGTACTCACAGGACGAACTGATTACTAGGATGACGGAATTGGAACGGAAAGTCAAGGATGTTGGTGTTGGCGCTGTTCAGAGTAGCAGGGAACCGAGGTGTGGTAAGGTGAAGAAAAAAGAACAGCGCAGAGTTAGTGCTGCGACAGAGAGTGTAGCGAAGAAGTTCACGGAACAGTGGGTTGAGCGGCATTCGAGGGATTCGACTGTAACATCCGTCCCTATGTAGTGGGACACACAGTGTGACGGGACGCCACAGCCACTCCCTAGCATAACAATCTTCACAACAGGCTAGAGAAATAGACATACTTAGAATAGTAACCTTACTCTATAAATTGTATCCTCTCCTAATCTCTTTTAGAGATAGGCTCTGCTTACTGTGCGATACGTTAATCTGGTGTAAGCGTCACGCGACTGCCTCGCTTTTACTTGTAGTAGGTATGTCGAAAGCTTATACATCTTTTCTATGGTTTTTTAACTTAAAGATCAATAGATTAGTTTGCTGCACACGACACGTTCACTCTCCCACATCATCTGCTCTTCTCCTAGACAGTCCCATTCATTGGGCCAGATGAATTTTGCTGCGTTGCAGAAGGTTGTTGCTGGTTTGCGTCCCTATCTTTGACTCGATTATAAAGGCCGTAAGCCGAGAGAAGATATAGTCCTGCAGCATATACTAGAGTCAAGATGAAAAGCACAACAATCTAGTTGCACATTTAGTGATGTAACTTTCTTGGTGGATGAGATATCTCTCCCTACCTTGATATCTTGTTTGACCGAACTTGGAGTCACCGAGCTTGCCACAACGAAAACAAGCCCAACTATGTAGAATACCACACTTGCATTCAACAGCGATATTGGCGCTTGCCAGATGATAAGCTGAAGTCTGCTTGGCCTCCAAACGCGATTCTCGCCTTGCGTTCCCAGAACTTCCCGAATGTTGCTAAGACCGTCAGGGTGGCTACCTAGCCGTGATAGGGCAACGGCTAACTGCGTAGAGGTTGCAATCGAGGCTAATGCCAAAGCCAACCCGCTATACCAGACTGCTTGAATGTTGGATAGCGCATAGTACGACAGTCCAGTGAATACTGGCCAAGTAAACGACGCTGAGATCACTCCGGCAAATAGAGCACTCTAGAGGTAGAATCTCAGTACAATATGTGACTAAGCTCAGGGAATACCTACGGTGATTGAGATGGTGTTTAGCTGCTCGATAGCGTTGTCCCTCCATAATGAGGTAAGGCGATCTTTTTCATTGTCATCCGGAGCATCAAGCATATGTTTAATCGGCGCAGACGAAACCTTCCAGGCTGCTGCTTGGAATGGCAGAAGAAGTTTGATGAATGTGAAAACGCGCCTCATGATATCGCTGTGCTCTGTACATACCAAACTGCGAATGAAGAAATTATGAAAGTCCAGCAATGAGATACAACCAGAAGAGAAACAAAAATATCTTAAAACTCAAGAACATACCCTGGATGCATCTAGCTGCTGAGGATCGTGTGAGGCGATGCACGCACCGCCACCGCCACAATGCTTCGGAGCTCGTATTCTCTGAGCGCATCGACTCAATGTAGTACGTCATCCTATGAAATCTACCACGGCTCTGTTCTTATAGTGAAACTTTATTACAGTATATCGGGTAAGTTACAGTAGCATTCTTTCATGGCTTTCTGCGTCCAATCTGCACCGCCCCCATTGCCTGCACCGCCTCCACCAGCTGAACCGCCTCCACCAGCTGAACCGCCCAAGCGAAAATGCTCCAGCCGCCGAGCCTCAAGCTGAGTGGTTTTGGCCACCTCATTCATAAACTGACCTCACGCCATCCGTTCTTTCGCAGATACCCATCAACATTTGATACAGGGTGAGGAACGTGAAGAGAAGGGCTCAGGCACAACACCCATGGACAATCCAAATGACTCGGATCACAACGAGAGCAACGCACAAATGCACGAGGTGTTTCTTAGGCGCTACACTCTAACATACTCTGCTTACTTCCCGCCGTTGTTTCGCAGTTGGATCTGCCTCTGCGAGAATGTTGTTCCAACCAGCTGGCTGTCACATTACACGTTGATTGTAGGGAACTACTATTTCGACCTCGAACGTAAAGGCTCGCGTCCCTTTGCTAGCACTGCGAAATTTCACGGAAGAAAGTCGAGTAATGAAGTCGAACACCTTAGCGACAAGGACAAGTGGCGTCCTGTGGACGAATGGCTCGGCACGACGGCAATATCCCCGGACACCATCGAAACAAAACGTATGTGTTCGATACCCAGCCACTTATCAGAAATGAATAACAGTTTCCTAGTGGAGGCACAAGACCAATTGTTCCGTGAAAAAAACACTGGCGCCCAGAATTGTCTTCTGGACGACTTCAGGGAATATTCACTGTTGAATTCCAATTGTCAACACTTCGTTCTCGAGTTGACTCGCCGAATCAACGTGAATTTTGTCTCAAATGATGTCGAAGAAAAGATTGTACGCGATAGTACACGACCACGCATAGTGTGTGGAGTCTTACTGTTCACATTTGGGTTCATTCTGAGCCTGCTTATGTGTATGCCGTCTGGCTTCCTTTCGAGAACAATTGTCTACCTTACTGGGGTCGGATTCCACGTTGCATATGCCATGTCCATCATACAAGACACCAGGGCGTGCAAGCAACGGCTCGATCGACTCGAAAACGAATGCCGCTATCTTCAGACGAGAAATTATCGAGACATGACATGGATGAAGCCAAAGTGGGTCAGGGTATTTCCCAAAACCAATAACTACCTGCTTAGTTGGCTATACCAACACTACTTGTTGGCTTCTTTACAAGGCTCGTTTTACGGAGTCTTTGTCGGCTTATATTTCTTGTTACACTTAGATGCCTGGAGGGCGGTCAAGGTAGTCACGGCCACTATCATCAGCTATCCGATCATGATCGGAGTCCCGGCTTACCATATCCTAGCATTCTTGAAATCGAAGAACGAAGTCAACCAGCTTTTGGAAGACGACGAGCAGAAACGGATCGACGCAGCCTACAATTTTATCACAACTCATATGACCTGTCACTGTTGCAACCGAAATCACTGGCTATGTATTTTTCGGCAGATTGTCCACCATCCGACGAAAGGTCTAGAGCCGTTAGCAGATTTTGTTGACCAGGAAGTATATGAAGAGCCCTTTGGTAGAGAGGACCTTGGGCGAGCGATTAATAGGTTCGAAAAGGAACGAACTGGAAACACGTTTATGAGTTGGATGTATTTGGTACAGCTGATCATGTCTGATATGCGTCGTGAAGGGAATCCAGCTTTAGATTACATGCGGGAATGGTAAGCTGCGCGGGATACTGTCCTGCGCACCTCAAGATACACCGAAACTATACTTTGAGATCTCAATAACGGAAAGGTAGCAAGACTTCAAATGCCTTCCCTGGTTTGAGGAGAAGGCTAAGAAACAAGGGAAGAAGAATAAGGGAAGCGGGCAGGGGCGAGGAAAGGAAAGCGGACGAGATGCGCGGACAGAATGTCAATGAGGGGGGTGTAAAATAGAAACTGGTTTGAACTTCTTCAGTTATTGGGAGGAATGAGACAGGATTCCGTGAGGAGTACGTATAGTAGGTTTTGTATTTGTATAAAGATGAAATACAAATTCACAAGACTAGTGTCGTCATGATCACGTTTGAAACGACATTCCACTATGTTCATAAATAAATCTTCACTAACGTATAGTAAGTTCATCCTCACTCCCATCATCCCCATCATCCATCCACTTCCGTTTCCTCGCATCCAGATTCCCCAGCGCACCGCCTAGACTCCTCCTCCCTGCGCTTTTCCCTGTAGCATTCTCCTTCGCAGGCGTCCCCTTCCTTGTCCACTCCCTCTTGACCTGTTTGAGAAAGGATTTCCGGTGAGCTTTGGACGTGGACTTGGTAGTGCCCGTTTCGCTATTGCCGTCCACATCGCGGGGTTTGGGTGTTCGGAAGAGCATCGGCGTTGCGATCGCGTCGTGTTTGCGTTTGAGAGATGGGGTTGTTGGGTCGGCAGGAGAGGGAAGGAGTTCGTCATCGCCAGTGAGGTCAAGGGAAGCATCTCTACCGCTGACGAGTGCGGTGTGCGTGCTTTGTTGGTTGGATGGGAAGCAGAGCAATGTGCTCACGGGTTCGGCGGGCTCCTGTGATGCGACTATTACATTGCTCGAGTCCTCTTGCGCACCATATTTGTTGTCTTGAGAGTCATTAATCATCTTAGCGAAAGGTGGAGATCGTTTTCGTTTGACTAGTGTTGTCGGCGAAGACAATGGCTCAGTCTTTACTGTGGCTGAAGATGCGCGGGTTGGTGTCATGACGGTGTCTTGTGTTAGCAGGTCTACAGATGCTCGTGTGGGTGTCATAACGAAGTCCTGCGTCTGCGGAGTCGAAGGCAAGTTTTCTTCTAGCATGGTGTCTTCTTCATCGACAAGATCTCTTGTCTCAATGGATGGGAGTATTACATCTTGCGATGCAACTGCGGTTGTGTTGTCACCACCGGGAGGAAGATGGTCTTCGTCTGGATCGGATCCAGCCAGGGATAACAGATCCAGCTCGTCGTCGTCGTAGTGCGAAATTGACGACAACCTATCCTGCTTGTTTTCTTCCATCGAAATCACGGGATCCTGATGGCAATCTTCGTGCTCAGAGGAAATTGGCGTCGGTAGGTGGTGCGGTGGCTTCGAAACGGCGGGAACTTCTTCCGTGGAGATTTGATCGCCTCCGTTGACAGAATCGGTCGTGGGTGCTACAGAAGCGCCTTGCAAGTGTAGATCTTGATTTTTTATCAAAGCCCAACGATTGCGAAGTGCGCTGACCGGCCACCTCTTCCACTTCTCTCTGCCTCCCCAGATTACCGCCCATGAGGCACCATCTATCGTTCTCCGCTTGCTTATGTATATATCGTCTTCACGAGTGAAGTGGTATTTCGTTGGCGGGCCGGGACCGCGCCTCTGGATTCCGACTCGTGGACTGCTTCTCTTGGGCTTCGTAGGCGAGCTTTCGTCTGGTCTTGTGTATACTGTCGTCGGGGGTCTTTCTTCGCCTGCATCTATCGATATTATGTCTGCGTGTTGTTCATCGGCCGCTTTCTGTGTAGGCGCTACGCTGTGGCTCGGGAGGGGGCTCGACAGAGCGGTTGGACATGAGCGCGGTTGTGCAGACAAAGGTGGATAGAACCATTTCGGATCTGTAGGGGGCGCCACTTTGTCACCTGTTGTTGTAGGCGTAGTCGGCGTGGGAGCCACATTTTCAAGGACTACTGGGGTGTTTGGATCATTCTGAAGTTTCGCCATGGAGTGCATGAAGTTGATGAAGGCACTCTGCGCCTCTTGACCAGCAGGCGTCTGTGGAAAATGTAGATATGGTAGGACATTTGGGACAGGATTTGGTGTTTGCGGTACGCCGGTCTGTGGGATAGATCTTGCTGGATTGTCCGACGGGGGTGATGTAGGTTCGACATGTCGCTTGCTGGTGTCTTGTTCTGGCGGTACTATAGTCTTGGACTTTACCAATTGCGGGAGTGCCAATTCATCTTCCAAATCGCCCTCGTTTGCTTCCTCTTCTTCCGAATCTCCCATACTATCCCCATTCGATAGCAAGAACGTATCCACTAGCCCTTTTCCTTTTCCTTTCCCATTGTTTTGACGATCTATTCTTCGCAGATGGCCCCTGTCGACCACCACCTGGTTCGTATTAAAGTCGATTATATCGCTCTGTGACTCGTTCATATTTCCAAACTTCTCGAATATCGACTCGAGCCGGCTTTTGAATTTCTGCTGTTGTTTCTGCTTTGCCTCAATGTATTCAGCGTCTTCTTCGTCGATCTCGGGTGATTGAAGTATGCGCATGCGCTTGTGCCGTTGTTTTTGCCTCGCCATGGTGTTTCCGACATTTTCTTCGTCAATTTGAACGGATTGAAGTATCGCCGGCGACTCCATGGCGTGTGTAGGCAGCCACTCTGACAAAGGTCATGTGTACGGGGGAACGAAGAGGGTGTGGGTGGACTGGTGGGGAGTGATCGCTTGTGAGACAGTGTGTGGTACAATCAGTGAGAATGACGCGAGACGCGACGCGACTTCCTCGGCAGGCACCCGACGCCTCGACCCCACTGGCCGGCCCGCAGGTGATCGCCGTTCGTGAACCACAACACCGTCATTTCACCAACGCTTATCGACTCTACACTCTCCACCCTTCTTGAAACATGAAGGACCACGAGTCATAACAACATGGCCAACGACAAGAAGCACACGGGCTTGGCTTGCCAGAAATGCCGGACACCCATCGACATCGATGCCTCTATTGACCAGCTCAATCCGGCAGCCTTCAAGCTATTGACTGGTACATTCCTATGTCACGAGATTACGACACATAATACTAACATGCGACAGACTCAACAGTACCAGGAGAACAAGCTGCATCAAGAATCTCGCCCAACCGCCAGTCGCGCCCACCCAACCCTCCCGAACATCTCAAGACGTATCAAGATGCAGCCAAAGATGCCAGACACCCTACCTTCAAACGCAACATCCAGGGCGCACCGCCTTCGGGGCAATCAAAAGGCGCACAGAACCCTGCCATGTCCTTCATCGACGTCCACATGTCTGAGTCGATGATAGACCCACCCTCATCCACTTCCCGCAGTCCAGCTCGTAAACCACCAGCCAGCAGCGACAAGCCGAACGCAAATGACAAGGCACAGCGGAAGAGCTTCACAAACAGTCCAAGCAGTGTACCAGGCGGCGCGAGTCTAGCAGATGGCTTGGAAACCACGAACCGGCTCTTCGAGATCCTTTCGGCTCGCTCCGACATCGACCACCCCATCTGCGTAGAATGCACCGACCTCCTCATCGACGGCCTCCAAAAGCGTCTCGGCGTCGCGACCCGCGAACGCGACGCCTACGTCGACTATCTCCGCCGCGCAAACACCGACGTGCCCTCCGCAGACGAAGTCAAACTCGCCGAAGCCGCCCTCGCATCCGCCCGGAAAGCAGAAGCAACTGCCATAACGCAGCTCGAGGCCCTCGAGCACGAAAAGGCCGAACTTGACAACCAGCTTGCGGCCCTGGATGCAGAGTCGCGCAGTCTTGACATCGAGGAAAGCGAGTTTTGGAAGTCACGCAACGAGTTTAATACCCAGTTGACCGAGATACAGAATGAGCGGGCTGCGCTGGCCACGCGGTACGCGCATGATGCGCAGGTCCTGAACCAGCTGCAGAGGAGAAGTGTGTATAATGATACGTTTAATATTACGCACGACAACCATTTTGCTACTATCAACGGATTGAGGCTAGGAAGACTGCCAAACCCTTATGTGGATTGGCCGGAGATTAATGCGGCATGGGGACAGACGTGCTTGCTACTTGCTACACTAGCCGAGAGACTAGGCTACAAGTTCGAAGGGTACGAGTTGTGTCCTATGGGGTCTACGAGTACGATTACGAGGCTGGAGGCTAAAGGCGGTGGGAACTCGACGACAACGACGACAACAGCCGAGTCGACAAGGAGTACGGGAGCCCACGGCGCGACGAGTGCAAATGCGCCGCAAGTCTCAAAACACAGGCTCGAGTTGTACTCTTCTGGTGACTTTCCCATCAACTTTGGTTTCTTGCACCGGAAATTCGACACGGCTATGGTTGCGTTCCTCGAGTGCTTACGCCAGTTGGGAGAATTCGTTGAAAACTCTGCTACTACCACTACATCTCCGCCAGGTCAGAGTAGCCTGGCGGGTCCTGGTGCGCCGCAAGGTGTCAAGATGCCGTATGAGATTCGCAAGGATCGCATCCACGATCAGAGTATCAAGTTGGCGTTGAATAAAGATGAGGGATGGACTAAGGCATGCAAGTATACATTAACGTGCTGTAAGTACTTGCTTGCGCATGCAAATAATGTTGAGAGTATGGGGGTGAGGAGGAGGTAGAGTGAGGGGGACGGAGCAGTGAGATGTGATATGGGCAAGGGGGGAAAGGGAACGGGGATAGCAAGTTTTGTGATTTGGTTTAAATAGGTTAGATACCCCAATGATGCTTCTTATTTTTTTTTCTTCTTGCTTCGCTATAGACTTGACTTTTTGTTCCTTGTGCTTCGGTTTATCTATCAAAGTGAAGAGGACGGCAGACTTGCATCAAATCTACCTCACATCCTCTACGCCTACGTCTAACATCCTTATCTAGTGTTGCAGTTCTGGAACATAGATGAGGAAACAAGTGACTAGTCGTGATACCACACGAACAACGTATCCATATCTCGCGTGACACTAAGCCAACAAGAAGACATGTACATGAAGCGTTTCCGTGCTCCCTTCGCGTGATGTTCCTATCTTGCGTGACACAACGTCAAAACAAAACGGGAACATGTGTACATGAGGCTCTCATGCACCCAGCAGCCAATATCCCTATCTTTTGTTGCACCATCACAAACGTGATGGAGACGTGTTCAAGAGCCACAGATAAGATAGTGCATCGCGGCTGTAACACCTATCACATCATGTCAGTGTGGTCGTAGTATAAATTTACTTACGACTTCAATACTTTGGTACAAGGATGAGATGAGTGTTCGAGGTCAAAGTCCCATTGTCAACGACTTTGAATTGGTAGTCAAGGTCGCAAGCCTATTGAGTTGTGCTCTGAGTTTCCTGATTTCGTATTCTTATTCACTCACAGCTTTGTGCACGTGGGAATGTGCCATGTCATTCAGAATGGGATGTGATGAGTTGTCCATTAAGCTCGAAAGCCCAAGATACCACCAGCAAGGACTCCAACGACCGGCAGGGATAAGCTTCAACATACGTATACCAAACCATGTTACTGTTTAAAAGAAGAGTATCACATTGCTACTTTGATCGCCCACAGATCGTGTGATCACTTTCAATACGCTTCGCACACCGCACCTCCCGCAAAGCACGGACACGTGTCGCAACCCAGCATCCGGGAGGCACCGCCAGTCAGCACTCAGCCTCACCTTGGCCCATCTGCATCCGCGAGGCGAAAAAGGAAGGTCACGATACTTTCTCGGTGGTGTTGCGGCTCCTAGCGCTGGGAAGCACCATGTCAGCTGAGCCCGTCTAACCCCCCGTGACTCTGGGTGGCGCACGACGCACGTACAGCCGGACGAACAGCGAAGCCGATATTTCCATCTGCTCGCCTTGCAGCGGCATTGTAGTAGGCAAGCTCCGACGGACGGCCTTAGTGGAAACGGAATGTCTATCCCGTAGCGCTAGCTTGCCGGTGTGATCGTCTCAGAGCTAGATGAACTTCGTGGAAGCGAGCTCGTGTCAGGGGTCTCCGAGATCTTTTGCGGGGTAGCGTATTTCCTTAGCTCATAGAAACCGAGAAAGGAAATTAGGGGTGCTCAGAGGCACAGGCGGTATAGTGATCGGTCTGTTGTACTTTGCTTGCGTACAACACCTGTCTAATATACTTGAGGTACCCCATGGTTGTATCGTCATCATCAACGTCACTCTAATCAGTGTCAGCATCTCCTAACGCTAATTTACATGTGCTGTTTGGGGATCGCTGTGTAGTGTGCTCGGCTCAAGTGGTGAGCTAGAGTAGTTCCCGTAACGGTGTTTGCATTCTTGGTTGTGGAGAAATCGCATAGCGGGGAAGTTTCGAAGACGTAAGATATTACCAAATAAAGTCCAGTCGAACACGATGGTGAGAGGCCTAAGCTCCTACTCATGCAACAGACCGGAAAATACGTGTCACCAGGAGGAGGAGCCCATGCATTGTGAAGATTTTGCAGATCCACTCCCAACGTGTGGTGTTTGTGTTTGGTGAATGGTCATGGTATGAGCGTAGGTTGCACAACATGCGTTGCATTGTTGGAAAGAGAGATAGAGAGAGCGAACGAGAAGGCCCAGTATGTTCTGGAAATCATCGTGACCATGGTTGACAGGGTATTGCAAGGCTGGTTGCGTGTGGTGCCGTGATGCGTCAGACGTTGGCAGTTTGACGACAGAAGGTGCGAGACATGACATAGATGGCGACACCCGCAGCCGCAACCGTCCAGCAACCGTCTGGAGAAGCGGAGATAGTAGAAGTGACCAATGCGTCGGATGTAATATGTCGAAACAAGCCATAATGCTCACAGTCAATGCTCTTGTGTCGTGAGATGATGCGTGAAGACGGCGTTACGACGACGCGACGGACGCGACAGCATGGAAGCAACGGAGGTTGGACTCGGATTGACCCAGCAGAAAGGCGCCATGCAGGCACGGGGATTGTGAAAGATGGTCGGAGGGTCTCGTCAGAGATTTCCATGTGTCATTGGTGGTCAGGTGGCCTGCGGATTGAATTTCCTGGGGGTAATCGAAACGCCAGCCACGAGCCACGTGAAGCCAATTTTCTGCTTTGAATCGCCGCCCCAGCAAACCCGAGCTCGCCAAGCCACCGTGACGTAAAGAGAACCTAACCTCACAACCACTTTCTACTGCAAAACTATACGCGTGCAACGTGCTGCTAATCACCCTATTGGCTCGCCTACGCTGAGAATTGATCCTTCTAGCTCAAGGGCCATGTCGGTCCAGCGTCCGAGTCGTTGGCGCTTGTGCAAGGAGCTGGGGAAGACACAAGACGTCTGACTAACAATGAACCATGGTGCTCTTTGTCAAGAATAAATCTCTGCCCTCGACTATAAGAGTCCTGGGAGCCTTGCGAGATTCACTATAGAGACCACGCCCGACTAACACGACTTTCCACTTACGCCACCTACATACCTAGACACCATCTACTACCATCAACAACAACATCCAGACACGAGTCACCTTACCGTCACACCGCTGCCAAACATTCAATGAACATCAACGACTTCCCCTACGAAGTTCTTACCCAGATCCTCGAGGAGGTTACCAAGGCCAATATACGTGATGGTCCCACGTATACATTCGGTCTCCAGCAAGCACCACTGCCACTCGAGAGGGCCAAGCTCCAGCGCTATGTGAGAGGCCCGGTCCCGCCAGAGCTCCTCAAGTGGGATGCGACTGCCACGCTGCGATCAGTCTGCTGGAAGTGGCACGAGTGGGCTCTGGAGCACTCCATCAAGGATGTCTATATCCGCCGCTGGAAGGGAGGAGAGGTAAGCACACGTTTGTTGCTTACCATGAGCATCATGCTAACGAACATCAGCGATGGGCCGAGCTGTCCAACAGGCGAGAGAGCTACCCACTCTACGAACTCATTGACCGCCCGACTGGCACGGCTGTGTACCGCGACCCTTTCGCCTCGTTGAAGCGGACGGTGAGCATCTGCAACGACTACCCAGAGGTGGCCGCCAAGGTTAGACGCATGTGGGTGCACGGTTTCTACACCGCCGAGACCGATCGTCTAGTGTTCCAATCGCTCAAGAACTGTACCAACATCACTTCGCTCTCTCTTCCGTGGACCACTATCCGTCACGTGGACGCCAAGGCCTGGCGGACTGTCCTCACTGGTACGGGTAAGCCACTGCAGTCACTGGAACTCCAATGTGTCGACCCTACTTCGCAACAAGCAACGGACAAGGACAATCTCGTTGATCTGGAGCCACTGCAGTCGGTCAACTTTAGCCAGCTGCGACGTCTGAAGATCTTTGGCGACACTAGCTTTATGCCCATCACCGACAATGATCTCTTCGCCATTGCTCGCACTGCAACACAGCTGGAGGAATTCCATCTGACGTGCAACTCTTCCATCACCATCGACGGTGTCATGGCCATTGTCAAGGCGTCTCGCAAGACTCTCCGAGTGCTTGAGCACAGCCCGCGGTCACAGGATGGCTTCTGGCACCCACATCCGGGATCTCCGAGCGACTGCGAGCATCTGTGCGACACTTTCCGAAACTGCCCTAAGCTCGAGACTCTGTCCATCTCGCTTCCTTCTGTATGCTCCCATCTCTTCTCCAACGACAATGCAAAGTTTGCCGGCGACCTGCAGGTACGTGCTTTGCACTTGTGTGAGCACGAGGACGGTCGCTCCACTCAAGAGGCCACCGACGCCCTGCAGAAACTACTGGAGCAAGCCCGTCGCTTCATCCGCCTTCGCGCGGAGAGTGCCATCCCTCGCGATTTGTACGTCGAGCTCTTCTTCGCAGACTGCATCTTCGAGCCCGGTTTCCAATCCGTGCATGGCGACTTTTCCCTGGCGCAGATCTCGTCCGATGGGCACTGGCCACAGAACGTCGACTTCAGCGGCAAGGGACCTTATGGCAGCACCGGCCTATACGGAAAAGAAGAAGAGGCGCAATTTCAGCGCATCGACGAGGCCGACTTTTTGGCTGGTGTTCGTAGGAGGCTCCTCTCCATCCAAACTTGATTGCGACAAATAACGGCCGAAACTTCACTTCAACTTGTAAACCTTGATCACCAACCTTTTTGACTTACGAAATTACGACCACATGCATGAGCGACAGGCCTGGAGCCAAAAAGATACCAGGCTGGAGCAGCCATATTGTATTCATGCATTTGGGGAACTTCATAAACGAGAACAAGGCCATGTCTCGAAAAGCGACTACTGTGTATTTTCCCATTGGGATGGCGGGGTGTCATTTTTGCTTTTTTTCCTCTTTGCATCTTGTTAGCATTTTAGCGTATATACTTCAACCAACATAATGAATCAACTTTGCACACTCATCTGGCGTCGTCTCATGGCTCATCTGTTCTGCATCCATACTTGCGCATACGCCATGACCGATGGGTGAGCAAGCAACACGAACAACGCGCGACAAAGAAAATTCGCGAAGCCTCTGCTCTAAATTTGCCAAACGGCTCCTCCGCTTGGCGATCACCAACAACACCCACCCCGCACCTGCAACCCACGCACCCACACTCTCCCAAAGCGGACAAGCCCAAGGTACATTTCCGCAGTGTCTGCTTACACACCGCATAGTCATTCCCTCACAGCAGCTAGCTGTACTCCGGATGTCAACCTCTTTCTCTATCCGAGCTTATCAACCTTACCCAAGCGGCTACGCCGTGCTAACCACTCAACGTGGTATGTACCAGATCCGGCACGGCACGCCGGACACCGACCGATATGCTTGCTGAATAAGAGGCGGAAGAAGACCGCACTAAACCAAGTCGTATGCCGGACCCGAGGGGCTCTGTTGAGAAAGCAGAATGGCAGGTTTGCCGGAAAGGCTGTAACAAGAAAAATGCCGGTGGGAAAGTCTAGCATAATCGTATTTTGCCAGCGAAGTGCAAGAAAAAAACCCATTGGCAATCACTTACCAAAGACTCATGTAATCGTTGGAAATGATCCATGACGCTACTGCATCGGGGGTATATGTGGGGCGCTAGCCGTGCGGCCATGCTCCATGCAGGATAGCGATGCGGCTATGAGGGGCAGAATGGCGCAAAGCTGTTGGTAACTGCTACGCAAGCAAGCTTAGCTACCCAGCTGGCCCTATGAGGTGGTCTCGGTGCTATGGGACCGGTGTATGGCATGATGTATCTCGAGATGCTGGAGATCGGGGCCAGGGACAAGATAGGATAACCCGACAGGGTCATCTGTGGTAGCTGGTGTCAAGTATAAGAGGAAGGGACTACCCCACCCCTCGAGAGCTCTCCAGTTTACCTCCTTATCCTCAACACATACGTCCTACTTCACTTGCTCGCTGTTGACTTTGTTTGATACCCCAATTCGTTCAAGATGGCTCCCAAGATCGCGATTGTGTACTACTCCATGTACGGCCACATCAAGAAGATGGTATGTTGTTCCTGTTGTGTTGTCCTGTGGAAGTGGCTGTCTACCCAACGGCTCCCCGCATGATTCTCCTCTCCAGTCTCTCAACTGAGATCCTCTGCTAACATGGTTACAAACAGGCCGATGCTGAGTTGAAGGGTATCCAAGAGGCTGGCGGTGATGCCAAGCTCTTCCAGTATGTGACCTCTATCCAACACACTCAACACCACGATCCCCAAGAGCAATCACTAACGACACAACTACAGAGTCGCCGAGACCCTTCCTCAAGAAGTCCTCGAGAAGATGTACGCACCTGCCAAGGACTCCTCTGTCCCCGTCCTCGACGACCCAGCCGTCCTCGAAGAATTCGACGGCATCCTCTTCGGTATCCCCACCCGCTACGGCAACTTCCCCGCACAATTCAAGACCTTCTGGGACAAGACGGGCAAGCAATGGCAACAAGGCGCCTTCTGGGGAAAGTACGCCGGTGTCTTCGTTTCGACGGGCACCCTGGGCGGTGGCCAGGAGACAACTGCCATTACCAGCATGAGCACGCTTGTGCACCACGGTTTCATCTACGTTCCCCTGGGCTACAAGACTGCGTTTAGCATGTTGGCCAACTTGGACGAGGTCCACGGTGGAAGCCCATGGGGTGCTGGTACCTTCTCTGCCGGCGATGGATCGAGGCAGCCCAGTGAGCTTGAGCTGAACATTGCGCAGGCTCAGGGTAAGGCTTTCTACGAGGCTGTTGCCAAGGCGCATCAGTGACTAGATGATGGAGAGACTGCTGGGCGGGTTGCTGAGAACAAGACGGTAGAGAGTGGGAATGGAGCAACGACAAACGGTAGCACTGCTGCTGCTGCTCCTACTTCTACTCCTGCTCCTGCTGCGTCTTCTTCGCAACCCCAGCAGAAGACCGAAGAGGATAAGGATAAAGAGGGCGGTCCGTGTGGATTGCCTGCAAAGTGCGATATCATGTAGACTTTGGCCCCTCTTTTCTCACTTCTTCTTTCCTACTAGTTGAGATTGCGATGAAACGAACGAAATGAAATAATTTAGCCATCATACTATACTGGAGTCTCCGAACTGTACTGATAAAATGTGTATCAATCCTGATTAGCTGGGGCCAAGCTCGAAGAAAAGAAGACATCGGGTATCATTATTTCCCACAGCTACTCTATCGCAAACCCATGAATCGGGATACCAAATATTCTCCATGAGGAAAAAAGGTTCCATCAAGCCTTATACCAGAAGAAACTCCATCTACACCAGGAAAGAAACAACCTCAAGGTCCTCAATCCCTATTCGCTATCGATCCTTGTTCCCCGCAATCATCCACCCTTCTCCCCCTGCCCCTTCTCCTCCCCTGGAACATGATCATGAATGAAGCCATCCACCCAATCCTTGACCCCATCAGCTTTATGCGTCAACCACTCCCACCAACTCTCTTTTTCCTTCTCCGCCCCCTCGCTCGCTTCCTTGTCGCCTTCCTTATTCTTGAGTTCGTCTTTACTTCCATCCGCCGGAGTGGGCCGGGCCGGTACTACTGGGTCGTGAAGCGAAGGAGAAGTATCTTCCATTCCGGACGCGGATGCTGCAATGGAGGATAAGGAGCCCAAGTCCATGGACGCGAGATCTGTCGACGACGACGACGACGAAGAAGAAGAAGAAGGAATAGTGTAAGCAGGAACGGGGTCCTCGGGCGTATGATTCTCATTCCCAGGCGCATCTTCGTCGTCGTCGTGCAACCCAACTGGTTTCAGCGGCAGACGCAACGTCCCATTATTCGGCGCGGGCGTGAGACCCAGCGTATCGCAAACGATATTATACAATTCGATATTCTGGAACGGTTGCATTCTGCTCCCCGGCGTGTGCGGGAAAGCCGGTCCCCGAGCAATAAACACGGCTCTCATCAACGGGTGTTCAAAATCATATCCGTGCAGACCCCTCGGATGGTACACTTGGCCCTCCTTCTTGCCCGCTTCGACGTCGAATTCGTCCCTGGTGACAATCGCCCAACCCGTCTTGGGCACGATCCAGAGAGGCGCGATGCGCTTGTTGCGACTAAAGTGGTACCGCTCCGGCATATCCTCGTCTCTTAAGTAAACGTCCACGTTAGGATTCTCCTTTGTGCGTTGTTTGATCTGGTTGTAAAGCCGATGTAGAGAAGCCGGATCTCGAGGGCGTAAACCGTAGAGCGGCCAGCCATCCGTATGTTCGAGTTCCTTTGGATCGACCAAGTCTTCGAGCTGAATCAGTCTCGTCACGTCCGTGGTAGCCATGCCGTGGTCGCTCACGACGATGACGTTTACAATGTTGGTCAGGTTGCGTGCTTGCAGACCAGACAGGATACCTCCCACCATGGCATCGGCGCTTGCAATCGTTTTGCGGATCTCGGTGCTGTTGGGGCCGTAGCGGTGACCGTCGCCGTCGACGTCGGGGACGTACGCTGCGATGAGCTGGGGCCTGGGCGCACTTGCTTTGGCGCCCACGTCTCTAGGGCCAGGGGTGTCGAGGAGCGACATGATGCGGTCGACCTTGCTAGCAAGCACTTCGGAGCCGTTGTACTTGTCAACGTAAGCAATGTCTTGATGTAGGATATTGGCTTCGGAACCGGGCCACATGTGCACCGCCGTCCGTACTCCTTGTTTCTCGGCCGTCACCCAGAGGGGTTCGCCGCCCCACCAGTGCGCTTGCAGGCTGCGGTCTGGGTCTGTGTAGTAGAACTCTTGCTGTAGTTCAGGGTCCCAGAACGTGTTTCCTACCACGCCATGTGCTTCGGGGTACATGCCCGTGGCCATTGTGTAGTGGTTTGGGAATGTGACGCTGGGGAAGCTGGGCATCATGTACTTTGGCGAGATGCCTTCTTGGACGAATTGGTTCAGCGTGGGTGTCAGATTTCTGAACAGAAAGTCGGCGCGGAAGCCGTCGAGGGAGATGAGTATCGTGGTTGGGGCGAAGAGCGAGGTGCCGTTTGATACCAGGGTTACTGCGCCCTTGACATCTTTGGGGGTGGAGAGATTGTACGTAGCTGCGAGGAGGACGACAAAGAGAACGACGATGGATACATAGATGGCCATGCGTCGGTATAGGCTTTTCCTACGTGTCTGTGACAAGTATTAGCTTTTTCATCTGCGCATTCGCAGACTTCACATGCCTTTCTCTGCAGCTCGCTCGCAAGTAATCGCTGTTCATCGCTTTGGGAACTCCTCCTTGACCGGAAACTGGTACTCGATGCGCCAATACCCTCTTCCATTTCGTACATGAGCGCACTTGTTTCTTCATTACCGCTTTTCCTGCGCCCCTTGGTCTCGCTCTTCTTGTCCCATTTGCCGACCTTGACCCCGGAGCCTTTACGCCCTAGGATACCCTTTCCACCATCTTCGCGCGTAAGAAGCCTCTCGCGCTCATCCTCCGAGTCCAAGATATCGCGGTCGCGCTCGTCAAGGTCGCCGGACGGCCGGCCGTCGTAGGCTTCGTCGTCGGAGGTGTGGTCGTAGAGGGTGCGGTCATCGGTGCCTGCGTCGGAGCTGGCGACCCTGTGCGATTCATTGTGCGGTTGCGGTTGCGAAGACATGATCGCGTTCTTCGGGTGACGTTATCACATCGCTTGATGAACCGGGAGACACGTTGCGCGCCCGCTGTGGTGCTCAATATGTTGGGGGTCAGCGACCCCAGACGTGTCTCTTGGCATTCATGTTTCACGCGTGCAGGAATGCAACGTTCGTCTCGCGTATTGACTTGATTCGGCAATGGAGCCAACAATCAACAACCTCCCCCTCACCCAAAGGACTGGGAATCAATGAGTTCATTCGAGAAAAGCCATCTGAATATGAACATGTTACAGAAATGAACACAAATTGCTCTCCGAATATCAAAAAAAAAGACTAACCATCTCCCTTCCTCTACACTCTACTCCATCTCAAAAACCACCCTTTCCCACGCATCCACCCACCTACACCCCATCCCGCCCACCCTCCCCTCCGAACAATCCCACAACACCAACCACATACACTCCACCAGCTCACCCCAGCAAAACACTCTGACCTCACCCAAATTCCCCGCACCACGTTTCGCACCAACCTCGCGATGCAAGCTCGTAGCCCAGCCCAGCCTACCATCCCCCAGCCGTTCACAAATTGCGTCCCAAAAGTGTTTTTGCCTCGTTGCGGGCCATTGCGAACAGTCGACGGACCACCAGCCGCGTGTATCAGGTGCCGGGGTGTGCAGTTTTTTGCGAGGCTGGAAAAGGTTGCTAGGGTACTGGGTTTTGAGGGAGGCGAGGTAGGGTGTTATCTGCGAGGGCCAGGTTAGAGGGGTGGTGATGCCGATCTTGGGTTCGGGCGCTAGGACGCTGTGTGGAAGTGTGGATAAGTCGATGGAGGCATCGGGATCACAGTCGGCTTCGTGTAGGCTTTCGATCTCGTGTTGTGCTGTTGGAACTGCTGGCTTGGGCGCTTCGTCTAAACGCACGGCTTCCTGTTGTCTTGCAATGGTAGAGGTAGGGGCGGGAGGCGGAGTTGGGGGAACATGGGTCTTGACTGCTGCTGCTGCGCCAGCTTCTTCCAAGCGTGCACTCTTACGGCGACTCGCAACTGTAGTGGGTACTTTGAAGGGAGCCGCTAGCTTTGACGCGTCCTTCAGGCGCGAGCTTCTTCGTTTTACTCTTGCGAGTAGGCTGTCGTACTCCAACTCTGGACGGGCTTTTGGGTTGCCAAGCGACTTGACCTCTGCTCCTTTAGTTCCCTGTAGGCGCGCACTCTTACGACGACCCACGACTGTAGCGGGTTCCTTTGGCAAGGGCGTGGGTCGAGACGGAACGGTATTTTCTGCTATAGCAACAGGTATGGGCCCTGCTGGTGCATCGGACGACGGGAGATCTTCTTGCGCAGCATTCTCAGCGATCAATTCGGCTTCGTCTGAATCTTCCCAAGATATCGGAGAGCTGCTCTCAGGTCCACTTTGCGGCGGTTCTTCTCTCGTAATAGCATTCATCTGTTCAGTTGGCTCATCGCCGTCTAACGGAACTTCTTGCGTAAAAATGCCAGCATATTCATCAGATTCCACATGTCTTTCGTCTATATCGTCTTCCGAGGTGTTCTCGTCAGTCATCTCAAAGCTATCCGGCATCTGACTTTGCAGCGCCGATCTTGCCTCTTGCGTATCCTCGATGAAGGCCGTGTCGACATCTTCACACTCTTCCTCTTCCCCATCATACCAATCTTCTGCACCGCGCTGTTTACTAGCAGCGCTCGATTTGGGAGTTGTCGTTACTTGCGCCTTCCAGTTCTGGTGGATTTCTTCTAGACGGGCAAGCCGACTGGATGGTGGAGCATGATTGTCTTGTATTTGCGATAAGCCTGAGGGGAAACTGCCATAAGAATCTTTACCCGTTGATAGAAACGAAGCGTCGACGTTGGAGTCGAATGAACTACCGGGATTTAGTACCGCCGGGTCGCTCATTCGAGAAGCATCCGCATCCTGGCTAGACACATCTGCACCAGGCTGTGGTGGCCTGTCTCCATGGGTTCTGGCGGGTTCGAAGTCGAGATAAGCGTTAGCCAAGGAACGATAGAGTTGGTCGTTTTGACGGGTGACGGGTGCGGAGATGTGAACCAAAAGTTCGTGCTCATGGACCATAATGGACTGCAAGCAAGTAAAGGCAACTGTGTTCAATATCCATCATCGTAGAACATGTGGAGCCAATCCAAAAGAAAGCCCGCGCGAATCGTTGTTACATGAAAGGACAGTAGAAGTCAAGTGTTGACGTGAGCAAGGGGTTCAGCCTAGCAATCCCCAACGCCACTACTTGGCAGCTGCATTCGGTCTGTGCACGATCTTACATGCAATACTATCGGATGTGATCATACCTTTCAGGTCGCATGTGGCAGTGTAGAATACAGAAAATAATCTCCTGGATCAGGACATGATGTTTATATCACAAACGGAATTACTCGTTCAGCCCCAGGACAGCATTTGTCCAGCATCATCATTCAATGGTATGTCGTCTATCATGTAAACCATCCCTACAGAGTTATCGCTGAGAAAAAGAATTCGAATCACACCACTTTTGATTTTCCCTTTTGAGAAAATTACTCCTCGTCCTCCTCAACCGCCTGCATCTCCTCAACATCCTCCTCCTCAAAGGTGTGCATGGGCACGGAGTAGAGGCGGAGAAGGGACTTGTTGGGGTCCTTGACAAGGACGTATTTGCCTTCGTCCATGCGAAGTACCATGTCAACAATTGTGCGCACAATAGCCCAGCCGTTGTTGAGGTTCAGTGCCATTTGAGCGGCAAAGTCACGGGGCTTGGCGGTAAGGACGCCGAGGATGACGTGGTCGTTGTTGTTCTTGGGGTTGGTACGGGATACGAAACTGTTATCATGTTAGTCAAGATCAATGCGAAATGATGGAAATGCATACCCAAGCTTCATGGTGTCGGCCTTGGCCAAAATACTCTGCACAGTCCAGCGAGCAAGCTTGCAGGAGTTGTTCTTCATCTCAGTGGCGAGGACAGCACCGCGCTGGCTGGCGAGCTTCGACCTCCAGTCGAGCGCACCGCCGGCTCCTTGTGCCTTGTTGTCGAACTCGTTCAGGGCCTTGATGGTCAGGTATTGGTCTTCGCCGTTGATGTTGTTCTTGACAACAGCGTCGAGCTCTGTTCGGACCACAAGGTGCAGAGGCTCCTCATCCTTGTCGAGCGACAAATCGAAGCGGCGGTACCTGTATGCCTTGGACGCTGGCGGGTCGGTCTCGACCTCCTCGTTGTAGAAGGGGTGCTCGTGGGGCATGTTGACCTTTTGCGTCTCGGACTCGGAAACGACCTGCAGAGGGAAGATGTTGTTGATGTGGGTGGCTTCCAGCATGAGGGCGCCGGGGCTGTTGATGGAGTCCTTGTTGCCTTCGGAAATTTCGAGGGGCGCGTCGGCGGCGTTCTCGTTGACGGTGACCATGTCCAGACTTGAGCCGTCGCGCTTGTCGATGAAGACCTTGTTGCCGCGCTTGGTGAAGACCAAGTCCCATGAGTAGACGGACTTGGTGGCGCACATGAGCATGGACAGGACGCCGTCGGTAGCGAATACCGTCGCCTCGTCCTTGTCGGCAAGCTCTTGCAGGATGGGATCGCTGGAAGTGGTGACATTGTAGGCGGCGCGGTCGAGGACGTTGAGTTTGCGCTCCGAGGTCCTCGCGCCGGGCTGCTTGTCGTAGCTGCGGTCGTAGTAGTAGAGGAAACCGTAGTTGTCGATGTCCTCGCCTTCGTGGGTATCCAGGTTGAGCTTGCTGAGACGGGAGAAGTCAATCTCCTCCATGACGTTCCACTCGGGCTTGACCTGTACGGAAGCATCGCGGTTGCGCTGGGGCTTGTCGTCCCTCCAGCCGAAACGGCGTCCTCCTCTGCCTCCACGTCCACCGCGCTGGTTGTCGTACTGGTTTCCGCCACGGCCGCCAACACGCTGGAAGGTGCCCCGCCCTCCGCGTTGCGCCTGCCCGCCTCGCGCTCCTCCTCGTCCACGGAAGACGGTGCCGCCGCCTCGCCCGAATCCTCGGCCGCGGGCTGATGTGCGTGTGTTGTCGACGACGGAGAAGGTGGCCTCCTCCTCGGCGGCCTGGATAGCGAAGGGGTTGGTCTGCTGGTTCGCGCCGTATACCTGCTGGTCTGTGAAGCGTCAGTTCGCTGCTCTTTCTTTTTTCTTTGCAGTATCAATCCAGCCATACCCCGGTAGTTGCGGTTGCCGTACTGCTGGCGTCCTCCCCGCTCGCGGTCCTTGCCCTCAGTCCAGTCGGCCATGCGACCCAGCTTGTCCGCCTTGGAGTAGGGCGCAAACGGCACGCCGTCGAGCATCGACTCGGACGTGACTGGCGGGCCCCATCCTGCGGTGTCGGGCAGTGCGGACACGAGGTCCAGTAGTGATGCGGGTGCCATTTTGTGTTAGTGACTGTAGGTGGTTGTTGCCGCACAGAAATTATGTGGGCAGTCAAAGTTGGCGCTAACGAAACGAAATTCCTACCCCGCGGGCAACTTCACCCAACTACCACACTCACTCAACGTCGCTTCAGATTCCACAAGTGCTCTATTCCGCTTGACCTACATCACCCATTGCGAAAGTTCTCATCTGTCTAATAAACCGCACATGAAATTGCTAGACCATACCGCTTAAAGTACGACATGGGAATAAGTCTACAATCCTTGGAGGACGCAGAAAATACATCATGTATGAAGGCAGCCCTGCCAATCGTTTCAAACAAACAAGTGCACTTGGTGCAACGGCCATCACTTTCAATTCCTCTGCGCACTAGGTTCTCAAGGAGCGCATCTCTACCGACATGGTCCTGGAACAAGCTGCCCCACGCCTAAAGATGGCGTTCCGGTGAGTATGAGGCACAGCAAGGAGATTGAACGCTGCCATGTGCTATGCCATGATTGGTGTGCTGCCATCGCTGTTCGCTTATAATAACCAGCCCACAAGATTTAGAAGAGTACATCTGGCCAGGTGCGGGGAGAATTATGCGCACTACATCCCGTATGGGGTCTGAGTGGGCATTGTCTAAACGTCAATTTTGACATACATATGCAGCTACATGGATATGCAAACCTATGACGATGGTTCTCACACCCTCACGAGTTCTCACCGGTCTCCCAGAATCTGTTTGTGAGAAAGCAGGAAAGAACGAGTTTCTATGTCTTTCGAGAACCAACATGACTGTGGAATGCGATAAGCAGCGCAGTGGTATATCCTTCGTCTCCGGCATATCGAGGCAGATACCAAATTACATGCTGATAACTTCCACGGCTTTTGCGACCAACTGAGCAGACTTACCATATTCTAGTTCTTATCCGTCTTTCCCTCACACGACATGCTGTACAAACCTCTCGATAACACAAAGAACGAGATCCGAATTCTTGAGTTCATTGATCCTTTCAACCCAATCTCAACAGAAGAACTCATCCAATGCTCCATCAAAAACGTTCCGCTCAGAGAAATCTACCCACACTTTCGATCGGGTAAAGACAACATGCTAAGTCAAAAGTGTCCAGAAGTGTGGGACAAGTTCACAAAGTGCGTGGACCTACGAGATGCGGCCCTGGAACAGACAACAATCGATGAGGCTACAACTGTCGGCCTTACACACACCCACAATCATGTAGGCAGGTCTCGTTATGCTTGGGGCGATTTCGAAGCTTTGTCATACACGTGGGGAAATGAAGGCGATGCAGAGAGCATCATCGTGAATGGAGACCGTAAAGAAGTTTCGAAGAACCTCGAGGCAGCATTGAGAACCTTGCGAGGTTTGCAAGAGACACGCTTGGGTATGTCTTATTGGGTGGATTCGCTCTGTATTGATCAAGGAAACGTTGAAGAGCGAAATGCGCAGGTCAAGCGGATGAGGGAGATCTACGGCAGAGCTAGATCTGTAATCGTATGGCTAGGTCAAGCAGCCGAAACCGATAAGATCACAGTTGAGACCATGCATCATCTTTGCCGGCATCCATGCGTTGAAGAAACGCTACGGCTTCCACTGGATTTGATGGTCGAGGGATGGCATGCCCTTTCAACGTTTGCACGAAAGCCTTATTGGAACCGAGCATGGATTATCCAGGAGCTCGCTATGAACCACAACTCGACTTTGTTCTTGTGTGGGAAATACAAATTGACAAGACGAATGCTGCGTTTGGGGGCGATCTACTGTCAAGAGCTGTTACAAGCCTACGAAGATCGATCTTCTCAATCTAACCACGACCTAGATCCGGCTGTGTGGCTCGAGGCCAGTCGTGTGTATCGCCTAGCAAGTCTTACCTTCAATCCAAATGCTGAAATAAGGTTGGACCGCTTGTTGAATCTTGTCCGACGAGCTGATGCGACCGACAAAAGGGATAAAGTCTATAGCATCCTCGGCTTGCTGGATCCTGCTGTTTCTGCAGAAATTGTTCCAAATTACAAGCTCTCAGTGCAGCAGATTTTCACCGAATTCACCAAGGCTGTTATCAAGAACTTGGGAAGCCTTGATCAAATTGTGTTTGGAGGAATCCCAACCCAGGAAGGATGGCCCTCATGGGTACCCGACCAGAGACTGCCATTTGTTCGTCACCATATCCGGTATCTGAGGTCTCGTCGAGCGAGCGGAACCCTACCCGCTAGCATCCGATTTTGTGAGCAAGGAAGAAATCGTGAGCTTCTTACTTGCAGCGGAATCCAAGTGGACACGGTCGATGGCACCGCAGCTGGAACTTCTCAACTTACTAGTCATAGCAAACCACGCTTTGGGTCAAACCGATATAGTGGCCGAACATCTGACGCGCTTGAGAAAACCTTACTCATGAGCCATCCAGGAGTAAGGGAGAAGGCACTTCTGGACATACCATGGTCTTCGAACCGCAGTACTAGCTCTTGCCATCTTCGTCGAACGCTGACATGGCCCAACGTCTCCCAGTCGAGCTATTTTGAGCAATTTAACGAGTTCAGAAAACACAATCGAGATTTCCGTGTTGGAGGCAAGGAACTCGGAAGCTTCTTTCCACAGGATGACGATAAGAGCGTGGAAACCAAGGCCAACCGGGCATGTATGCGTTTAGCTGTACTGTCTCTGGAACACCGAGCTCTGATAACAACAGAAACAGGCTATCTTGGCTTGGCTCCGAAAGCCGTTCGTTCTGGTGATGTCGTTGCTATTTTATTCGGTTGTAAATGTCCCGTAGTTTTGAGGCCATGCCGTGATGATATGTATCAGGTTGTTGGAGAATGCTATATCCACGAGCTTATGGACGGGGAAATCCTAATCCAGGAGCGTGATGGACATGTTTCACGACGAGAATTTGTCTTGTGTTAGTAGAACCTTTGTGTATACTAGGCAATATGAGCTTCTAGGTTGCTTAACTCAATCATACCATATACCTTTCTGCTTCTCTATAAAGTTCTAAGGGGAAACATCCTACCTACTATTCTCCTTTCTTCCTGAATTGTCCCATTTCATCGACTGTACTGAAACCAGCTCTTTGCACCACTAAAACATTGTTCTCGCACCGCTCTATCCCAGACATAGTAACGGAACCTGACTGTGACCTGTTGTCTCCCTGCACATCTGCATGCTCTTCATGTCCGTTTAGGAGCGTGTCGGTCACCTTCAGGTCTTCTCCGCTGACTTCAATTAGCTCTCCAAATCTGACTTCCATTTCACGGAGTGCTTCTGAAACATTTTCGTATCCGCCCAGCGTGCCAGAGCCTTTCGTAACGACTGCTTCAAGTGAAGTACGTCCGGTAGTCGTCATGAGAAGCTGCAAGAACCCTCCACTCATGGCCAAAACGCCGTGGTTCTCAACATAGAGAGCTAAAAAATCCTAGCACTAGGATTGGTACGGCGAGTACAAGTGATAAACCGTATGGCAAGATTAAGGCGAGCTTGTTCTCGAAGCGATAGGCGTTGAAACCACGTGTCTCTGTTCCGTTGACCATGTCGAATCGCTTGTTGAGAGCCAATGCCGAGATTGTAGTATTGATGAGAAGTTCATTAGCCATATCAGGATCAAAATTCAGGCCTTCTCCTTCTTCCCTGAGTCGCCGCTGGAAGACACTTAGGAGCCAGATACCGTCCAGTGCATTGGTCATGCGAAGGAATGACAGGTTCTTTCCTTCAAGCACGCACGTCTCCACGACAGTATCGTTCTCAGTTGTGTAAGGTTCCGTTCCCTCCAACATACTGGGGTATGAGAAGACTTGACTTTGATAACGGATTCCGGACCGGTTCAGGTTGGATGCGAATGACTGGTAGGTTGATATAGCGTCGGAAATCTGTATCCATTCATCGACAGTTCCGTTAGAGCCGACAAACTCCCCACTGTATAGTGGTATAGGTTCATCTTTAGTAACAAAAGAGACATGCTGTGCTCCTCCAACATTCGAGATGGTGGCGCGATATCTCACTATCTTCGGATGGCACACTGTTTCGGTCACAGGTACAATGACATGTATTCCAGAGCCCGGAAAGTCAAAGTACTGGTCGTTTGTCTGTTGCATCTATTGCGAGTCATCGATGGCAGGCATCCATGTGTTTCTGTCTAGGCATGGCCAATACTGTGGTGTATCTTGGTCATGGCTCATGCGGTAAGTGATGGATGAGTTTCCAAGGGAAAGGTTTTGCATCATTTCGTTCTTCAATATAACCACGGGCTCCGGATATCTGATTTCCCAGAAGCTTTCATTGGGAAAGTAATTGGAAGTTTTTATCTGCAAGATTGTGCTTTCCATCGAGTGATTTGTAGTTTCACAGTCCAAGGTCGTTTTGAAGAAATCGAGTTCATACGATGAGTTCTCTTTGCTTGCTTGCTCCAGCCTGGATATTTCACCCACGATCAGGTTTGAGCGTGCGATTTCATCTATATCAGTTCTCGATCTGCCGATCAAGCTGCAAGTTTCCAATATTGGCTTATTGTCTGCCGCTTGTCGGTCGGGTTTCTCATAATCGCACTTAATTCTAGATGTATTAGGGTCTCCTATAGAGTTCTTGAGATGCTTGTAGTGGAAGACGGACACATTGAAGCTTGTGTGAATGGAAGAGGGCTGTATACTGACGATCAGAGTACCCGGGGGGTATAATGTTACGATTGGAATAAGCCAGCAAAAGATAGCTACTGCTACAAGTACTGGCGTTTTGTGATACAACTGGTAGTTTAAGAAGTGGAGTGGATTTGTCTGCACTTGGAAAAGATCCTCGATTAGGCTGATCTATATGTTGTAAGCTTGTGTTCCCCTAGCTATACTGAGAGGGATAGCACCTTAAGCACATGCTTTCTGAACGTTGCCCAAAGATATTGCGTGTAGCATGTTCTGATACTTGCTACTAGTGCAGCACGAAATGCGGTGACTAGTACTAGCGATACTGTGGTAGCGTAGGCTTGTGGAACCGTAGTGGTTTTCGTGGAGAGCGTAAAGCCTGGAGAGATGATACGACCATTCGAGATATGCGAAGAAGCAGCAATGCGTAGTTGCACAGAGGAACGCTGATTGGGCTGTGTTAGTACTGCCAACAGGCGAACGTACGGTTTTACTTGGTATTCTTACATATGAAGTAAAAGCCTAATATTGTGGCTGGTATCCTCAACGTCTGTCTCGACCCCGCAACCCTTCACAGTAAGGAGAGAGGTGGGTGCTTGACTGTGGAGTTAGTTCGTTTCGAGGATGCAGATCGTCTCAACATCTCTGAACATGTGTCTGAAGTTGGAGACGGAGCGGGAGCCAGGACTGTATCGAGATCCGATTGGAGAACTGGATCCATGTTGGAGTGTGAGCAGATAGGTTCACCGTGCAGTATTGTCGCAGCCTCATCTGGTACGTGGGACTCAACTTGATCGAGTTGTTGTCCGCTCGCGGTCGTGCCTTGGGGTGAGGAAATTGTATGCTGATGCATCACGTACTGCGGATAGCCATTTTGAAATCTCCAAGGCACAAAAAATAGCTTTTGGGATGAGAAGAAAGGATTTAAAGTGGATCATTTAGAGTTGAGCGATACAAAAGGTGATCAGGCTGAGGTGGGGGCCGGCCAACGATTCGGCGCCACAATTCTTGGATGCATGAAGGATTCAACTGTTGACACCCAAAATCCAATCGAGACTTTTGGAACAGCGCCGATCCTACATACCATCAAAGCCTTCTCGCCACATTAGCTGTCTGTCAGACAGCCTCTTGCCACCACGGGTGCGCCAAAACTTCGTCTATCGTTGACATAGCCCCCGAGTCGATCTTAGCCGTTCCAGAGATCATCTTTTGTGCCTCAGAACCTAGTAATTGTCCCCACATCTCAAGGGTCATAATTGACCTCTCTTCCAAATCCGCCTCACCCAATTTATTCATTTTCTCCAAAACCTTCGTCCATTTTTCGTCGTCGATCCAGTTGAGAAGCCTTTCGTTCGGTGGCCCAAGGAACTCGAAATGTCGTAGTAGTACTCTTTGCTCTGGGTACATGTTTTTCTTGACGACCTCGCTGTCTTTATGTATAAGTATCGCGTCCTCTTGCCCTAGGGTGTATATGCACTGTGCTAACGCTTAGCGTAAGTTGTGAGATAATGATGCATGAAAATAGCTTGGGCAAACTCACAACCAGTCCGAAGGAGAAAACATCCGATGCCTTGGACATGCCTCTCCCAGTCTGTGCTTCTGGACTGCGCCACATGTGGTTTCCTAGTGCATGAGGGCCGGTAATCGCCGCGTTTGTCGGACACTTCCAAGCAACCTCGAAGTCACCCAAAACGACATCAGTGATTGTCTTGGTGCCCTCTTCATCGCAAGTTCAGTTGACCAGTATATTATCGGGCTTGATATCTGTGCAGTTCAATTGCCAATCAGAATTTGTGATGGGAGATGTAGTCTGAATCGGACGCTGTGCCCATATGAATCCAGTCCTTGCTATATAGCTCTTGTATGGCTTCTGCTGTCTGCCGCAAGATCTTCTTCCGCGCCGCATCAGAGACCTCTGGATCCTCTTGAAGCAGTTTAAGCAGGGTATTTTGGTAGTATGGATAGATCAGAAGATTTTCTTCATCGTTAGAGTCAACATGCATGCGAAGCCGACGGGACTCGGAAAAGCCGGCAGCAAGGCGTAAGGAATCGTCATAAAATGTTTTGGAGACACGGTTGAAGACGAAAGACTGGCCATGGGATCTAAAACCGGTTTTGTTGAGCAAGACTACAGACGTGAAATCTATGTAACATACTCAGCTTTAAAGATACTCGACGGAGGATCTTTGTGCTCCGCGAGCACCTCGCGTTGGACGTATTCACGACCCGATTTACCTAGAATGGTAGATGCCAATCTGATGCCTATACGTGGAGTTGGAAACACGCGGTGAGCTAGACGATTAAGAAGCATGACTAGAGACTTGGGCATCAGGAGTTCATAAAGAGGATATTGTCTCAATAGTTGGAGATTCTTTGTAGTGATCGTGAGTGGTATTGCTTAGCGCTCCACTTTTGTCAGCCTAAGCGCCCACTTCGACCGAGAAAGGATAAGCATCTTGGTACTGATGAAGCTCTGCATGGCTGTGTCAATACACCCAGAAACCTATCAGATCTCCGTCATCTGCTTGTTCAATTCCCTGCCATCTCCTTCATCCTTGCCCTTGTAACTGAAGAAGATCTCTAGAATCTATAATTTGGAGACTCAAAGACAACCTCGTACCCGATCCCTCCCTTCCTCAGCACGTCTACAAACATCTTCCGAAAAACTTCTTGCATGTGGAGGAAAGATCCCACGAAGGAGACCCCAGGCCTTACAACAATCTTCTTGAGTCCACACATCCTCGGTAGGGTAATGTCAGCCATTAGCTGCAATCCCTCCAATGTTTCAGGCACACAATTAGCCATCACAACCGTCTCGATAGCCTCCAAAAACTTTTGCGGCATATGCTCTGTGAATCGCTGTGTGTCATCTGGATCGATGAAGCAGAACTCGTTCAGACGAGGAATCAAGGGAGAGGCCTCTGTGTAGAACTGCCGACACACCATTATACTGGAGATCAACTCAGACAACGGGTACAACTGGCTGTGTTTTAGGCCTCTCCAGTCTTCTGGCCATACAAGATGCACAAGGCGAGCCGATACCGCAACAACCTGAATACGCTGCACGGTGAAAGCGAAGGCGTAGATACGGTTCCTGATCTCGCCGGGTAGGCGGAGAAGCGGGGACTGGAGGCGGTTCCGTGAGGCGCTGCGTTCGTCACTTATATTCAGCTCAGATGTTTCGATGCTCACACAAGGTCTGCATCACCAGGTGACAGAGGTTGAGGCATTTGGTGGGGCGGAAGTGTAGCCATGCTCGAGTTTGTTGGCGCGACAGCGAGAACCTAGTTAAGAAAAGTATTGTGTACTGTGTGTGTGGTATTTGCAGAGAGAGAAAGAGAGAGAGAGAGAAAGAGAGAGAGAGAAAGAGAGAGAGAGAAAGAGAGAGAGAGAAAGAGAGAGAGAGAAAGAGAGAGAGAGAAAGAGAGAGAGAGAGAAGAACATTTTCAAGAGATTACGCGGGTACTTTTTATTAAAAATGGAAGGTGAGGTGAGGTGAGGTGAGCGCAAACGCGCCGCTTCAGAGCCCCGCACGCTGAAACGCAGCATGAGATACAACAAGGATGGATCAAACACTGCTTCTCTTGTACACTGTCCTCTCTCACTTGAATGCACTACCGCTTTCTGCCCAGCAAAGACATTCACAAGCCACCTCGTCGATGTGACACGGAAAAGCGGCGAATGAGTGTTATCCCAGAATGTGCTTTGATTTGTTGACACGGTCATCTATACCGAGAGCTAGTAGCTTCAATGCTTACATCGTTTCCGTTTTCATATGGTTGATGAACTGAACGAGGAAACTACGTCGTTGTTGCCTGCTAGATATTACAAGCAAGCTGAGTTTGTCAAAACCATGTCAAGCGACACCAATCCCACACTTCACTCACGAAATTGAGTCTCGACCGATGACCGTACCGATAGCTATACTCGCCTAGCATACCCTGGCCTCTGAGAACATTTCTGACGGCCCCCTCAATGTCCTCATCTTGTACCAATCCCAACCGCTGTTTCCAGAATCTGTTCTTACTCTCATCCCCAAGTGCCAGTCTCCCAAACGCAGCCCCCCTTGTCAAATCCGTAATCCCCGTAAACTCGCCGTTATCCAACCTCTTCCTCCCTTTCGCAATCACCTCCTTACAAGTAGTACAACGAACACTCCGTTTCTTCCCATCGACCTTCTCCATAACGTCCAAAACATCGCGCGGAGATACCCGAAACAACATTGTGAAAACGTACCGGTTCCTCGTCTCATCCGCATGCTCCAGAATGTTCACTACTGTTCCGCTAACAGTGGAGAGCGAGGTGAACGTACAGACGGACGTACCATTGTCGACAAGATCCACGCTTCTACTCTCGAAATCGAATCCCAGCATCCCACTGTACAGCATCCAGTTGAAGAAGCCGCCACAGATTACACTTATCCAGCTGAGCTTTCCATCTCCCTGTACCTCTTTGTACTTGAGGCAGTCGACAATGCCCGCACGCACAGGAAGCACAACATCGTTATATTTGACAAATTCCTCGTTCCGCGAGTTGGGACCGAATTCACTGGGGATGAAGCGCTTAACGCCTGCCCGTATCGCGGCGTTGATGTCTATTCCGGAGAAGAACAATCGGCTAGCACGACATCGACGTCGACCTTCCCCTGGCACTATCTTCGGCAAATACATAACCACCAGCGTATTTCCGCTGATGCTTGTTTCGGGCTTTCTTTTTGTGCCGGTACCTAGGTACTAGGGCAATCGTGCCTGAGGCTTTGCGGTGGTCCGGATCAGTCATCTATTGCAAGAAGCGACGGCTAGCCACGACTTATAATCATTGAACTCATTTCTGAGCTTGATTCCTCCGATCTCATGCTAGCGGGTTCAAAATAGGTCCAGCCTTGAACACAGGTTCAAAGAGTCGAAAAACATGCTTGGACCTGCCATGCTGAGACGTACGCCCACATTAGGTAGCATGCCGAAAGCTACGCGTGCATCGACTCACGGACGGAACATCAAGACTCTCGATACCTCAATGTGAAAGGCTCTCCAAACACCAAAACTTCAAACGATACCACTACATACGCTGGTTTGAGCGGCTATAATATCTTAATATGCTGGAAACTAACTGAACGAATTAATAGATCGGAGAGGGAAGATAAGTGAATGTTTCAGCAGTCATAAGCGCATCAAATCTCAACCCACCTCACGCCATCTTGGCAAGAAGAAAAGAGTTCAGCTGCGGCTGTGTACCTAAGTACCTATCCGACCAACTTCATATGTGCTTCTCACCTTGCTGCCCAGATCGAGATGTCGACCCACCAATTTGCGCTGCATGTCAGCAAGGATTGAGACACAGTCGGTGACGCCGTAGTCATGAGATGCCCGGTATAGAAAAAATCGGATCATTCATGGAACAATGAATGCAAACCCTCGCAACACCTCTGCAAAGCCCCAGAGAAAGTTGTGGAAGATATGCGGTGTGCGCGCGTGCTGATGAAGGCACACTTGATTGGAAATTTGGCTCGGAAGAGGGATCTATGTCGATTGACACATATATAAAGTCGATTTCCAACACGTTGAAGAAGCCCAGAATACAGCAGAACAACTTTTTCTACTAAAGATCATTCACCACCTCCAATCAATCGGTCTGTCATTTCGCCTGACCAATACACTTTCCAGCTAATATCACCATAATGTCTGAGTTCTTCATCCCGCCTAAAGAAATCTCGTTCCGTCTCAAGAACAAGAAGACGGAGAAGGTTCTTTTCTCCCGAGAGAAGAGCCCAGGCTTTGGCCATTTCAGCGGCGATACCTTTGCTGATCAATGGTGGTGTCTTGTACCCGGAGACGGAGATTACAAAGGACAGTATCTGGTGAAGAGCAAGTTCACCGAAAACGTTCTGTTCTCCAGAACAGCGAAGAGTCCCAGAGTCGATCATCATGATGGCAATGGCAAGTGGGCAGATCAGTGGTTCAAACTAGTTCGTTGGCTTTCCCGTTCGGACGAGAGAATTGATTGCTGATCATCAATGAAACAGGAGCCGGGCACGGGAGATCGCCAGAATTGGTTCCGGCTTATGAATCCTTACAGCAACACAGTCGTGGTTTCTGTCGATGGAGTCACCAATGCGAAAGCCGATGCTGCCACCGACGATAGCCAGTACTGGTCTTTCGAATTCGAAGACATGGAATTTGTTGGCCTGGACTACGATATCAACCAACAGAAGGTTTTGTCTAGCACACCTGCTGTCGTTGGTAAGCAATATTCCATTTCAAGAAGGATGTTCGCACTGTCGACGGACTTCATGCAAAGCTAAGCTATAGGGATGAGCGAAGTCTAATCTCTTTATAAAACTCACCCTCAAGATGACTTTTCAGATAGCCATGGCTAACTGGTGATATTCCCACAGGTTCGAATTCCCAATCGAACAGTACTGATAGCGTTCAAACAATTACGCTCACAATTACCGAGACTACGAACACTACCAGAACCTTTGAGCATTCATATGGTATAACGATCACGGGCACTGTAAGCGCCACGTTTGGCTGGCCAAGCGTCGTTGAGGGTAAAGTCGAAATCTCCGTCGCTCAAACCAAGGATTTCAAGTGGGGCAAACAGGACTCGGAAATCAAAACTGCTACTCTTGAGATACCAGTGACGGCCAAACCATTTTCCAAGGTCACTGCCATAGCTACAGCAACCAAGTCTGACATTGAACTTCCATTTACCATAACTTGGAAGTCCAAAAAGACCGGTTACGAAGTCAAGTCGAAGGGCGTGTACAAAGGCACTAGCTACTGGAACACTATCACCAACCTCAAGCAGAGCCAGGATGGTGAAAACAGAGAACTAGACCCGTTCGATGGGTCGGAAGGATGGGAAGAGGCTGAAGTGATTTCACGCACCGAGACCACGGCTACGAACGAGGAACGCAGTCTGGATGACGAAAAACCCAAGGGGAAGGGTTTCGTGAGGAATGCCCAGGAAGACGAGTGTGAGTGGAGTCAAGATACCTGGTGCGAATGAGCCGGACTGATCGATAACTGACTCCTTTCTTCTTCCAGATGAACATGAGCACGCGGCGTATGGCGCAGAGGGAAGGTATGCGCAGGAAGAGCCCGAGCCCGAGGGTTATGAGCAGGAAACCGAAGAACAGGAAACCTGGGCGTATGACACCAAGCACAGCCAGTACGAGGAAGACAGAGACGGCGAGACACGGGTTGAACGATACGGGGAAGACGATGACACTACGCGAAACAACGGCTATGGACAGGATGATCAGTATGATGGAGAGCTAGGGCAAGAGAAGAACGACGCGAACGCGCCAGAAGACTTCACATACAACGGGCGGTCTTTCGACAACGAGAGATCTTCTTACAATGAGCAACCTTACAAGGAGCGGTCTTCTTACAACGAACAGAGCTCCTATAACGATCAGGGTTCATACAACGATCAGGACTCAAACAACAATCAGGACTCATACAACGATCAGAGCTTGTACAACGAAAAAGCGGCAGAAGAGTCCGAAGGCGCCGAACCAGGTGAGAATGCGTATGAGCATGCGCGATACCAGGAAACCCAGAAGTATAAAGTTTCCTGGGCAGAAGAGCGGAATCTCAATGGCTATCGTGAAAGGCAGGATGACCAGGAGAATGGAACGGATACATACGGCGAGACGCGAGCCTCACAAGAGTATGGAAGGTTCGACGAAGATGGACGCAGAGAGTTCGAGCATCCTACACGTGAGGATGGATACCCCGAAACAAACTCACGTTCGAACTGGTACTAGACGGTGTTTGAGGGAGAGCTAGTGGAATATCATAACTTTTTTTCTACTTGAACTTTCTGTACAATACTTTGTAGACTACTATTTTAGTCTACTTTACTTTAGTACAGATCAAGCCTAGAGAAGTATAGCTTAACCCTGTGTAACACCTAACCCTGTAACACTCTTCTCTTTCTTCTAAAAAGACGTTGTTGAAAACGCGATTAAACTAGCTCTACTATACTCGCTATGCTCTAATGATGAATGTGAAAAGAAAATAGCCTGAATCGCAGCTAAACAAGCATAATTGTTGCGATCCAAGGAAAAATTAATAAAGCTGTACCATGTATCCAAAACAACAAGCTCGGGTCGTGAAAGCGTCAAACGTAGTTCTCTCTCTCTCTCTGACCAGATGAAGAAAGAGACCACTCGTGAGGTATTGCCGCGCTGCGCTGTGATGCTGATAAGACGTGCCGCCCAGTCTATAAGGGGGTGAGGATAAGGGGTAATCGTATCGAAACGCTTCCGTGAAGGGACAAACGAACAACATCGTCGTCTAATCAGTCCGTCCCTTACCGTCCACCACATGTCCATTCTTCTGTTCCCCACTCTTCCTCGGAATCGTAAGACAATTAATACCCAGATAATCGCAAATACTCGTGATAACCAAATGCGCCCATTTACCATACACAACAGCGGCAAAGACAAAGTACGCGCGGAGATACCACAGCTCGAACCCAGCCGAGACGGGCCCAAAGAAAGACGTTCCGGGTATGGTAAAGTACGGGTGATTGATAATCAAGGCACCACCAATCATCGGCGCGAGCATAACCGTCCAATAGGGAAACGGCTGGTGCGTCAAGTGTGCGAGGATAATCTTCGTCGTCATCCTGCCAAAGACGAGCGACATGGTCAAGCAGTACAAGACGAGGTGGTTGTCTTTGAGCAAACTTGAATAAGGCGAGCCCAGCCACGCCATGGTGCACGTGACGAAGATGACGAGCGGAGTCCACTCCTTGAGTAAAGGTAACAGGGGCTGATTCCTGCTGCGTCGTGCCTTGGCTACATTGACAATGCAGGCGGGGAGGTGCGCGACGAAGAAGGTGAAGAGGATGATGGGCACCCAGAGCTCTTTCAGCGTGACGTTGCCAATCTCCGCTTTGTACGACGGGAAGTAGTTTGCGAGGGGCGTGGACCAGATTTCTGGGCCAAAGTAGCCAGACATGCAAATAAAGGTGCATGCCAGTATCAGGCCCTCTGTGAAAATATTCTACCGTCAGCATAATTCCTGGTAGGAACCAAGGGAGGAAGGCGTGAAGGGAGGAGGGGAACGCACCAGTAGGTCCATTGAAGTAGCCCAAATACAGCGTATGCGTGTGGTATGTCTCCCACGTGGAGAAGAACATGGGAAGCACGGGAATCAGCGCGGTGAAGGCGCCAATCTTTGTGCTTCCATAGCCTACAGCCGCCGTCTCGAGAAGAGATGCCAAAGTGCAGTTCAAAGAGTCTATACCATGGCTAAGTTTTGCAAATCAGTATCGTGATATTTTGGCGCATATGGGCTCATAATGTTTTTTGTTTTATCACGTACTCAAACAGTTCGCCTAGGGGGCTCGATGTGCCGGTTCGGCGCGCTTGCTTTCCGTCGACGTTGTCCATGGTGGAGTACCTGAACAGGTTTTCGTTAGCAAAACAGTCCCACGGTCTTGTTCTTCCATACGGATTGGTGTATCATCTCACATCCACATGCCAAAGGCGAAGCTGTAGTATACCCATGAGGGCGCTGGGCCGACCAAATCCGGTATGTAAACCTCGAGGAGCACAACGTTTCCCAAAATGAAAAAGAAGCCTAATAAAGTAACGAGGTTCGGCGCGATCCACAGCGGCAGGAGTTCGACAAATGCATTCCACTGTATCTCACGTCAGGACTCTATTGCGAATGCGCGTGCGTGGAGAGGGGTGTGCGTACGTAATGCTTGAGGATGTAGCGCGAGATGAAGGATTTATCGACGCTCGAGTATTTGTACGTGCGGAGGTGTTGCAGCGCATCTTCTGAAACGCATTCGTGCCTTGCAGTTTCTGTTCCAATTGACCGCATTAGCAAATGTCGCTGATTCGACGACTGGACGCGCAAAGGGGCGTACCTTTGCTCGGCGGCATAGTGGGTGACGTGACGGGCTGTGGTAAAGACATGGAGGTTGTGCGGGGCGGATTAATTTATAGAAAGGGTCGTGGCCATGTGGTTGAAGCGGGGAATCGATGCGTCGCGTCTGCAGGTCGGCACCTGTCTCTTGTGGAATAGGATGGGATGAACAACGGGATGGGCGCCTGTTTGGCGGGCGTCAAACTTCTAAAGGGACGGGTCCGCCGGCTCGGTAGACAGGGATCTGGAGATTAGTTGCAGGCGCGTCATTGCGCATGTGTTTAGCTCCAATTGATCTTGCACGTGAAGATTACGCATGTCTTTACCCCCGTACAAATCTAATCTGATGAGACCGCCCACCCCAAGTGCAAAGGGATTAGGCGTTGACTGACATGTAATAATGGGTTTATCATTACTCGCGACTACCAATGAACAAACTGCCGTGCGACCACTCTTACCATGAGCCATCGTTGCGCACAGTAGAAGCTCGCCCAAGCGTTCCACTTACTCGCTCAAAAACATCACAACATGTAGCTCAACTCTACGACACCTGCACCGCCTTCCTCTGATCCTCCTCCTTGCGCATATCCTCCAAAAACTTCTCCCACGTCTCAATAGTCCCCTGAAAGAACTCGACATGCGCATCCGCCAAATCTCCCAGTGTATCTTTAAACTCGATCGCTTTGATGCGTTCAAAGTCCGACACCTCTTTGACAGTATGCTCATCAAACGCCTCACTAGCCTTCTTAGACATCTCGACCTCGCCCGTCAGCCGCTCAATCTCAACCTCGAGCTTGCGAACGCGTTGCCGCCTTGCTTGGTCGTGATCGATGCCCCGAAAGTCTTCCACTTTGGATCGTAGGAAGCCAGATGCGCCCATACCGGCTCCTGTCGCGCTGGCCAAGGAATCTCGATCTGCGGCTGATTTGGCCAGGTACTCGCTCAGTTGTTCGAAATCGAGTTGTTTGCCCTCTCGCGTGCGGAGCAGTGTCTTGACAGCCTGGATGTAGGCGTCCATATCGCGTAGACTAGTCAGGTAGTTTTGGTCTGTATGGTCTCGGATGGACTTGAACCCCTGTGACGTGGTATTGACAGACGCAGCAAAGGATGTCAAATTGCCTTCGACTGCAGGTTCCATGGTCGTCAGCTTCTGGCACTGTGTGGCCAGATCGGCGTAATCCGTCTCCAGGTCGCCCTGTCGCCTGGCCACCTTGACGGTGACCTTCTCAACGTTGTTCAGATCCTCGCTGAGCTTGTTAGCTCGCTCGCTGACCTCGATAAAGCGCTGATCCGGCTTGTGTATCTTGGTAAAGGTGTTGACAAAGGTGTCTGCGATGGCGTCTACGAAGCCGCCGCTACCTTGTTCAGACCCGCTCGCAGCTCTTGACGACCTTCCCTTCATATGCTGATTCCAATCGGAACTCTCCAGGAAGTTGATGACAAGGGCTGCCCTTCGTAGCACCGGGTGCAGCGCTATCCGCTTGAGGAAGCGGTGCAATGAGTGAGCTCGTCTCTGTGTAAAGTCCGGGCCGAAGCGGTCTCCACGCACATACTCCATCTTGTGCTTGTCGGGCAGCGGCGGGACGGCGCATTGCGGATACTCTTTGGAGAGCTGTTTCCAGAGGAAGACGAAGTCTGTGAAGCGGCGACGTACGGAGAATTCGGGTTTCTGGAAGGACTGGAAGTCGGACTGCGGGGGATGTTTGTCAGACACTGAACACGTACGGGTAGTGAAGCTGCGGGCAGAGACACACCTTTGTGGTTACCTGGTACGAGACATATTGGTTCTGGGTGCCTGCCAACTCTTTCTGCGGGCTGCCGACGAATGTCTCTAGGCGCCCTTCGCTGAAGTCGGCCGCCATTGCGTGTCTGCGGATAGCCCCGGGGTCGCGGTGGTAGACTAGGTGGTTCTTTCTGAGCTCCACAATATCGCTTATGTGATCGTATTCGGGGTCGTCAAGTATGTCGTCGAACTGGTGTTGCGGGCTGGCTGGCTGGGGTCGTGTTAAGCTCGGAGTGTTGTCGGTGACGTCGGTTGACGACCCGGCATTAGCGCCTTTGTCCAGGGCGGGCGCATGATGCCTCACGCCCTCATGCATGGCTTCAAAGTCCTCCGCGCTCTTGTGAAGCGGGTGAGATTCCTCCACGATGGCCATTGTGCAGTGACAGTGATTTGAACAAATGATTAATAGTGTATAGTGAGTGCACTTGACCGCCATATATTGACGGCGGGTCAAACATGTACAGTGAATGGAGAAAGTGCGACTTGTCCAACAAACATGCGCATATGCTGTGTGCATACCGGACACCGACAAGTAGAACCACCCTGAACGAGATAAACATAGGTATCGTACGTGGCCTAACCAAAGAACCATAACCGTGACCATAACCATAACCCAGCCGAGACGTGATTGTTACATAGTACTACATCAGTCATCAGCGCCGAAGCGCTTGCTGAACTCCTCAAAAAGCTGTGGAGTAATCTCGTCACTGCTGTTCCCATTGACCGTCCAAAGCACACCCAGCTTGTCATAATGCTCAAGCAGAGGCTCGTTGTTCTCTTTAAAACTCTTCAACCGCGCCTTCCATACCTCTGGGTCGTCGTCCGCCCTCCGAGTGAGTGGCTCACCCGTGATATCATCCTTACCGTCAACCTTGGGCGCATTGAATGTAGTGTTGTAGACACGTCCCGAGGCCTCGTGTACCCAGCGGTTACATATGCGATCAATGATGATATCACTCGGAGTGTTGAGGTTGACCACCATGTTGATGGGCACGATGTTGTCGAGCTGTATCGCCTGAACAGCGGTTCTTGGAAAGCCGTCGAGTATGAATGAGGCAGATGGCCTGTTGGAGAAGGTGTATCGCGGAGCCCGTACCGCCGAGGGAATCATGACTGCATCTACCGTAGTCTCTGGCATATCTGTGGAGCTAAAGTTGAGCGCATATGGGCGCAGGGCATTGTCTCGTATCCACCCGCGGGTCGTGAGCTCGTTGACGATAAGGCGCAAGATCATGGCGTCGGGTACTAATTTGCCAGATTTCATTGTGTGTTCGGCTTGTATGCCTGCGCCAGTCAGTACTTTTTCGGACGACGACAACGACACAATTACCAAGGGGGGTCCGCTCCCGAACATTTTTCCTCAGCAGGTCGCCGGAGCTGATGGCCGACAGCTCAGTGAATTTGTTCATCAAGCGCTCGGTCTGGGTACCCTTGCCGACTCCAGGCGCGCCGACCAGTATGATTCTGGCGGCCTTGGATAATCTTTGGATAGGCATTGTTGTGGATACGCGTTGTTGCGAAGACTTGTTATAGTCGCGGGTCTAAGAATATGCCGTGGTATGGTACAGATGGGTACAGTCGGTACGGTGAATAAAGCTCGAGGGCTCCGCCAAAGGCTCGTAGGCGTTAGAACAAATCCATGGCGAAAATTGGGTGAAATGAGGATCGGGGAATTTGGGTGTGAAGAGAAGTGACTGGAGGAAGTACGGGGTCTCCACCTAGTCAGATGGCAGAGGGACGATTTACCGTCGGATAGGCGTGGAGGTGAGGGGACGGCCCAGCTTTCATGGCATTCAATTCGCAAGCCGCGCTGTCGTTCGTCCTGCGACCATCGGAGACGCGAGCGCCTCGGCCAATTGACCACGACATGCCGACTTGCAAGACGACCATTAATCGATTCCAACACTTTGCGCAATGCGAGTACCCGAGGCCGGATGCTGTTGCCTGTAGCGTCCCATGGCGCGCATCTAGACAGCCATCCGGTTTGTTCCTAGCCGTGTCGACCATGCGCGTCAGTCCAATGACTTGTGCGCACCGTTGGTGGCGACCAAGCTTTACCCAGCAGATCGCCCCGGCGGTCCCTGAGACTAAGTCCGAACCGAAGACGCTGCAACGTCAGCGGAGCCCATTTTCTCAGAGCTGCATCATTCCACTCTTTGACCTACATCTCTTTTCTTCCTTCCTCTGTTGACTCTGTATCACAACCACGAAACTACTTTAATTCTTGTACCATACACGTCACTCCCTACACACCAATCGGCGCCATGTACGCCGGTCGCACTGCTTCGAGGGCAGCGCCCGCAGTCTTCAGAGCGGGCATCAGGACGACTACACGGCCTCATCGCCCCATGCTCAGGAACTCACCCGCCATTCGCATACTCATCCCGCTCCGCGCCTTACAAACCGAGTCGACGTCATCGAACAATGCGCAAAACTACCCGCCTCCTGGTTTCGACCCTAAGCAGGCGAGCCAGCACTTGCTCAAGCAGAATCAGCAGCAGTCAAATAAAACCGCCGACAAACACGACCCTCTCATTCCCAAGTCCGGCGCAACCGCCAACCCAAAAACAGACGCACAAGATGTTCAGACATTAAGCGAGCTAAAGGTGGAGAAGTCGGCCGCCGAGACCAAGGAGGAGAAGAAGGTTTTGGCGAAGAAGGAGGAAGAGAAGAAGAAACTGACCGTCTGGCAAAAGGTCAAGAAGGAGTTGGTGCACTACTGGGATGGCACCAAGTTGCTTGGCTTTGAGGTCCGAATCAGCTCCAAACTCGCACTGAAGATGGCCGCTGGTTACGAGCTCACCCGCCGTGAGCGTCGACAGGTACGTATGTGGAGGCGATACGTCCGAATGCTGCTAACAAAACTAGCTGCAACGCACCGTACAGGACCTTGCTCGCTTGGTACCTTTCCTGCCCTTCGTCATCGTCCCCTTTGCGGAGCTGCTGCTCCCAGTAGCCCTCAAGCTCTTCCCCAACATGTTGCCCAGTACATATGAGGGCCAGTCAGCCAAGGACACCAAAGCCCAGACACTCCGAGCAACTCGCAAGGACGTCAGCGCGTTCCTTCGCACAACACTAAAGGAAACTGGTCTCCCTGTCTCCGCCGAGAACGCTCAGACAGCAGAGTTCAGCGAGTTCTTCCGCAAAGTGCGCACCACAGGCGAGAAGCCAACACCAGACGAGATTATCAAAGTATGCAAGATCTTCAAGGACGACCTCACCCTCGACAACTTGTCTCGCCCACAGCTTGTTTCCATCTGTCGCTATATGAACATCACCTCTTTCGGCACAGACAACTTCCTACGCTACCAGGTTCGCGTTCGCATGCGCCAGATCAAGCGTGACGATCGATCCATTGCTTACGAAGGTGTCGAGTCCCTCTCGGTCCCCGAGCTCCAGACTGCCTGTGCAAGCCGCGGTCTACGAACCTACGGTGTCTCTCCCGGCCGCTTACGGGACGACCTTACTAGCTGGCTCGATCTCCGTCTCAAGCACGGCGTCCCATCCACCCTCCTCGTCCTTTCCAACGCCTTTGTCTACGCCCAGGGCAAGGAAACAGAGATGACCTCCCAAATCGATGCCTTGGAAGCCGTCCTCTCCTCCATTCCCGAGGAACTCTACCACGAAATGGATCTCGAGGTGCGCAACGCCGAAGGCGCCGCTACCAACAAGCAGCGTCTTGAAGTCCTCAAGGAGCAGCAAGAACTCATCAACGAGGAGAATGAACAAACCGAGACTGTGGAGAACAAGGCTACGGCTAGCCCCAAGGACCACGAGGACATTGACGAGAAGCCGATTAGGGACGCGCAAGAAGCCCAGGATGCCAAAGAGGCCAAGGCTGTCGAGGAGAGCAAAGAAGCCGAGGCTAGTGCTGGTGATGCCGCTGGTGGATCGGCTGAGCGCGCTGAACAAGATGAGCGCGCTATGAAGATGGATGATCCTACTGGCAAGGACGAGAAGCCCGTTGAGGCTGCTACTACTACGAAGAAGGAGTAAAAAGGGAAATCAATTCCCCTTTTTTCAAAAAACTCCAATAACAACAACAATCTTTCTCTACCACGTGTGTATAGCTATGAAATCTCCCGTTATTTGGCGCCTTGAAAAGGGGATGTGCACACACACATGTATATATAATGTGTATATAGAAAGTACGCCCGTTCCTCGCTTGTCTGTTGGAATAAGGGACGGGTCTGTAGAATTGTATAGATCAAACGAGAGATACTCTCGTGAGAATTAGAGGTTGTTGAGATGAAAACGGCTACAGTGTGATTAGTTTGTTATTACTTGCTACTACTCTTCCTCAGTCTATAAGCAATGCTTTGCTTAATGATCTCTTCTCTCTCTTCAGCTCCCAAACGGGCCGGACATTTGAAATGCTGACGTCATGCTTCCCGTCCCTTCCCCATCTTGCACATCCCCCGCCATCAACACAACGCCTATTCGTTACTCCAATCAAGCTTTCTGGCCAAGTGATTACATCAACTTGGCAGTGAAACGTTGTTGTTTACCTTCTTCTTTACACTGGGTTCTACGTAGTGGACTATCTTTCTTTCTACGCCTCCTCCTCCTCCTTTGTTTGCCTGGACTTTTGTCGAATCTACACAGACGCACCCACGCACGCACGCACCCAGCCATGCCGGACCCGGCACAAATCAACCGTTCGCTAGGGACCATCAAGACGGAACTCGAGTACCTTGCCAACTCTGGTGTTTTGTCACCGCCACAGTTACAATCTATCCAGGCGCAGTTACCCGTGCGTTCTTCCCGTGTTGGATTACAAGATGAGTTGTGGACAAACACTGGCTGACAGTAAGTGGTGGTGTTTTAGCAACCGAACGGACAGCCGTCTCAGTATATTGATCCGAAATATGTGAATGGAGGGAATCAGTTTAATCCCGCCATTATTGCGCAGCAAGCGCAGGATCCGGCGCATCCGGCGAATCCGAATCATCCAAAGGTATGTTGTGTGCTTGTCTGTGCCAACCTCTCTCCTCTTGGGGGTTTGAAAAAGAGAAGAATACGAAGAGGAAAGAGGCTAATGTGATTTTCAGCACCACGAATGGGCTTCCAAATTGGCGCATAAATTCGGTAACGCGGCTGTGTACGGTGCTGGAGCGACCTTTGGCGCGGATTTGGTTAATGATGCTATGAGGAAATTCTAAACAAAGCATATGCAGTGTGCAAGTGGTTGAGAGAATAGTATGCCATTGGCATGCGAGGTGCTAGCGCGAACTACTTACTATGCTTCTCCCATCCAATCAATCATACCACTCACTACTTATCTTCCGTCATAGTTTCCCTTTAGCATGCAAAGCGTTCGAAATTTCAATCAGATTCATGGACATTGCCCGATGGACCTCAGCGAACCCTTTGTCATTCTCTGAAGCAAATTGGCAAATTGTGTGGTGGTTGGCGTCCAGACCTATCGCTGTTTCGTGGCCAGTGTGTCCCCTGGCCAATCGCTCTTCCAGGACCTAGGAGATCAGTCAGCTCGATGCATCATACGACTAGATATCATATCAGGTATTGACTTACAAGCACATCATGATATTTCCTACATTCGTAGAATGAGGTGACCGAAAGCCCTCTGTTTTCTTCGCGAAAAATTTTTGACACATAGACTATCAGACCGTCTAAACCTCTCGACGCTCCGAAAGACTCATCCTGCTTCACACCAGCCGCATCAAAGATTCTAATCAAGGCCAAGTCACGCTCAGCGGCGTTGTGTTCTCGTCCAATGCACGGCGTCCCGAAGAAGATGATGCTTTCAGTTGAAACAAGGATGTCATCGGAATCTGGTCTGAAATACATCTTCAAAGCCTAGTGTAACAAGGTCCATTGTCAATCAACGTACATGGACTGAAAATATTCAAGGACTTACCATTTTGATGATGATGCCACCTAATGAGTGGCCGATGAACATAATGGGCTTTCCCCTGGGTGTGTTCGTTTCTTCCCTTGTCCTCTTGATACAGCTCAGCAAGTACTCTGCAGGTTCATCCAACCACCCCAAGACGTTATATATTAGTCTTGGAGAATCAAGATGAACATAGCTGAAGGTCATGATGCGAGCATTTCTAAAGCCCTGAGATCTAGGTAGGAAGTCTCTAAGCCACAACTTCCCACTTTTCTCGTCCGTCCATGTGCTGAATCCATCGCCTCCCAGCCCAGGTACAGCTATTATACTATTTCCGATTAGAATCTAAGAGAGAGAGAGAGAATCTGGAGGCTTCTTACTCAATAGCCAGATCGGAAGACGTGTTTGTCGGTTCGAATAAGATATGCAAGCCACTTGTTTCTTGTGGGACAGCAACTCGCTCAGAGTTAGCCTCAACTTGCGGGTTTGATGGTGGGGCTAGATCCTGCGTGATTGCGACTCCCTGTGACGGTTCGGCGCGGACGTCTTGAGGGGATGGCATTGGGTCCGATGATAATCTCATGAAAGCTGGGCCTTGCTGATCCATCGTCTTGATGCTTCTCTTCTGTTCTTCTATTGCTTGTAGTGTGTTTGGTGAGGCAATAGGTATGAATCCAACCGTATGTGACGGTTGAAATACCAGTTCTGCGTACGTACTCAGCGGTACAAGCTGCATCGCGAGACACTCCAAGGCAGTGTCTAAGCGTTTGAAGTATCTGTCTTTCGTTTCCCTACTGCACAGGAGTTAAATTTGGACAAGCAGTATCGAGAGTGATGGTACCTGGCCTCTTCGTCATGCCCATGGATGTAAAGTTGCTCGATAAAGACCAGCAGTTTTGCAACGTCGCTGATATGCTGGCCGATAGTTTCAAAGAGTCCGAGGTTCTCTTCCTTCAGCGACGTCAATACCAATTGAACCAGCTTCTCATTTTCTTCTTCGGAAAAACAGTCGTGATCAGGAGTAGCACACCATCGGATACTGTCCTTCCATTGCTTTAGACCCAGAGCTGCCTCTTGTAGATAGAAAACCAACTCTTTGTCATGAACAGCCCAGCCATTCTCAAGGGCAAATGCGCGCTCAAAGTCTCGAATGACATCGTTACAATCTTGATATAGATCCTGGCCGGATGGTCCTCCAGAGATTCTCCATTTGTCAATTGTGTATTGCAATATCTGCCACGGCCACTGGAAAATATTCAGGTATTCCATCATTGTACAACGACAATGGCATCGGCAAAGAAGAATGTGACCAAGGCTAGGTTGCCGGCTGATGGGGAAGCTAGACTTGCCCAGCAACCGATTAACGATCACGGGGCCCTATTCAGCTCAGCTCAGCTCAGCTCAGCTATGACACATGTGCTCTATTGATTGTGGAGGTAGAGGCAGGTGTACTCCAACGTAATTGGTCGAGTGATTTGTCCATCATGCAGCGTTTTTCAGCGTGGCGTTTCCCTCAAAGCCCTGCGTTCTTGGACCAACACATCTAGAAACAACAAGAGCAGCCTCTGTTGCATGCGCACTGATTGCCTCGCACCACACAGAGCTACACAAGTCATATTTTTCTATCATCCGTTACTTCGAAAGGACTCAACCCTTGATGGATCCTTTGGCGATCCTGGGCGCCTGTTTGGCATGTCTGGGCATGCTCTCTAGTGGCATAAGGGACATTGCGAATGCTGCCGACGCGTACTTGAACTACGAGAACCAATGCTTGGATTATGCTCGTAGGTATGCACTATGTCAAGCAAGTTTGAGAGAATGGGACATGAAGTGGTCGAAGAATCTCCCGATCGACCAAGCTACTGGTGCTAAAGTCGTGCCAGGGCTTCAGGATATCAGAGCTCTAACAAGCGAAATCCAACGCCGATTGGAGGAAGCCGAAAAAGAAGCTGCGGAAGGACAGAATCCCTCTGTCGCAAATAGCAACCGCGGAATGGGAAGACTTCGGGGAGTGATAAGACCAATGCAAGAAAGATGGGCCAAGTGGCGGAAAGGTGGAAGCAGCACTATCACCAAACGTGCAATGCATTCTCTATTCAAAAAGGGACTTATGGAGAGTTGGCTCACAAGACTTGAAAAGGCTATTGAGGATATAGAGAAGAGTTCGGAAATGACATTGCGAGCACGTACAGGCGCGAACTGGGCCGAAGGCTCAGCCTATATACGAAACAAGGAAGCAACGGAAGCGGAACATTTCATGTCAACGCTTACGCAGTCGGTCGAAAGCTTACGTCAGGAATGTATCGCAGGGCCTTGCACGGGAGATTGGGTATTGGGACTTCGCCCTCCGGAGCATCTTGAAAGCGTCGCTGTATGGGAATTCTTGGTGGATATCAATCTCGAATTACGTTTCCGTCATGAGACAACACCGGCTCGAGATATATGGGAACTCAAGACATGCTACAAGAAGGACAACGAGGAAACTCATGACTTTCGTGGCAAAATCAGGCCAATGCTTCCAACAACAAACCGAACAAACATTCCTGGACATAGTAATCTCACAAACACCACTTGCACCAGACAGGATACATCAATAGGAAGAGCAGGTTCGATTGGCAGTCTACTAATAGAACAACCCCATTACTTTACTACTCAGAGCTGGAAAGCAGGTGTCACAGACCATGTCCGTGGTATAGTCAACTGGGCTCTTCTCCTGTGGGAAACGAAATGGTTCGAGAGTTTATGCTGCTTTGGTCTGCACATGGAAAGCAGCCAGAAAACAAACCATTGTATGATGCTTGTAGGAGAGTGTACACCGGGACAAACTCACGAACACGTCGCGCAACGGCTGCAGAATCTAGGCATCACTATCGCCCAAATCATCCTCGCAAGGCCATTACGATTGACCAATCATGACACTGGCACGAGATTTGAACAGCGAGACGAGAGCGGGACTTGGAAAGAGGTTCAACCGAAACGATTGGCAAGTGATATCTTATCAGCATCCAAGTCGATTGTTCTGGCAAGAGCCATCGAGTTTTGTTTGACCGACTCACGTTTCGAGATAAATGGATTCCAAAAAGCGTATCTTATGGAGCACATCAAACATATATACGATCCGTGAGTAATAGCCCTACTTACTATCATTGTCCTCTTGCTAACGCTTGGCAGAGTGATGGCATGGCACGAGTTCGTGAGGCAGGTACGAGAGGAATATAGAGGGCAACAGGGGAGAGAAGTTGTGCATCCACCGCCCCAGTTTGACATCGACCGGACCGAGACAAACACAAGACGTCGTTTAACAATGTAAGACGAGTGAATAGAGTAGTACCAGGGCGCAGATGATATTCTCATACTCGGGAAGAAGCCCTGGATTCATATACAGCTGCATTGGGTGAAGCCAAGTGTTTGGCAATATATTTCTACCGCGAGGCAGCGTTGTGCCCGCGTCTTCTAGTCAGCACGTCCATCAAATCAATGAAAGCCTTGGATTTTTGATGCTTATGGATCACGTAAATTCACGAGAGAAGCAGCGTCGCTATGTACGTAATACCGTGAAGCGATACCGTGCTACATCCTATCTCATGCCATGATACAACGATAACCCATAGACGACGAATTATTTACGCTCACCACACCACCACCACCACCACCACCATCGTCATCATCACGCTGCTTGATTGATCAGTACGCTTTTGTATCCAGGACGAGAAGAATTATTTCTATGCACAATCATACTGGCTACAAGCGGTATTCGCAATATACTAAACACCAGTCCTTTACACTCGAGCAATTCAAACACCCACCCATACTCTAGGTACTACCCAACTCATGCCTCTGCTCAATCACACTAACCCTACCACTAAGATCCCGCTCGTCAATCTCAATAACAGGTCCATTATACGTCTTCCTCGCCCAAACCGCATAATAAATCGCACTGATCCCAGCGATGGCACTCGTGACCAAAACAGCCCAGTTCATATTCGCAGGCGTAACAGCAGCAAAGCTCGGCCAAAAGCTAAAAAAGAAGACGAAACTAAGATACGCACAAGCAAAGACATTGTTCGCGATGCCGATGGCACCGGGAAGGCGCCAAGGGCCCCAGACGGTGCGTGACATTCCGTCCCTGGTGGTGGATGAAAATGTTGTGTCCGTGTCGAAAGCTTCGCTGGGGGTGAGAATGGCACCGGTGCAGCGGCGATAAAGGAGAAGGGATGATGTGAGCAGGTAAGAAGAAAAGAGACCGGCGATAGCGACGGAGATTACGCCGTTGAAGGCGATGGTTGATCCGATGTTTACAAGGGCGAGTAGGCAGGCGATGAAGCTTGTGAAGGCTACGGCGTAGACGGGGATGGATGTACGATCGCTGACCTGGTTGGAGTTAACACTGCTTCTTTCCACTCGTATGAATAGAGGGGCTGTATACATACCTTGCTCAAAGTTCTCCATCCAGGTAGTCCTCTGTCTCTAGCAAAGGCCCAGCATATCCTTGATGTTGACGCGGAGAAGCCCACGTTCGCGCTGATGGTAAGGACCATGACGATCGATGCCATGACTGCAGCACCAGATCGCGATTGCACAGCGCGATGGAATATGGCCATGAAGGGGAAAGCAGGATTCTCACCGAGCACTTCGTCGAGGTTGCCCATACGGAGAAGCACGGTGAGGATCATGGCGAAACCGAGAGAGCCGTTGATTGCAATGCCGGTCATGATGGAGCGAGGCACCACAACCTGTGCATTGTGGATTTCTTCGGACAACTATAACAGCAAGTTAGTGCTTTGCTGCGAATTGTAGTGGCATGCATTCGTCTCTTTTATGAGCATACTCACATGAATTGGCCCGTCACCACCAACAAAGGCAAATACACTCCCCATGATCCCAACACAAAAGCTCAATCCCTGGCTTTGCCAGCCACCCATGTTGACGAACGTTGTGAAGATCTCTTTAGCATTGCCCTGCGGTCCTAGCACTAGAAGAGGGATCAAGATGGCGAAGAAACCCAGGATATGCAAGACCAGTAGCGCGCCTTCGAATTTGGGCAGTAGCCATCCGGCAGCGATATTGATGAAGACGCAGAAGGCGATGATGGCCCAGTAGAGGAGGGTAACGTGCCAATTTTGCGGGACGTAGGTGTCAGGTTGGCAGAGCATGAGGAGACCTTGGATGAGACCGCCGGTCAGGAAGGCGCCGGAGCCAAGAGAAGCTAGCCAGCCGCATAGTGTGAGCCAACCTATACAAAAGTGTGTTAACAAACGATCAAATCATGGAGTTTGAAATTTGGAAGAAAATTGCCGTACCTGAGATGTAGCTAAGCAGTCTCGCGGAGCTTGGAGGAGCAAGCATAGACACCCAATGGTACTGACCACCAGATGTAGGCGCCCTTGGTTCATTCTTAGCAATTGGCCTTTGTCATACCGGGCTTTTATTTCCACTCACATTGAGACAAGCTCGCTGAGAACCATAAAGACGGATACAGTGCCTACCCAAACGGTAAGGTAGCCATAGATGACACCAGCCGGCCCACCACTTCTTCTTTCAGCATACAGTCTCTTCGTCAGTACGTCGTACCATTACTCACTTTTGGAAACCGACCAGGAACAGCCTTAGACCTTGTTAGCTACGTGTCAATGTAGTACTGGGGTATTGTACAACTAACACAAGAGATCCTTCCCAGGTGATCAAAACGGTACAGCTGAATCCTAGGATGGATAGGAAACCAAACCGGCGCTGCAATGCCGTTAGTGATGTAAGCGAAAGCTGTAGAGAAGATATATACCTTTAGTACAGCTTTCTTTCCCAGTCTCGCCAGCGCAAGGTCGTCAGTCTTGTTGGTAGACTGAGTCGGCGTGACGATCAGCTCGACATCGCCACTCTTCGTCGTAGACGACGCCATTGTATCACCAACGCGACAAGGGAAACCGAGAAGAAAAACAATCAAGGGACCTGTGATACGGATAGACGACGAAAGGGAAAGAGAGATGAGCGCAAAAGAATAAAGTAAGAAGCGAATTGCCGTAGGAACAAGTACTACAGCAGCTGCATAGATGAAAAGCGGCTTATGCACAACATTCCAGCCGAGATGGACTTGTTGATCCTCGTACAAAATCCTTACCGTTACCCTATATCCCGCAAACCAATAAAATCACACCACCGTGTCCCGGTCCGGACCACCTACTCAAAGAAAACTAGGCGCATATGCTGCGGCATACGTGCCGTGCCACATGCAAGGCGAAACGAGGGTATAGCAGGGGTGCGCGCTCGCTGCAATGAACGCCAAATTTTTGCATGTGTTGGTATGTACATTTTGAAAGTTCGTCTACTATGGATATATTCACACTGTAGTGCTATGGTTTTCACTGCGGTGTTGTTGTAGCCGGCATGCGGGCTACGGGGTCTACTTGCACTGCCCAACTCTTCGATACCTTGATGCTTCTATCGGGCCCGCCCTGAGAACGGGTAGACTGCTCTGAGCGCCCTGATCGTGATATGTCCATGAGCTGGTACCCTTTGCTGTCGTCTTTAGAGGTATGCTCCCCTCGACGACGTAAGTCGTCCAAACGCATCAGCCCCGATTCGAAACCCTCCATAAACAATTTGGTGTATGGAAGGCATGTTGTCACAATGGCAATACATTGTACAATCTGGTTGCAGATGGTTGATCGCCAATAACCGAGTGTCAGATCGTCCTTCAGGGCAGCATCGGTGCTTTCGCGGTTGAAGAAGCCAAGCTGGATCGCAGCAGCAACGAGAACGCTACGAAGAGATTGTCAGTACTGACTGGAGTGCGTTCGAAACTTCGAACTTACAGCAGTCGACATGAGAATAAAGTCATGACCGCCGCCTTCCGTTGTCGTCGTATCTGAAGTTGTGCTGTTATGACCAGTTCCAGTGCCACGATCGCGATCTCCGTTACGATGTTGAAACAGGAAACGATATTCCACCAGGTCAACTATCCATAGTCAGTCACAAGGCCGGATCAGCATCTGTGCAGTTTACTAACACGGTCGATGCATCGATCCAATGTCCTGTCCCATGGCCGTGGTAGCCGGCATTCGAACGCTGCGACTAACACGGAACACACCAGCCACAGGGTTATCACAGCCAGGACGCCAAAGTTGATTCTACGATGAAGTTCGGAGGGCGTCAATTGATGGACGAATGCTACGACAGCAAGCTTCGAGAAGCCAAGGGAGACGATGAAGAGGATCATCGCAGCGTATTCACACTACACTCATATCAGCATTTCCGACCAGATACTCGAGCGGAGGTGGGAAATTACTTTCAGGTTCGACTCAATCTGATATCCGTCCAATGTCGCAATCGGTGTGCCAAAGCCGTAGTGAGCTTGCAGTGACACTGCGATCGACTGTGCGACGCAGAATACCTGGTCAACTCCGTTAGTCAACGCTCGCAGCATCCTGGTGTTGAACTTACCAAGGCTGCAAGAACGAGCCATGACTCGATCGTGAGGCTCCGGAACACATAGAACTTGATACCGGCGTGCGTGAAGAATGCCAACAGACTGGTAACAAGAGTGAACCAAGTGAGGATCTGAACGATGGGCGTCCGATTCAAGTCCGATATAATGACTTGATTCATCGTCGTAGACATGCGCTATGATGGCTGTTGAGCGGAGACCGATCTACGACTATCGCGAAAATGACCATGTTGTATGGTTTGTGGGGTGAGCGACGCGGGTAGCCAAAAGCAGGGTGAGTGTATCAGGTACGGACCCGCCGACACGGCTCTCTTCGTCAAGAGTAGTACAACGACGCGGTGCCACCTGCAGCTGCGCAACAGCGCCAACGCCAGATAACTATAGTGAAGCTGTCGCGTTGGGCACAAAAGCGGCTGGCATGCCGGCTAAAGGAGCCGTTCATTACCTTCTGCCGCCCTCGAGACCTTGTGAGTTTCGACGAGAATAAACGAAAAGAATGCTTACGCAGCTTAAGCTTTCTTGCGAAACGTTCTAGCAAGTTCACGCATGACACTCCTCATCGTGGTAGACTTTGCGCGATGCAAGCGGTGTCAAGTAGATGCACGAACACAGGCACGTGTTTCCGAGGTTGTTGTCGACGAAGACCTCGACTGATCCCGAGGTGATTTGAGCCGCGCGTTTGTTGAACGTATCCTTGCCCCAGTTGGCAGGTAAGACAGCAAATTTTCCAGCTTTTCGGGACGCAATCTAGAGGGCATGCACACAGTATTAGGTCCTCAGGCGAAGCGGGAACCCGATCACCTTACTAAAACAGTGCCGGGAGCGGTCCGCATCGTTGGAGTTAGCTCTTCATCGTCGCTTAGTCGGACGGATACCTCCATTGGCATATAGCGCGATGGCGTGATGCTCGCTTGCGGAAAACGATGGTCTTCCTTTCGTGAAGTGGAGGGTCAGGAAATTGTAGCAGTATGCCTGACGGCGCAGCTGATTGGCCTGCGGTTGGACGGAACAGCATGCGACTTTATCCACAAGCGGAGTCCCCGAAACATGAAGAAAGCTTCCCGTTGTAGTATCCTCGATGAAAAATAGACGAATTTCTAGTCAATTGTCGCAGAGAACGTGTTGGAACTGGTGACACGAACTCTCGATAGGAGGATTCAGGATGACATCGCGCCAAGCCGCCAGATGAAGCTAGGCCTCAGCGATGGTGTGTCTCCTTGTTTGACTTGCGCGGAGCACTACCAACCATCACACTACGCAAGAAGATGTTATCCGGACTAACGCAGCGGCACATCCCAGCAACGGGCGAAATCTTAGATACATAACGGTATTTCCGAATGTGGCGGGTAAATCCTGCAGGCTGCGAGCTACGCGATAACAAGCTCTGGACCGAGGAATTTCATCTGGACCCCGTCCCGCCTGGATGATGAATCCATCGCTCATCGATTCACTGGTGTACCGCAAAAGGAACCTGCCGATAACGAGCAACGGACTTCTCATACAAATATATCTTACTAGAAAGTACCCAGTAAAGAGGTCGCCCGAAGACCACGAGCCCTACCTCGGCCTAGCACCGCGAATCCTCCCCACCTGCCGTACGTTGCCGTCAAAGGATGAAAGAAGGAAGTTTTTGGACAGTTCTCCTAATTGCGCTGCAACGTTGAGTTGTTGGTCCAAAGACTAACATCCGGAAAAGCCTGCAAAACCGTCAAGGGGTCGACAATCGCGATGTAATTCGACGGTCTACTCTTCTCCCACCCGATCTCATCCGACTCGTATCCTTAAGAAAGACTTCGAGCATTCAATACAGATAATTCGGTGGAGCGCTGAGCGAGATTCGGATCGCGCATCTTTATGACTTTCATGGTTACTGGTTCTAATGCTCATCATCGACAAGCGCGAATCTCAATTCTTTCATGATGGCATTCTTCGCCATATTTGTTGGTGCCTACAGCGGGTCACGTCCCGTATAGTAATTCTTCCCAACGACGATATAGGTTGCGCGAAGCGAAACACTAGCCCCACTGCATGTTTGCCTGTTCGCGTATCATACAGCGAACCAATGGCGTGTTTTCTCACTCGCAAGTGTCGCCGCTAGAGGATTCGACTCTCAAACCAGATAGAGTGGATGGGTTCAGTGAGTACCTTGTCGTAAGTATTGTTTTGCGTACCTGCGAGACCCCGAGTAAGGGACGATAGATCCCGGTAACGTGTTTCACGACTCAATTTTGCTGACGATAGCGAGAAGCGCCAGCAAAGCTTACATGTGTCAGTGGATGGGTTATTGTAGTGACCAATTCAACTCACAAGTCCCAACAGTCAGTATAAATGCAGCGACTGTAAACGCCGTCTGTGCGTCACCGCCTCTCGCCGTCCATGTAACGCCGACTAAAGTCGCTACTACCCACGGCACTGACCCAACGATCCCGATGCGAAAGCCGCTCCAATCTTCAACGAACTCCAGAGCATGACGTCGGTCGGCCTGACGTAGACGAAATACCCAGTCAATCCACTCCGATTCTGTTTCGATACTTTTCGGATGTTGATACGCATAGAAGACCTCTTGTAGAGTGAAGTCGTGCATTGGCACAACTTCCGGGCGGGTAGTAGGTGTATATGATAGAACTCGAATCCGCCTCAGCGTTTTGAGTGACAGGTAGCGTCGCCAGAAGCCGCGAATGTGTTGTTCATACTCCTGATGGAGGGCATGGAAGAACTGTCGATCGTTAAGAATCATACTCGCGTTTTCCTTCCAAGGTTTTTCGGACACATCGAGTGTAGACGCAGTCAATCTGGCTAGACTAGCAACCTGGATCTGGCGTCGTATACAGCCCTGGCTACCGGACCTATAGCACATGAGATTTAAAGAGCATGTTGGCTTGCTTAAACTATCAACTGTTGGGGAAGTCACCGTTTGAGTCGGAGGGAGAACAGAAGGCTGAATCAATACACTAGTGCTGGTTGGATGGTGCGATAAACTGGTTTGTTCCGCCGTCGACTCTAAGCCGGCAGGCAGTGTAGATCTTGACTCGGCTGGACTCTGATCCAAATCGGTTAAGGTATCCCTCGAAGTGCTTGGTCTCTCGATAGGAGGTTCAATGACTTGCATATCTCCATCCCCTCTGTTATCCTGCTCTATGGGTGAGGCAGTCGCCTCATCGATCGTGTTCAGATTTGGGGCTTGATATTCGTAATGAGGTTCCGGCTGCGATTCAGAGTTTTGAGGACTCAGACTGGCTTGGTATATACGCAAGAGAGGGGGATTCACTCCATGGCTTGCTGTCCATCCTGCGAAAGTTGACCATGGCGTCTCGTGGTGAGGAGCTTGCGACACATCCGAGCTTTTCTTGGACTTAGTAAACCAGCCCATATTTAATATTTGGTGAAATTTCGAGTTTGGGATAGCCATCATGCCGCACTTAAGTACCGGTTGTGGCTCTCAGCCGCGGCTGACTTTGGCCTTGGCCTTTACTCCGCCACCCCCGTCTCCTAGGCTGTACACAGACCAGAATCGGCTTCGCATACCATTGATTCGTTTAACAATCGGCAGGAGATATGAATTGGCTTTTGGCCAGTGGATATAGACGATGGAGTAGCTGTGAGAAGTGAGATTCTGCGTACGGCACTGATTCACTAGAAGCATGCGATATTATAGGGGTTCACGCCTAACCTAAGGGCGTAGATTGGGGTGTGGCGCTATATTAAATTACAACAGGAGAAAATTGTCACTTGATTCGCGTTGCATATACGTGTCTTTGGAGCGAGATGCACGACCACCTGGATGGGAAGATTCAGGGCTCGACAACCTGGGCCATGGTGTATTAGGATAGGTAATATATAGGCCCATGTCAGATGCGAAGAGTGGCAAGGAAAGCGGTCTCAAACTGGCTACCAACCTTTACACCAACACAAAACATTCCCCATTCTGCACTTCCTCAACCTTAACTTCCTTCATTACTTCCCCTTCTCCTCTTTTCTCCTGCCCTAACCCCCACTCCAACGTCCTAAAGATATCGTTAGCAAACCACCACACCAAGCCTCCATAACTCAGCCGATCATCATGTGTACTAATCCAATACTTCGCTCTACTCTCCCTATACAACTGCAGTCCACTCGCCACCCCGAAGGTAGTTTGCCAGTTCCAAGTCCAGCTCTCCTTGAGCCCGTGCAGCATCGCAAGAGTAGAGAAGCTAGGGGTAGAGTGGTGCAGAAACGTCTGCAGAGCTGGCGTGGAAATGTGCAGGCTGTGCGGCGAATAGAGAACTGCTTCATGCGTGCCCGGTTCGGGGGTCCAGATCAAAGCACTGAGAAAATTGAGTTCGTGATGTCCTTTGATGCGAAAACTTGTTAGGTAGGAGGGGAGGATGGAACTTGGGTGCAAGGTCATCCAGTCGCCGGTGAACGTGTCTTGCTCGAGATCTTTGAAGGTAGTGATGGTCTCGAAGTGATTGAGTTTTTTGATGATGAGTGCTCCTTCTGGGGTGGTAAAGACGGGAACTGAAGAACGGAAGGTTAAGAGCGTGGGTGTGTGGAGGTGATCTCCATAATTCAAGTTTACGAATATGGCATCCACTGGAGATTTGCCGTCGGCCGTCTGAATTGTGGAAGACGCGACAATGCCTGCTTCGGCCGCTGCAGACTCAATTTCAAGCACAAGTTGTTCAACGCCTGCGCCATTGCTGACGGCGGGTGGGGACGATAGAGCAAGAAAGACTATCCATGACGACACTTGAACTTCAGGGCCATTGAGCCAAGGGTCGTGCACGATATGGAAGTATGCCTTGCCTGTACTTTGGCGCTCCGCAAAAGGTCGAGGAAAGGACAGGAGCCATGAGTTGTCACCATTCAGTGACGTGAAGATGGGTCGTGGCTTTTGCTTGGAGTCGAAATGCGTCTGATACTTGGCATCACGACTGGCGGTCATTGCGACGAGGGCTGTGTGTATTACTGTCAAACGAAAGCACTCTCATACAAATAACGATGGGGCGTGGCTCCTCAATATACTGGGCATCGAGGAGTGCAGCTGATCTCCTCTTCAGGGCGTTAAGCCGTCAGCACGATGCAACCCTGGTCAGTAGCTGGCACCACGATGCCCAGCACCAATCAAGATCCACACGTACGATAGACTGGTATGGAAGCTTATGTCATGACCTTGGAGGATTGTGGTGGTCAGCAGCTTGTGGCTGTGCATCAGCCTTCTTATGGTAGGATCGCAAACGCGATCAAGAGGACTGCTGACATGGACATCAAGTTCTTTCCCAGAAATCTACGCAATAGAGCCCCGCACCAAGCTTCCTTCAAAAATAGTGGCACGCCTGACAACCCCACGTACTCAAATGCAGTCGCTCAAAACTCTCACTAACCGCAATCTTTGTCAACACTTCCAACATGACCTCTGAAAATACCTTCAATGCGACTGGCGACCCCAAACAAGACAGCCCAGTCGCCCGCTCAGACCCCCGCAATGACGCGAGCCTTGCAACCCTAGTAGATCCAACTCCAACAACGCCCCCCAATCGACAAACAACTCAAGAGTCGCAAGCAGCCAAAGAATCTTATAGCGACTACATCAAGAATCTGCCACCGCCATTTTGGGAGACCAAAACACCGAAGCCGAAAGCAGCGAACGACGAAGTGATCGCGACCAGAATCAACGCGGTATGCGCGCCGGTCACAGCCGAACAGCGCGAAGAAGATGAGCGCCTGAAAACTATGTCCTGGCGCGAGCGGTGGCGTGACCGCAAAGCGAGACGAGAGGCTAAAGAGAAGAGCAAAGATCCCGATATAAGACCTGTAGAGACGGGAAGCCGAGCACAGCTGAACGTCTTTGGTAGCAATATCAAGGAGAAGCGAGTGAAGCGGTGACGTTCCTACGTAAGGAACGTGCTGTAGATTGCATAGGAATTTGCGCAACCACAAAAGAAAACAACTGCTATAGTATTTGATGCTCGCATCTCTGTAGCACCATTGTGGGGAGCATGTGTCAATCTAGATTGCCGATTTTGGCGTCAACCGCATGATTTGCACCCATTCCCACAGCGATGCCTCTACAATTCTCCATAATTTCTTAGAGATCCATCCTGTTAAGAGGTGTTGCTAGAAAGTGTTTCTTCGACCGATCATTGCAGAACGTCAAGATTACAGTCGTCACGACTCAAGCCTTCAACTCAAATCACTTGAGGATCGGCTAAAATCCTGCGGACTTCGAAACAAAAGGGAGAGAGGCAGACCGGGTTTCAGATGTCATCACGAGATCATCGATTTCTTGAGCAAAATTGGGAGATCCATCGCCATGAAGTGAGTATGTAGAGATTACATGCTATTCGATTCATCGTAAAAGATTTAGAATGATATATTCGATACGGACGGACATCTAAAGCGTTCGATGCAATGACGCCTGCTGAAGTGATGTCTCTCAGGTCCTAGTGAGTGACCTTACTGTACGATGTACTCATCGAATGCGCTTGGCATATCCGAGGCAGTTGTGCCGTTCGAAGCATACGCGAGCCTATACATGGCCATATTGTCAGTATAATATATCTAGCATCATGTTTCGTGGTTAGAGGTTCTCTTACATGGCCTTATATGTCTCGTCTTCGAGGTCCAGAAGGTTGTATGTTGAACCGCCTTCAATCTCCAAAAGGTCTGGCTTGATACAGTCCTGGCTATCAGAAGCGACGTCAACCGACCTCCTCTTATTGATGAAACTATAACCAGCTCCCGTGTACTCCACGTTGTTGACTTCCCCACCATGGCAGACCAAATCCCTGCCGTTCGAGTCGAACACATGGATTATAGGCCCACAGTTACCTCCTCCGTGCGACCTGGTACTCAGTCTCCAGTTTGTGGGAATGGCACGGAACGAGTAAGCCCATGATACACCACCGGTAGCGTAGCATCGGTCGGGGTTCACGTTGGTGAACGTGACCCTGTTGCCACCACCACAGTGTGACTCGATGTGTCCTTGGATATCGATAGCTGCTACTGCAGCAGCGAGGGCAAAAACAGTGGTAAAATGCTTCATTTTGTAGAAGTAAGGAGAGCTGTGATATTGAAAGGTATCAAGTCAAGTCTGTAGAGGAGCGATTGATGGTGCGATGAGTGCTCTCTTGACCAGCTGCAGTCCACTCTTTTATACTTATCTCATTCATGTCTAAGAGTAGATGCACATGCATGCTCTTTGTTCAGCTTACCTGATGTATCTAGGTGACATCCCAAGTTCTGCATAGTAGACAGCGGTCAAAGCTTTGCAATGCCTCAGAGGAGAACTCAACCTTTAGCGATACAAGGATGATGATTAACCACGCGAGATGAGACCCTGAGAGCGTTGTAGCTTCAGGTACAAATGCTCGGAAGGTTAAACAGATAGAGTGATGAAGCCGTGCCGGGCGTCTACTGGTCCTATGACTGCTTGTGGCATGGTGGAGTCTCCTGCGTAGAGAATCTAGACCGACAATTCCAGAACATAAAAACATACGTGTTTTTTTATGTCGAAGACATCTGCACGTGCGTCAAAGCGGCATTGACTTCAAGTAGGTCCATAGTTGTGGGTCGGAAAACGGGAAAAGGCCTCAAATGGAGATCATCCGTACGACCAGGCCAATCAACGCTACTAAACATTCAAAGGACCAACCCCAAGTGGAGCCTCTTCGCACGTCCTTTGGTGTTCTTGCAGGACGCCTCGGGCGTAATTATATTGCTTCACAACGCTTGTTGAACAATTTCAGAACAGTAGTCAATTCGACTTAGCTTGTATACTCGATGTAACATTAGAATCCTTTTGGACCAAATACGTTCAACATAAGAATCGTTATTGACGGTGCAGCGCAAGCAATCAATTGTCCTACCTCTTTTTGTACCTCAAAGTGACCTTTCGTAAGCCTAGGTGAACTATCCCCCGCGTATCATTACTTTGATACAAGCCAGGTCCAGTACCAACAATCAGAGGTTGTGGATCGCCTCATACGATAGGCAAAAAGGTAATCAGATGGTATATGCCTGTGTCGACAAAACTTTTGACTCAACTCGCGTTTCCAGGATCCGAAACCCTGGTAATTGCTTCCTACATAAGTCGGATGGTGCGCTTTTGATGTCTCTTGAGCGCTTTCATATACGTCTCTTTAACTACTTTAATACCGCCACTCAATCCAACTTTGTTTGTTTTTGAGTCTCTCCAGCTGTATTGCCCAATGCCAATTCTCGTCCAAGCATTTTCGTTCTCTCGGAGTATCAGAGTATGTATGACCAGACCAAAAAGTCCTAAAACCAGTTCTCTAACTTGGTTCCGACGAGACGTATCTTGTTCTTGAGCATCTGGTACATCCAACCACATTCTGAACGTGAAAGGAAATGAGGACGTTTTATGGAAAGGCCCACTGGGAGCGTCGACATTCAGCCAGTAGTCTCCCTCGTCTCGGTCGAAGATCAAAGGGAGAATAACACCATGAATCACAAGATGAGGCATGATCCTGGCTTCTAGAGGCAGTGCCGTGTCAAGTACGATGTCGGACTGATGTGCCTCCGTGACGTTTAGCAAACCATCACCTAGGATCTCCACGCTTATTCTTGCTGAGTGCTCATCAAGCGACGAGTTGAGGCCATAAGTATAACAGAAAACATGTGAGAATCTTTCTGCGGTGGTCAAGTCTTCAAAACCATACAGAAGAGCAAATGGATAAGGTGGCTCGTCAATATAATTCCATCCGAGCCATGACCATGAAGGGAAGTTGGCCCGTCGCTGCACACTGTGGTTCTGCATACGCCAAAACAGTGTTGCATTTATCGTCCATTCAGAAGCTGGATTAAATGGGACACCAAATATGTGGAATAACGGTGTTTCGTGCGATCTGAACTCATTCAACACGCCTTGAATGGCGTTTAGACGATCTGACTCGTAGGAAAGCTGTCTGCGCATATACACGGAGATATGATCGAAGAAAGCGTCGAGAATACTTCTCGAACGGATGACTGTCTCATTGATGGAGGTACCTGGAAAAGCCACTGTCGTTGCAATCTTTGGCGGGCATCTTCTGTGCTGGAAAAATTGATCAGTGTTTCTTCTACTCGAAATGATTGTCTGCCCATTGATAGGATGAGTGCTCCCGAACGAATGTTGCATGTTGCACTGGATGTAGAAACCATTCGGCGTGAAAACCAGTTTCCGGACAGACATGACAGCCTCTTGATACGTCCATCCTCTGGTAGCCCATTTGGAGCCCTGGATTTCATCGACCGGATTGCTGAAGAAGCGCACAAAGGAGTATGGCCCCAACTGAAATCCTTCGCCTGAATTGCACTGACAAGAAGAGACTCCGGGTATTCCGAGTGTGTGGTCTGTGTCTCCTGCAGCGATGAATGTCAACGTGGCGCCAGCGTAAATTTTGCCCATATTGACAATCTGCTGGTGCTTCTGTGTTGTGCTGTGTTGATCGATACAATACCGATCGACCCACAGGTAGCGGAAACACAATTGTAGTGTAGCTATCATTGCGTCCCTGATAATGGGAGGGGCATCGGACAAAGAATCATCATTATCTGGTGCCTTTGTGTCACCCCAAACGTAGCTAAGAGCGAGGTACTTGGCGTTATGGGGCATCGGAACAACCTTTTCATCCTCGCAATCAATACAATACACTGTGAATTCAGTCCGTTTCTTAGTCTCGGGACATTCTTCCGAGTGGTCGGCCATGCATGTTTTCAGCCACTGTGAGATGTTGTCATATTCATCTTGTCCGAAGGCTGGGTGTGAAATTCCATCCTGGGAACACAATGAGACAGTATCCATTGGCAGCATGAGAAGTTGAACGGGACACCGATGTTGACGCTGGTAGCTAGAGGTATACGATTTCGGATCGTCGGTGACGATACAGAGCCGGCCCTGTACTGGACGTAGATCAAGATTGACCGATCCCAGGCTTACAAGAAAGTAATCTCTCGTCTGGTCCATGATGGAATCATCGAGTCTCCAACGCGCAAATAACTTGCAGCTTTTGCATCGGTTATCAACCTTTCCAAGTTTGATAATTGCAGTTTGCGAATTGTCTAGTCTCAAAGCCCTGATTTGTTCGAGATCGTTGCTGCCTATCTCATGGCACCTCTGACACAAGCCATTTGGAAGCAAGTTATTGTTCTGATCGACCGGTTTGTTGTATGCCTTCAATTTCCAGGCATCCAGATTCTTACTGGAGAAGTCCTGGTAGGGCTCATCGATGTAGATATGATCTGATAGGGGGCCGTCCGGAGTTCTAAAAACAATCTCTTCGATCACTTGTGCTTCGTCCGATAGCCTGGGTCCGTCAACATAGGCGCATTACAAGAGAAGTGGAGCAGCCTTACTTGGCATTCTCCACACCGTTCTGCATATCGTAAGTCGCCTCAGTTTGATTGAAGTCATCAGCAGCTGACATGGCCACGATCGCTCCTCATGTAGGTCGCGGCTTTCGCTTCCTGGTGTAAACCAGTGTTCCTGGCTTGGTGGTGGATTGATCGAGGGACTTTGCCCGTCGAGGCCTTGTCTATTCAGCTGTGATGGCGGTGTCACCAGTCTTAGCCTCGTCTGCTCCGCAACCATGTCCCGCTTCTTGGCGTAGCAGGCAACCACATTACGCTTAGCTTACGCAGAACGTGCCGAAGCTCCGTCATCACTCTCTTACTTGATGACACTCCTACGCTGGGTCAAAAGCTGCCGTTCAACCAGATCGCCAAATGATGCTCTATACCAATCCCACAAGTAACGTGGTAGGCTTCGACGGGCGGGTGTGGGCTCGGCGGAAGGGCTTTTAGTGGTCACACATATCCCTCATGTCGCATATCACATTCAGCGCAGGGACAGCATGTCGTGACTAGCCATCTAGCACTATTATCGCAGTACTGGAGGCGTGAATGCTCCGGCTATGGCGGAAACATGATTGTTGGCAAATGTACCTAGGTACCGAGCTAACTAAGAAGGGATGGACCCGTAGTCAGCGCACGAGCTGTCCTTAGCAGCCATGTGCCATCGACCCAAAGTTCATAGCTGAAAGGTACCGAAGCAAAGGTCCTCAATCTGTAGCACGAGTGAGCTCGTAAGAATGCGAGTATATGGATACAATCAAGTTCAACAAGAGTGTATGGTTCACAGTCTTACCTGCATTGGCATAGCGATTTTCTATACAGATGACAACAGGAAGAGTGCAGGGATTGATTCTGTTTAGGCAATGCGACCCGGCTCAAACGCCAAATGAGAAATTGTGCGTGCAAGATTTCATAAACGCTGGAACAAAAGCACCGTATGTCTCGTCCGCTGTAGCTGGTCCAAGAATACCGGAAAAGATCTCGCGTGCCTGGTCGTGGGGTGCGGGCATGTTGCTTAACAGTCCCTGCGCGAGCTGTAACCAGTCTGCGACTTGCGAAAATCTCGATCGCAATAATTGAATCTTCAAGCTAGTCAGCTTATCGCCATTGCTTGTGCAAGGGAATAGATGAATCGCTTACTTCTGCTGTTTGTTCGAAGGTATTTGTTTGCTCGCCGGCTCTCATTGCAATACGGTAGAATTTCTTACAGCCATCCAGAAGATCACAAACATCGCCTCCTTCTTTTTGGAGCCGCTCAAGATATTGGACGAAGTCGTGAATGAGCTGAGCATCAGTGCGCGCTTGAACCGACGCTGTATGTGCAAGTACTTCTGATAATAAGATCAGAACTGCGGAGAGTGGGAAGCATAGTGTTTGCCTTGACGCCGTTAGCCACTGAACATGAGATTGTCATTTAGCGGATTCTAAAGAATACATACCAGAGATGTGTCAATGGCTGCCATTGCAAGCGGAGCTGTACGCGGAGTATCTCCCGAGCTGCTATCACACAGGCGGCTCTAGCTAGCTGACTACTGGAAGGACATGTATTCAATTCAGCAGCCGGTTGTTCGTCAGAAACGTGATTAGATACCACCGGATGGGCTAACAGTACTACTATCATGCTGACTTTGGTTATGCAGCTAAAATAGATGTAGTGTAGCATAGCGATAGGCATTTCGAGGAGCGGCGATTCGTGCGATCGAAAGCCTGGCTGGATGCTGATCGGTAAAGAGTTTTTCCATACTTGAAGTTCTTTGTCGATTGCTGTGATGGCATCTTCAATATGAGAAAGCATCCGCTTGGCATTCCCGGAGAGCGCTTGTTGAAGTACTTTGTGAATCCGTAATTGCGTTACAGCAAGGACAGCTCGTCGTCGGAGATAAACGGTCTGCTCAGTCTGTATGAGATCTTCTATGGGATCCACATGGTCTGAGACATGATGATATACGTGTCCGGGAAATGCAATGTCGAAATTATCTACGTCTAGTGATGAGGGTGTACCATACCTGTGTGCTAGATCAGCATTGACAACATATGTTACCCAGAAGATCATTCTCTGTCTTTCTGCTACATTGGCCTCCAGATCGATATAGTGCTCAAACTTGTGCAGACCAAGCATGTATACCGACTGGGCGACAGTAGCTGTCAGTCGTGCAGTGACGCAGGCATCAGCGGTGCGCAGCATGAACAAAGTCATTGCGAGCAACGCCTCGCAGGTGGAGATCTGAGGCCTTTGAACAATGGCGAGCTCGACGTACATCGCAAACGCGTTCTTGAAGAATGCCCATGCTATTGAGGACATTCCAACGACGGACGCACTGACTGTCCTGTGATGTGCAGACATAGCCAGGAACGAACAAAGAGTAGCCCATCGACTTGGATTACTGGAACACTCGTCCACGCCGGCACGGTACTGTTCGACAAGTTGTTTCAGGACATCTTCCGTCGTAAGGAAGACCCCGTGAAGCTGGACTTCCTCAATGACTGGTCTTATCAACTCCACTGCATGATCTTCAGGAGGAAGGGATGTGAATGTTTTCCTCTCGAAGCAGCTCTGATTCGCCTGTATGCGAGCTCGCATCTGTCTTGCTGTCGTGCGGATATCTTCAGAAAACGCTATAAATTGCTTGACGGCTGTAGGTAACATTCTTTCGGTTTCACTGATACTGCAGGGACTCCGGTTTGATTCATCCCTACTATTGCGTCTTGGAATGGCTTGGCCTTTGAGCAGTGTGGTCAGTCTTATACAGTTTGATTTAGATTTTCTTCTATGGATTTACCTTCCTTAGGGTCCCGAGTTGCCGTGTCGTCACGCACCTCTTTGTGGCCTCTTGATTGTTCACTTTCAACAGTACGTCCAGGTTCTGACTGCGAAGAGTATCTGCCCTGGTCGTGCTGCTGTATGAGGGACTTGGTTGACACCTTACTGCACAAGATAAGCGACTCATCCGCTTGTACAACTCCTGTTCACGTTTACCTCTTCCCAGGGCCCCGTCGCCGCCGTACCGTATAGACACAGTGTTTCTCATACTTTAAGCAGTAACTACAGCAAGGCTGACCACCGTCGCAGCGTCCTTTCCTCTCCTTGCACTGCTGGCATGCCTGATGTAGATGAACGATCCCGTTAACTTTCAAGATTTCTCTTTTTGAGTTGGGGAGTACTTACGTTGATAATTCGTTTACGACCAAGCATGGTTGTAAAGGCTCCCACTGCTTTGCATTTGTGAAACTCTTTAGAAGATTGGACTGAGAGCACATGATCTTGTGGTTTGGCAACTTAGGGCTTACAAAGCATAAGCACGTGATCGGAATCGTCTCTCGATCACGTTTTGGAGTGCATCTCACTAGAGCATGAGTCCATCCCAGGGTAGATACGCTCGAGCCCTTCTTTGTTCCCACAACACTCCGAAAGCGCTCCGGCCTCAGGACGCATCTGAGACAACGTCTGAGGAGGCTGTCGACATGTGACTTTGCCCACGGATACAAATTGCATCCGAAGACTACCGCGCACAGACGTATTAGTAAGGCCGGATGTATTTTCCTTCGTACATAGAAGACGGATGCATTTTTTGCTAAGAACAATGACTACTTACGATTTGCTTACAAAAGCTGTGAGTACCTAGGTATGCTTGGTCATTCAGGATGTAACGAGGTTCCGAAGCCGCGTGCCAAGTTAGTTCATGGTCTTGCGCAGTATAAAAAGAGTCGCTGGGTGCTATATTGAGCCATATCAGAGAGCACATCAGTACTAATCGATTGCACCACGCATAATCTTCCAACAACAACTAGCCTGTCGTAGAGATGTCTGTCATTGCTGTCGCAGGAGGAACCGGAAAGCTCGGCCGTACTATAGTCGAAGCCATCCTTGAACAAGGAAAGCATCAGGTCGTCGTCCTCGCTCGACTGGTTCGTAGTTGTATCGCTTGCTATGTATTTCGCTGACATGGAGTTTTAGGGTAGCAAATCCAAAACTAAAGAGCTCGGTGTACCTGTACTTGGGCTTGACTATAGCAACGTGGAGGCTATCAGAGATGTCCTACAATCCAATGATATTGGCACAGTCATCTCGACTCTGGACACTATGGCTGGAGCGGAGCCAGAGATAGCATTGATCAGAGCCGCGGATCTGTCCACCAGCACGAAGCGATACATCCCAAGTTTCTGGGGAATCCGATATACGCCTGAGTAAGTCCTTCTTCTGAATGATCGACAAACAGACTGCTCATTGAAGTACAGAGTGAAAGCGATTTTTCCGGTAGCCGAAACTAAGCTCTCTGCGATGACAGCTCTCGAGGCTTCGTCTCTCGAGTACACCTGTGTGATCAACGGCTTTTTTCTTGATTACTACGTTATACCCAAGGTTTCGTCGTACATGGGCCCATTCCCTGTCGTCATTGATATGGCCAACAATGCTGCAGCAATTCCTGGATCTGGCGACGTGCCTGTCGCTTTCACGCACACTATGGATGTTGCGCGTTTTGCTGCTAGTCTGCTCGACATCCCCATCTGGAAACCAGAATCCTATATCGTTGGCGAGAAGCTGACTTGGAAAGAATTCGTGGCTATAGCTGAAGAAGTCAAAGGCGTCAAGTTCGATGTGCAGTTTGATCCGTTGGAGAACTTGCAAAAGTACCAAGTAACCGAGTTACCTGGACATAAGGACCTTTATCCTTTCTTTCCAAAACAGATGCTACAGCCCTTCATAGCCACGTTTGGCATACTATTTGCCAAGGGGTTCTTTGATTTCGATGCGATTCCTGGACAGGGCGGTATAAAGGCACGAGGCGTGAAGGAACTCGTGGAGCAGGCTTGGCGATAAGAATGGACTCACTTATATTGAGCGATCAAGGAATCCCAGAGAATGATCGGACTTAGACTTGCAGGAATGTCGGCAGAGTGCACTCGCTGGGCTTGCAATGTTGGTTGTTTGTGGGGCGGCGTGCGCACCCAACAGAGTGTTATTACCCCTCCTTCCCGATTGGGAAGGTTTGATAATCTGTCGATTGCACCGGCATTATGGTGAAGAGACGTCTTCGTTTCCGTTCTTCGCGAGAGCTCTAGCGATTATGCCACAGTGTGCTTACAACAATTCTCGACCAAGAAAATTCTAGTTTGAAACCCGAATTTGGGTGTTTCTCCTGATGGTAATACTGCGTGCATATACTGGCTTACCTTCGGTCGTCCACCATCGCCTCACGTAGCAGGCCGTCCAGTCCCTTTTCACACCAATCTTTCAGGTTTCACACCAATTGCAACATCCCCTACTCGAGCGATCATCCGTGACGGCGTGAATTAGGGGGATGCATACTCAGACAGGCAACAATCCTCACCTACCGATCACGGCAGAATCTGGCGGAACGCTTCCTTTTAGCAGCTTCACCTCAGCACTAGTCAACTACTGCAAGGGGCTTTGCTTTTCACGTACAAGGTGCTATAATCCACAGACTCCTGCTATTGCCTAAACGAGTAATCTGTCGTCCCAAGCAATATCAGGTAAAGCTGCTTGAGATGGTGTAGAATCGTGTTGATCAATGTTCCAACGCTCCAAGGATATTCGATGTCTCTCTGCGCGCCGTCCCGGGTCATTAGGGTCTGTCACGGACTGTGCTCGAATAATGATTTTGGTCTACACCGCCGTACTTGAGTAGTAAATGACGTTGTTCGAGTATCGTTGTAAGGTCGTGCCGTTCGGTTACTAATCTTCAGCGTACTCGAGCCAACAATCTTTCGTCACATCCATAGCGCTAGGCTTTGGACGAATGTAGGTTTACTCCGACCCTCCGCACTAGGAGTAGGATTTTAACGACAAGTTACATCACAGTAAGTGTTAAAGACGTTTTTTCGCAAGATACGAGTTATGACATATTGCATAGAGAGCGACCCACCACCTTTGGTACCAACGGAATCGGGTTATGTGGAAGCCGAACAAGCTTCCTCCACCCCAAGTTCTAAGAACGTATCGCTTAGAATTTGTCCTGCAAGGACACGTCGTCTCCTAAATCGTGAATCGTCAATATGGATAACATGTGGAGAGTATCCCGCTCGACAAGTCGTTGGGTTGGTGTCACGACAAGCCTTGAGAAAGTTGCCGCCTTATCCGGTGTCTGGAACTGACTTCGCACAGGGACGCTCATCCTGCGCAAATCGCCGGATCACATCTGGGGAGAAAGATGGAGACAATGCGATACAGCGGGTCCGAACTTGGGAGTCGAGATCCCTCTTGATGGTGTTGTGCATCGATCCCGACCCCCACGACAATTCCAAGGAATGCCTTGGTTATGCAGGGGCGGCATTAGGATCGGCACGCTCAAGCTTTCGTCGCACGCCGCGGGCGTTTTGCGAAACAGCCTTCCGCGATAACGGCAATGACCCTGAAATTAAGGATAAGCACTTTGGGATCCCTTGACACGTGAAAGATAAAGAAATAACGGTCGAGTAATCCCCAAGTCGATGCGACCGACTGAGCGACCGAGCAGCAGCTGTCGATTAACTTTGTGCCTGTGTATCGCGCGACCTCCGAGGACTGCACATGCTCAAAATAGACACAGTCTGCAGAGTTTTGAGGGACCGACAAGAGAAGTGCCCGGGACCTGCATTGCAATGCTGGGTGACGTCGGTGGCTGTCGCTTGAGAAACTGTTGGCAGAACCCCAACCGTGTATGCAACACGACTGTCGTCGGCATCGCGACCAAGATAGGTGCCCGGCACCATTGTTGAAGGCCAATAACGGGCTTATTGCGGTATGCGCGATGGCTATGGTTGGTTGCGGACGCGTATCCTTACAGCTTTCTGTACCAAAGTCGATCCCAACAGAGATTCTAGACAAAGCGACGAGGCCCACCCGGTGTGTTTGCCATGGCCACAACTCGTCCACCGTCGCGTCCACGACCCATTTTTCCTTTCGCGCCAGTCAGTGACGAAGGGTTGGCAGGCGAAAATGAGGAATCGCAGATCGGGAGCCCCAAAAATAATCCCTGGCCCAGCGCTGCTCCTTTAACCCCGGGCATGCTCCACCTCATGCTTTGCTAACATCGCTGCTGTTCATTCCACTGTCTTATCTTTCTTCCTTCTCCATCGCCTCTTACTATCAATTATTTCCTGCACAACAAGCCGCTTTTCTCCGTCACTCGCTAAAACACCATCTGGAAAATTCGGCACAGAGCTTGACGTCATCCCGTTGCAGCAGTTCGCGTTTGACCCTGGACCGCCGGAAGGTCGAGCGCATGCCATTGACTTCTAGTCCGGCGTCGAAAAGCACCCCATCGTTTCATTGATAAGATTTTGCTTCCACAGAAAAATCCGCCGCGAAAGCAAACACAGTCGCTTCCTTATCGCTCCGCCAGAGTGCTTTTCGGTCGGACACTTTGTCGAACTTGGGCCTGAGCGCGCCTCTACACCATGACGACACCGAACATGGAGCGGCCGGAGCCGACATACGATATGGATAGTAACCTTTACCCTCACCAGCGATCTTCCGACGAGGACGGCACAGTTGTGGGGGACGAACATCACCACCCTTTGCGTGTGGACACTGCGGCACGGCCAACACACATGAGATCGCGATCTGGCACCCATCTTACCGTCGAAACCGCACACGACGTCCCAGCCATGAAGGGCGTACAATCGCCTTCGCAAACACGTGAGCAGGCGAGCAGGCTCAACGACGACCTTGCCGTGCTGGCTATCGAGCAAGGCCTGGACGAAAAGGAGGCTCTGAGGCGTAATGCGTCAATGAACCCATCTCTATCACGCGTACGATCCCGTAGGGAGGACCTCGTAGACGACTTCGACGCGGCGACGAACCCACTGCACGAGCAGGCGGCTCGCTATACGCCACCTGAGAACCCGACCACGAGCTTCTCCAAGTTCTTCAAGAAGATTCACAACTCATCGTGGCTTGTGAGGTACTTTACGTACATTACTCCCATGGTTCTTCTGATCCTCATTCCAATATTGGTTGCGATATTTGCCTTTCCCAACGCTACTGTTGGGGGTGTTGAGCTTCTTTGGTTTTCCATCTGGCTTATGATCATATGGCTAACGCTTTGGGCTGGACGAGTGAGTATCTTTCGCCTTTCGCATTTACTAGCACTTACATCCATTGCAGGTACTTGCTAAACTCCTTCCATGGCCTATCGGTCTCGTCTCTAGTCTTTTCACCAACAACAGCAAGAAATGGAGAGACATGGGCAAGCAGCTCGAACTTCCAGCTACCTTGTTTTTCTGGTGGTTGGCCATCGAAGTGTCTTTCCTACCGACAATGACGAATCATCACGTTAGTGGCAACAAGGACACTAAACCCTGGGAAAAGACCATGAACAAGGTCCTCGTTTCTCTGTTCGTTGGTTTCGTTCTCAACTTCATCGAAAAGATCATCATTCAGCTCATCGCCATCAGCTTCCATCTTCGGACGTACCAAGATAGGATCGAGCTGAACAAGTTCCAGATTGGAAGCTTGGCCAAGCTGTACCGGTTCTCCAAAGAGAAGATCGCCATGGAAGATTCAGAGTTTGAACAAAACGAAGACCACGCTCCATCTGGCGCTCGCACTCCCGGTCAGATCCTCACAGAGGCACAAAAGAACATCAAAGTTGGTTTCAACAAGTTTGGAGATGTTGCCGGAAAGGTCGCTGGGGATTTCACAGGTCGCACAGTCACTGGCAGCGGCCATCCTCACCAGGTCGTTTTGCAACTCATCGGCACTACTAGTGGTGCTCAGGTCCTAGCCCGCCGACTCTACCGAACTTTTGCGCGACCTGAGACAGAGACCGTTCATGCCGAGGATCTTAACAACGCTTTTGACAGTGACGAGGAAGCTACTGCTGCATTTTCCATGTTCGACAAGGACATGAACGGCGACATCTCCATGGAAGAACTCGAGGCTGTCTGTGTCGAAATTGGTCGTGAACGCAAGTCCATCACCGCATCCCTGAAGGATCTCGATAGCGTCGTCTCCAAGCTCGACGATGTCTTCATGTTCATTGTGCTCATCATCACAATCATCGTGTTCATCTCGCTCATCTCGACGTCCGCCGCTGGTGTGCTTACGTCCGCTGGTTCGACCCTTCTCGCTCTGTCTTGGCTCTTCTCCGCAACCGCCCAGGAGTTCCTACAGTCTTGCATCTTCGTCTTCGTCAAGCACCCCTACGATGTCGGTGACCGTGTCACAGTCTACGGTAACACGGGAGATCTAGGCCGCGGCGACGACTACTTCGTCAAGGAGATTGCCCTCTTCTACACAGAATTCAAGAAGATGCAAGGTCACATTGTTCAAGCGCCCAACAGCTACCTCAACACGCTCTTCATCCTCAACCACCGTCGATCGGGAGCCCTCGCCGAAGCCGTCCCCATCATCATCAAGTTCGGCACAACGCTCGAGCAGATCGAACAACTCCGCAACGTCCTCCTCGAATTCGTCACCGCCGAGAAGCGCGAATACCAAACCAACATTCTCACCGAACTCCGCGCCGTCCAGGAAGTCCACTGGCTCGAGCTCAACGTCGTCTTCTTCTACAAATCCAACTGGCAAAACGAACTCCTCCGTCTCCAGCGCCGCAACAAATTCATCTGCGCCCTCACCATGGCCATCCAGGAATGCGGCATCGAGGGCCCTCGCATGCGCTACCCAGGCCAAAAGGAGAGCTTCCCCGTTTACCTCCAGAATCTGCAGAACCCGGCTACACCTGGTGTTGGCATCAACGGCACGCCCGACCAGCCCAACGGCAACATTCGCAACGAACCCCAAGACCAACCTTTTGTCGCGCCTGCAGAAGGCGTTGCATCACCTGGCGGTACGACGGCTGGACCCACAACCGGGCGCACGCGCTCAGGTTCCATCCTGCGCAAGCCGGGCGTAGCAGAAACGCTATCAGCCATGAACAAGCGCGTCGACTTCTCGCTAGGCATGAAGAGCATGGGCCTCGACGACCCATCAGGCGACGTGCTCGACGACCGCGAAGCCGAATCGCGCGCCCGCGCCACCGTCGTCCGCGTCACATCTCCCTCACGCAGCCAAGACCGCGACCGCGCGCGCGCTTCCGAAGACACGAGCGCCTCTGCGCGCTCCACGGGTCTCCAGCGCGTCGGCACAAACGCCTCGTCCGTCCTCAAGGAACGCACGCACCGGAACCGCTTCTTCAGCCGCTCCCGCCACAGCCATGGCGGCGGCGCAGACGAGGAGGCCGCCATGGCCGATATCCCAGAAGGCAGCGACTATGATACCCCTCCCAATGGACGCAAGAATACGCTGGATCCTAGGACCGGTGTGATTAGCCCTCGGGCCGTGCATAGTCGAGCAACGACGGAAGACGAGATTCCAATGCGCAATGCTAGTGCGGATATGCCGAGGAGTACGGGCGCGCTGCCTAGTACGGCGGATAGTGAGAGGACGTTTGGTCACCCGCAACGGTCGCGGACTGATGGGATTGAAATGAGGAGGTTTCACTAGAGTGGTGAACTTGTTTTCCTCTTCTTCTCTTCCTTTGAGTGTGATCATCCTCTCCTCCTGGAAGTGCAAAGCCTAGTAGTGGTGGGATAGGTTCATGGAACGACAAAAGTGTCCTAGTGTTTTTTCTTTGTCATCCTGTTTGTTCTTTTTTCTTCGACGCGTAGAGCGAACACTTTTTTAGAATTAGTCTGCAGACAGCCAAGGGCAGTGCGCCGGGCTTCTCTCTCTCCTTTATTTGTACATAATCTCTCCTTCAGTGCACATCGTCTGGGGACGAGGAATTCCAATAGACTGATTACAGAATCGCTCATGAAATATGCATGCACTACATTCAATGGAGAGACCAAACATCTCTTTGCAACAAAATGATTCTGGTACGATAAAGCATATCAATAGCTGTGTAGGCATGAACATAAGTCTGGAGTACTATAAATCTCTACAGTTTTCCTTGTCAGGAGCTAATGTAAGCTATAACATAGGGCTTATTACCTCTATACCCGTTCAGATCCTGCCTTGTATACCGTGCACGTGAGTCGAACACGACGACGACAACAACAGAAACATCAATTCGACCCAAGATGCTGTAAGAGGTAAAGTATGCTATTTCAGCGGAAACTAGTCCCACCGCTTACATCATGAATAAGCTTCAGCAACAGTCGCCCAGATGTCTTGTCTCCTCAGCTAACCACTTCTCCCTTTGACATAAAAACAACGAGTTTAGTACTCACCCTCCTCAACCTCATCGTCAAGCGAATCAGAAGCCACTTCTTCGTAATCTTTCTCAAGGGCTGCAAGATCTTCTCTCGCCTCGCTGAACTCACCCTCCTCCATACCCTCACCAACATACCAGTGCACAAACGCACGCTTGCTGTACATGAGATCGAACTTGTGGTCGAGGCGGGACCAGGCTTCCGCGATGGCAGTAGTGTTGGACAACATGGCCACGGAACGGTCGACCGAGGAGAGTTCGGAGCCGGGAACAGAGATGGGCCTGGAAAAGTGTTAGAAAATGGGGCACGAAGAGAAGGCAATGAGGGAAAGGGGAGACACGTACTTGGTGTAGTTGATTCCGAGCTTGAAACCAGTGGGGCACCATTCGACCAAGTTGAAGGACGACTTGGCCTTGAGCGCACCAGCGGCAGCGGAGCAGTCGCGGGGGACGATGTCACCACGGTAAAGGAGGGCAACGGCCATGTACTTTCCGTTGCGAGGGTCACAGACAACCATTTGGTTGTTGGGCTCGAAGCCTGGTCAAGTTAGCAAGACATGCACCCGACGGACCGACATGGCGTCTTAACGTACACTGGAAGGTAAGGTCAGAGACCTTGAAGCTCTCGTGGGAGCTCTTCTTGGCCGAGATGACAGGCGCGTAACTGATGAGCGGGTAGTGGATACGCGGGTACGGCACAAGGTTGGTCTGGAACTCGTTCAAGTCGACATTGAGCGCACCATCGAAGCGCAGAGACGAGGTGATGGAGCTAACAACCTGGGCGATGAGGCGGTTGAGATGCTCGTAGTTGGGACGGGGAATGTCCAAGCTGCGTCTGCAGATGTCGTAGACAGCTTCGTTGTCAACGAGGAAGGTGCAGTCGGAGTTCTCAATGGTGCTGTGTGTCGACAGAACGGCGTTGTAGGGCTCGACGACCGAGGTGGAGACGCGGGGAGCTGGGTAGACGGCGAACTCGAGCTTGCACTTCTTGCCGTAGTCGGTGCTGAGGCGCTCAAGGAGAAGCGCGCCGAAACCGGAACCGGTACCGCCACCGAAAGAGTGGAAGATTAGGAAACCTTGGAGCGAGGAGCAGTTGTCTGTGTGCGCGTGTCAGCAGGCGCATCGTGTTGGAGTCGAGCATCCGACTCACCAGCAACGCGACGGATCTTCTCAATGACGCTGTCGACCATCTCCTTGCCGATGGTGTAGTGGCCACGAGCATCTATCCTCGTCAGTATCTTCGTGTCTCCAAACAGCTTCCCGACACGCACAGTTGTTGGCAGCATCCTCCTTGCCGCTGATCAACAGCTCAGGGTGGAACAATTGGCGGTAGGCGCCGGTTCGGATTTCGTCGATTGGCGAAGGGTCCAAGTCGACGAAGATGGAACGGGGGACGTATTTGCCGCTGCCAGTCTCGGTGAAGAAGGTCTCGTAGGAACCGCCCTCACCAAGCTCCTTCGCATCGGGGTTGGGGCGACCATCGGGAAGCAGACCGTGCTCGAGGAGGTACCTGGCGTTACAGTGTCAACAAGCCTTCGGGCGCATGCGGTTTCGCGACAACGTACAGCTCCCAGGCGCTGTTACCCAGCTGGGTACCAGCTTGGCCGATGTGAAGGTGGCAGATCTGTAGAGCTTGGTGTTAGCAGTGTGCGCTGTGTGAAGATGCGACGAGTTTGAGTCGTCCCCATTCCTAGTTCTTTTCATGTCCTCTTGTTGCCAGACAATGAACAGCAGCACGAAGCTCCGTCTGATGCATATCGGCGCAAGAAGCGGGGGTCCCCCGCTGCCCTACAAGCAATTGAAGCCCCAAAAGAAGCCGTTCCAACGTGACATACCTCTCCTCGCATGGTGGATGTATTGCTGTGTCAAACAGACGACTGTCGAAGGAGACTTCAAGTTCCTGGCGTCGACGCTGGAGGCAGAAGTGTTCTGGGTTCAAGCGGTGAGGAGCGCCGCGTTGGTCTAGCTTGGTGGGGTCGCTGCAGGGGTCTGGCGCACGGTTTGTTTATGTACGCGACCAGTCCGCGACCAACTAGACACGCCTTGCCGCTTTCAACCATATCAACCGTGGCGGCCATGCGGCACAGCGGGAAGACCGTTCGTTTTTCAGGGATCCGTCCCTTGCGGTGTGATGGCGAAGACAGCACTGGAACTCTCGTACTACTTGCTGTGCCTAGGACGGTATTGGTGGCCAGGATTTGCGGTGTGGAGAGTCAGTGAACTATCAAGTGCAAGCCGACGATCCTAACAGTGTATGCACAAACCTTGTGCGCCAAGTTAGTTGATGTTGCGAACCATGTCCATTCCTAGTCTAAACTGCCTCCTTTGGAAGGACAGGGGATATCATGTGCTGAAGGAAACCAAAAGCGCCGTCTATGTGTACTCCATCACTCACAACAGCATTACTCTCCAGGCCCATCGACCACAGCCTCCTTCCCCTTCTCACTCCACTCCCCTGCACTCGCATCCACCTCCCTCATCCTATTCTCCTTCTTCTCCCCCTTGTTGTAGAATTCTCTGATATCCTCGCACCCCTTTGGTGTTCTGCAAACCTCGCGTGCCTCTTGATCCGCCGTCTTCCAAATCGTCTCTCTAACCTCCTTGCCCACCTTCTCAATCGCATCCATGGCCCAAATGACATCGAGATGCTCGTAGCCTTCGATGACCTTGGAGTGTACAACATCAACGTATGGTTCTCTTCCACGCTCAAAGCGACGGAGCAGGCGATGGCCGTCGACTAAATCGTCGGAACCACACACCCAGAGTGCAAAGGGGGGAGTTTGTGGACCGTACCACGCGTAGCGCTCTGCCTCTTTTCTCTCACCCTTCTCCTCCTCTTTCTCGTCATCCAAGTCGTGAGACTGGTTGTGAGTTTGGACCTGCTTCTCGTGTTCCATCTCCGCATCCTCCCTATCCTCCATAATCTTCTCCTCTCTCGTAGCCAAGATACATTTTTGCCGTGCAAAGCACTCTCTTCCTAGCCACCACCTCATACTCTCCGCACTAACATAAACCGGCGCGAATTGGAACATGCGGTTCCGCAAATCACGCTCCCATCGGTCGTCTGTCCAGTTGAACAAAAACGCAAAGACACGGTATCCCATGGATCCATAGAACCTCCCTGGCAGGAGACTATGCATAATCATCATAAAAGGAATGAAAGCGTGAATCCCAAAAACAGTCCGAAACATGTTTGGACTAATAACCTGCATGAACTTGAACTGCGCTTTCCCTATCAGCTTCCCCGCATAAGCCGCAGGCGCCAGTCCGCAGAAGACACTAATCTTTTCCCCAATCTCGGGTCGTTGTTCCTTGGCCAACGCAACGAGCGTCTGTGTAGTTCCCTGACTATGCGCCACGAGTCCCAACTTCTCAAACCCAGTCTCTGATAGGACGCGAGAGATGAGCGCGGGAAGGTCCATGACGCCCATTTGACGAATGTTCCACGCCCACATGCGTGGATCTCCGTATTGTAATGTGCAGTGTCGCGGCTTGAACCCGCATCGGTTGTTGCCGAGCCAAACGTCGTAACCAGACTTTGCGAGGAAGAAAGCTAGACTGTCGTCGTCGTTGGTGCAGTATGCGCCGGCCGATTGCAAGAGGCCGTGTATCATAAGCACCGGGTACTTTTTTTCGCCATCGGGGTATTGCGAGCCGGTAACGTGCGTGCCATCTTGGGGAAAGAGTTCGGGAGAATGGGGAGAGCGCGCAGAAGCGTCTGTACGTGAGTAGTCACGCGGGTTGTAGAGGTGCCAGAGTTCGATGACGAAGCCGTCTTCGGTTTGGACGTTGAAGATCTCGCAGTCTAGACCTACGCGGCGGGCATAGTGGCGTACGTCGCAGACCAATGGATCAGGACCGCCTTCCAAAGGTGAGAAGTCATCGATTGGGCTGCTGTCTTCTCCAGACTCCAGTTTCTTGGCTGACGGTGCGGTGTCGCGTTTCTTCCATGCTCTTTCTGCTTCTCGACGTGCGCGCTTTCGTTTGGTTTCTTCTTCGTGGAAGGGACGCCGTTTCTCCGGATCTCGGAATGTCAGGAGAAGAAATAGGTGTTTGCACATACCCGGGAGTGACGTAAAGCCAGCGCCCAAGACAATGACGAGCAGAAATAAAAATGACAAGATACCCGATGAGAATCGAAAGAACCAGCATTGACATTGCCTCATGAGTGTAGGCGGTCCGTACATGGGAAGAGGCGGGAAAAGAGGATTCGTCTTCCATGGTGCTTTGGAATCTCCCAGTGGAACATCAGATTTGCCCTCACCATCCATTTCTGCTTCTTTCGGGAGCAGGCCATGTACCGTTCCATCTTTTGCTTCTCTCAGTCGCGGTTCCAAAGGTTCTTTTTGCGCCGGATCACGGTCGTCAATAATATCTCGCAGCTGGTTCAGCTTTGTCGCCTCTTCAAGCGGAACGGCAGGTAAGCGATGGCCGTTTGCGGTTTCGACAACGGGGTCTTGCGGCGTTATGAAGCGTGCTTCGACCGCCTGTGTAGAGCCTGTGTTCTCATCTTCTTGATCTGGTGTGTATTGTCCGAGACGCTCGGCCTGGTGTGCGAAATCTACTGCGGCCTGTGTCTTGGATTTGTTCTTCTGGTCGTCGTGGTTGAATTGCTCTTCAATACGGTGTTTGACGGATGTGACAGCGGCACTCGGCATGTTGGTTTAGGTAAAGTCGTGCGGTTCGAGAACGGTGATGTGGAGAATCCAGGGTTCCGTGGAGCATAAGTACGGCTGTTCGGCAGCTCAGACGCTTCCCAGTGTTATGTTCCCAGTGATGTGTTCCCAGGTGGATGGTTACGATCGCCGGAACGCGCAGAAAGGGTCGTGAGGCACAAGGGTGAGGTTGAAAGACGTGAAAGACATGTTGCGGCTTTTTTGTGAATTGATATTTTTGACGCGGTGGCTGCTCGCGCCTTGGTTGGAGATAACATTACGTCAGGGTTGAAGAAGGACGCGGCAAATCAACAAGCGATCTCCAGACGGGATGCATGTCAACTACCGCATTTGGAAATTTCATAGCGGGAGATGGAAGCAGGGTTTACCGTTGTGTGGCTATGGTTTGCATGGCGTTCGCACTGATTTGACATGTGAAGAGATTGCGGACTTGACTCAGGTGTCGAATTATCAGGAGTCCTGTTGGATTACTGTCCCCAATCAGTTCAGTAGACGCGGGGACTCGTCGCACGTACCCATGCATTCCGAGCGGACTAGCTCTGCCGAGGCAATGCGGCTCTACTACTATCTGATGGCCGGGCTCATGGCAAGCAACAAACAGAGAGCCGCCAATGCTCACAACACTGTCCATTGAGGCAGACATTCTTCTGTAATCCATCATGGACGCGCAGAATGGAGTCGTTCATGCACACAAGAAGCGACGGAGGAGACGTCTTGACCGCCCTCCTATCTCGGCGCGATTACTGCTCGACGACCGCATCAAGGGCGAGGTTGGAGTGCTGTCGGAGGACTTGTTCAACGACCTGTTTCCTGGATCCAGAAGCAGGAGCGCGGGTATGTGAAGAGCAGAGTTGGTAGTGGGTGTGCGAGAGAAGTCGCTGACAAGAGCAGCAGCGAACGGAGACACGCCAGACTCGCATCGCGTCCAACACGTCGCCATAACCCCTTGGCTACCGAGCTCCATCGTCGTTTCTCAGAATACTCCCTGGACCATCCTGCCGGTGCGACCAGCTGACAAGACGGAGAATGGCACAGCGCGTCCGCATTCGTCTCTCCAGATCCCAGCGTCGTCCCTCGCCCTCCAGTCGTTTTCGCACCTCCTCCAGAACATCGCCCCGAACAAGACGCAGAGGCGAGACACACCCATCGAGGTGCGCATATACGATGTTGTACCCGTCGGGCTGGATACCGTCTACGTCAATCTGGACACGGAAGCGCTGCGGAAGCTAGACGAGGTGCATGCAAAATTCGGCGGGGGCTTCATTACCCAGATGAATGGTGCATCGCGAGCCTCCAAGAGCCGTCTCGAAGCCAACGGGACAAAGGGCAAGGCTGTCGACCTCGCTGCGCAAGAGGAGATTTGGCGACAGGCCGTGCGCGAAGCCCTACAACTACCCACCGTCCTCCACACTGGCGATTTGCTTCCTCTGAAGCTACCCGCTCATCCCATCACCCACGTCCCACCTCCGCCAGCCAAGATCAGCGCCTCCGAACCTGTGTCGCAAGGTCTCTTGCTACCGAGCACGAGAATCGTCATACTCCAATCGCATCGCAGCAGCTCCAAGCAAGCTGTCCTCCTCCCACCCGTTAAGCAGCCTGCGACTACCAATGGTTTCGGCGACGACGACGAAACCGACGATACGTCCAACGATACCTTCTACTCCGCAGCAGAAGACAATTCGCGCAATGCCTCTCCGCCAGACGAGGAATCTACCGATAATTTCGAGTCTGAGCTCTCTGAAAGCGATGCTGGAGACCTGTCCGACGAGTCCGACGACATCATCTCGCTGAATGCGCCTATGCTCCCGCCTCAGTCCTCCGGTGTGCTTTCGTCCTTTACGTCCGCAACGCCCCGGCCCGGCAACTTCCGTACCAATGGAATTGCGACCCCAGGATCAGTCTACTCCAGTTTCACGGCTACGACAGCCCGCGGGCCGACAAGCAAGAGTAAGGTGTTCAAGGCTCAAGGGCTCCTCCAGAGCGTTCCGGATGATCTTGTTCACCCAAAGCCTGGGAGCGAAGACGACGAAGAAGCTCGTGTATTCGTCGACATAAATACACTAGTCAAGGTTGGCTGCTTCTCGGGCGACTGGGTGAAGCTCGAAGGTACCGAAGGCCCTTCATCACATCCCCTCTGGGGCTTGGGCGCATTCGGACGAGCAGATGAAGAAGAAAACACGAATTGGCGCCCCGTCAGGGTCTTCGGCTTGCCAGAAAACATGTCCAAGAAGGTGGCACGATACCCCGTCCAGAAGACTTCAGATCTTGATCGACGAAGCAGCTTCTCGGGCTTCTCACAACCACCTTCGTCGCTACATGCCTATCTTTCACCAATTCTTCTTGCAAACCTAGGCAGTCCTTCTCACCTTCGCATCACCCCATTGACCCCCAGCCAGTCTTCGCATCTGCCTAGGAGCGCTATCCAGAAGCCGCGGTTGAACAGCTCTTCTTTGCCACCATCCGCTAAAGAGGTCACACTCCTAAAAGTATCAACACCTCTATCGTCCGATCGATTGCTTCAACCTAGTTTGTTCGCTGCCTTGAAAGACCATTTTGAGCAAAAGCGGCGGATAGTGAAGAGTGGTGACCTAATAGGCGTATCAATCGACGAGTCCCTTGGTCGTGCAGTGTTCCAAACTACAACAGAAGAGGATGTCGGTAACGACGAGCTTCTCGTGAGAGCCAAGCCAACTGCTAGTGATGAAAGCACTAGTGTCAGCAGCCGCAATCCAAAGGTCGTATCGTGGTTCAAGATCGGCAACGTATCAAGTTCCACTCACACGTCTCACGATGGCGAAGAGGCTGATATTTGGGGCGGCGCTGTGACGGTAGATGCTGCTAGCACAAAGATGGAGATGAACGGTAGCGAGCAAGGCAAGACGCCAGCTCCCATCAGCAATGCATGGCAATACTATCTGGGTGCTAAACGAGCTCCTGTATCAGGCTCTCAAAAGACCACGGCACTGGACGAACTGCCTAAACCCTACATCTCGTCGCTTCGAAGACGATTGCGCGAACTCATGTCCGTGGCTACCAGCCCTCGAGCCATCCACCTAGGTCTGCCGCCTATCGCCGTCTTGATTACTTCAACCCAACGTGGCATTGGCAAGTCTACCGTTGCGACCAAAGCTTGTGAAGACCTTGGCCTGCACACGTTCTCTATCGATGCTTTCGATATCGTCACTGAAGGCGGTGCCGGAGGTGGCGATGTCAAAACTGAAGGCTTCCTAAAAGCTAGGGCCGAGCGAGCCTTGACTTGTGGCGCTGAGTTTACAGCACTGTTAGTCAAGCATGTCGACGCACTCAACGCTGATCGTATGAACACAGCATTAAAAGAGATCTTGGCCGACTCTCGCGTACTGATCGCAACAACAACCGAAATCGACAAGGTACCAGAAGGTATTCGCGGGCTCTTCACCCACGAGATTGAGATGACAGCCCCTGACGAAGGCGAAAGAGAAGGTATTCTTCGAAGCATCGTCGACGACGCCGGCATCCGTCTCTCCCCTGAAGTTGATCTAGCAAACGTCGCTGTCAAAACTGCCGCCCTCGTAGCTGGCGACCTCGTAGATGTTGTCGATAGAGCTCTCGTCGCAAAGCAACAACGCCTCGAAGCCCTCGCTGTGTCTGCTTCGAAATCACTTACCCCACCCGACACAATCACCACTCGCGACATTGAACTAGCCGGCGGTCACTTTAGCAACAGTCTCACAAAAGCTGATCTTGACACCGCCGTCGACGCCGCACGTAAGAACTTTGCTGATGCAATCGGCGCGCCCAAGATTCCCAACGTGGGCTGGTCTGATGTGGGAGGTCTCACGCACGTCAAAGACGCTGTCATGGAGACGATCCAACTTCCTCTATCACGTCCTGAGTTATTCGCAAAGGGCATGAAGAAGCGCAGTGGAATCCTCTTCTACGGTCCTCCCGGAACAGGAAAAACACTCCTTGCAAAAGCCATCGCCACGGAATTCTCCCTCAACTTCTTCAGCGTAAAGGGCCCTGAGCTGCTCAACATGTACATTGGTGAGTCGGAAGCCAACGTCCGCCGTGTCTTCCAGCGCGCTCGTGACGCGCGTCCTTGTGCTGTCTTCTTCGACGAATTGGATTCCGTGGCGCCGAAGCGCGGCAATCAGGGTGATAGCGGTGGCGTCATGGACCGCATTGTGAGTCAGTTACTCGCTGAGCTCGATGGCATGAGTGATGGAGGCGAGGGTGTGTTTGTTATTGGTGCGACGAACAGGCCAGATTTATTGGATCAGGCGTTGTTGAGACCCGGTCGTTTCGACAAGATGCTTTATCTGGGTGTGAGCGATACGCATGAGAAACAGCAGACTATCTTGGAGGCGTTGACTAGGAAGTATGTTTACATCTCTTTTCCCTTGTGTTTCAGTCATTCAAGATTGGGGGAGAATGGGAAGAGATTTATGGTTACTAACGATTTGGCAGATTTACTCTTCATCCGTCCGTTAGCCTCGCCCGCGTATCCCAAGGGTTACCTTTCACATATACAGGAGCAGACATGTATGCCCTCTGCTCCGACGCCATGCTCAAAGCCATCACACGGAGTGCCAAATCAGTCGACGAGAAAGTCGCAGCATACAATTCAACACACAACCCACCCATTACCATTGCTTATTTCTTCGACCATCTCGCTACAGAGGAGGACACGGCTGTCATGGTGACAGAAGAAGACTTTATGGAAGCACACAAGGAGCTGGTGCCTAGTGTTAGTGCGGACGAGTTGAGGCACTACGATAGGGTGAGGAAGCAGTTCGAAGGTGCAGGGAAGAAGGAAGGGGCAGAGACGAAGAACGGTACTGCCGCTCCTCCTGTAGCCATCGAACAAGCTTCTAGTGCAACAACGGCCAAGGGCAAAGCGAAAGCTCCCGTCCACGAGGACGAGACCGAAATGGTTATCCGCACAGAAAACGTTCAGCTGAACGGTAATGCGGGTGCGAGTGGAAACGGACTGGCGGGTGGCGGTGTGGATATCAGTGGAGGTAGTGCCGCAAGCAGTGGCGGGAGTAGCAAGGGCAAGGGCAAAGCGCCGGTGAATCATAGTCAGGGAAAGAGTAGTGTTGACATCGCCGAAGGAGGATTTGGAGATGCAACGCAGGATGACGATTTGTACTCTTAACTTGTTTTTTTTTTCTCCTCCTCCCCACCTTTTGCTGTTGTAAATATTAGAGATTTTTACATAGCGCCTGATTTTTTTTTCTTTACTTTCCTTATGATTGGGCCTCTTCCATTGAACTTCAAATCCGTGCATAGGGTACTCTTGCCCGGGCTGTGTTCTGTGCGTTTCACCTCCCTGCTTTCGGCTAGAACATCTCAACTTCAAGGCAGCATAGAGGGTTCTGATTCATCGCAAGTAGGGTCTTGTTGGTTGGTACGCCC